CAGATTTCTCCCAGAATGGAAAGTCTTTGTAACTAACCATTAGGAGGGAGCCGGCCCCCCGGGTGAATTGGCCCGCATGACGAAGACCAAGGGGATGAACTTCATGTTGAGACCGCTCAGTGTGCAATGCCGACGAAAAACCCACGCCCCGGAACCGGAGAGAACAATGGCGTTATAGGGAGGCAAACCACTTGCCCCACAAAAAGTCCGGGTCACCCCCCCCCCCAAAAAAGAAAACATTTTTTTCTGGACCCCGAAGCTGGGTCCATTGCTCTCCGCTCCTGGGGGGGTGGGGACCCCCCCCCCCCCAGCAGCAGCGCTCTGCTGCTGGGGGGGTCGGGACCCCCCCCCCTAGCAGCAGGGACGGGCTTAGAAGTGCAGGGGGGGTACCGAGCAATGTGCGGCCGCTCAAAAGCGGAGCCTGGCTCACGACAGCGTTTTGCCGGTTGTCGGGTGGGAGAGTACATGTCGTCTGGAGTGTGAGAGAGAGAGAGTTTTTGTGTTTTTCTGGAGTGTGGCGTGTACCTAGTTTTGATCGCGGCAATAAAGCGGTCGAACGAATAAGCGACCCACTCTTCCCGTGACCTCCGCGCAGCGACGGCTCTTCTCGCAGCACGACACGCAGCAGAGTGGCGCAGACGGCAAGATTTTTCGCCTGGCTTTGAGAGCTACGCGGTCAAACCCGGGGGGCGGAACTGACCGCCGCGCGAGCGCGGGTGGCCCCCTCCCCGCCCTTGGCCGCCGGGCGGACGACCGGACCGCGGCTTGGCGCGGCGAGCGAGGCCGACCGCGGGGAAGGGGGCCGGTGAGGATGGATAGCGTTCGTGTTGTTGGGCTCATGAACGGGAGGGCAGCACCCCCCGGTGGCGCTCCGGCCGGTGTGCGCTTGGGCACGTGGAGTTGGATTCGGGTATCTGTGAATAAGTGGAGTATTTACTTTCACACCCCTTGGGGTGTTCACGAGTGTTCACGACCACTTGCGGTCATTACGAATAAAAAAAAAGACGTCCGCCGCAATTCGGACAATGTCTGGTCCCAAAACGCGCCACATGACGTCCACCGCCGCCGCGTCGGTCGGCGCGCGCCGACGCCGACTCACCACCGACCGACGGCTCGCACGTCCGTGCGGTGAGCAAAAATTTGGGTCACTGCGCGCCTGCCGGATGCTCTGCGACGTCTGGACGCTCGCCAGAAACGCCAGGAAGCTTGCCTTCCACCCCTGGGCCCGAGGGCGAACGGCAGTGGTCGGCAGCCTCTGCGACGCTCCGATCGGCTCCTCGACCTCATCGCCTCCGACGAGCCAGCATGGCTCGTCGCTCGACGGCAGCCTGCCCAGTATGCTCTTGGCATTCTGTACAGCCTCGCCAGGCTCTCTGAGACGGCCTGCAGGGCCGGCGCGGACCGCCTCGGGCGCGATGGCCCTCCTCAGTACCTACCTCTTCGATGCCTGTCGGCTCTCCAATCTCGTCGCCGACGGCAGGCCCGCATGGCGCGCTGCTCGATGGCAGCCTGCTCAGTACGCCTTGGACAGTGACTTCTGCCTCGCTGCTCTTACTGCAGCCGCCTCCAGGGCCGGCGCCAGCCGCCTCGCTTCGCCAGTGCTGTCTACGCCTGCGACACGCGTGTCGGCTCGCCGCCCGCGTCGCCCGCGTCGGGCCCGCATGGCGCGCCGCTCGTCGGGAGCGTGCCCAGCAGGCTGTGCAGGGCAGTCTGCCTCACTCAGGGCGCCGCCACCGCTGCGCGGGGCCGCCACCGGCGCTGCTGCCGTGAACACTGCCGCCGTGTACGTCACCATCGCCTCTCTTCATCGCCGATCTCGCCGACGCCGCTCGCCGCTCGCCGCCGCCCTGCCCTGCCCCGCCTAGCCCTCGCACAAACAAACAAACAAACACACACACACAGACACATACAGACACACATACAGACACACAAAACACACCCTGCCCCAACCTCGAGCGCCCCGCGCCCTCCCGCCCAACGCCCTGCGCCTCACGCCGCGCGTCCCACGCACGCCCCGCGCCCCGCGCCCCCTCACCTTGCGCCTCACGCCTCCCTCCCCACCCTCTCAGGCATTTCTCCTCCCTGCTGCTCGCCGACTCCTCCTCCCCCCGCATGACCGACGACTACCCGTCCTTCGGCGACTCCTCCCTCCTCGGCACCAACGTCTACTACCCGTTCGCGGCCCGGTGAGGGGCGGGAGCGCAGCCATTCCAACGGCTGGGAAAGTTTCTGAACGGCCGCGCCTGCGCCTGCATGCCGGCTTACTAAGGAGGTCCCTCGCTCCGGCTCCTCTCTCGGAAGACGCGCGCCGGCCTGGGGGACTCGCTTGCGATCCCGCTCCAGCCAGAGGCCGCGTGAGGCGTGTGGGACGGTGTACGCTGTGGGGCTTGGCCCCAAGTGCACTGGCCTCGCGTCTCGAGGGGAGGGCGGCTCGTAACTGAGGTTCGCCGTCAGGGACAGTCGTCCTCGGCGTCGCATCTGCCGCGCCGAGATTCGACGGACCGAAGGGGTAGAGGCTAGCGCTCTCGGTCGAGAGAAGCGCATTACTCAAGACAATGATTACTACATCATGCACGACCTCGAGCGTGCAACGCCGCACAGTGCTCAGGGTTCGAGCAGGTGCAGGCGAGTGGAGGGGCCCCTGGCAGAGTGGCTGGGGCCTTCCTTCTCTTCGCCGGATGTGGCAGCAGAGGTGAGGCTCGTCGGCCACCCGGGTACCTCCTCCAGGCCAGTGTCCAGAGGTCGTCAGTACACAATGTCTGAACATTCTCGCCGACGCTCCTCGAGTTCGCCGGATATGGCGCCGTGGTTAGAACAACCCCCACCTGTCAAACGACGGACGAGCGGCTACATGGAGGCGATGGAGCAGCTCGAGGAGGCGGAGGCTCACCGTGAGGAGTTGGGTGCAGACGCGCTCGAGGCCGCGATCGGAATCGGCCTCGGCGGCGAGGGATCGACCTTGGGCTCGGGCGTCAACCGGCGGCGTTTCATGTACGGCGGGGGCCTCCCCACCAGCGGCGCAGGCCCGTCAGGCGGCGACGGCAGCGAAGCGCGAGGCGGCCTCTCGCTCCGCTCGCTCCTGCAGATGGGCTTGGCTCAGCATGCGACGGGCAAGTCTTCGTCCGCCGCCGGCTACACCGAGCTCCGCGACTCCGAGCCCGGCTCCTTCGCCGTCACCCGCAAGAAGTCGGCCACGTTTGCGGACGCCGCCTTTGCAGAGAGCCTTCCCTCCCCGAGCCGGCGGCGCATGGGCAGCCGGCCCAACTCGGCGCGCTCCCTGCTCAGCATGAGCGACGCCAGCGAGCGCTACGAGACGCCGCCCAGCGGCTTCAACTCCCCCAGCGGCCTGGCCCGAGCGAGCTCGCTGCGGCGCGCCCGCTCCATGTCCGCCGCCTCGGCCGCCTCGGCCGCCTCCGCCGCCTCCGCCGCCGCCTCCTCCGCCGCGGACCCACGCGCGTCGCCGTGCATCACGCGCGCCTCCTCGATGCGCCGCTCCGCCGCCCTGCCCCCCGACGCGCTGCCCCTCAAGCGGGCCGGCTCCAAGGGAATCGGCCTGATCGCCGCGGGGGGCGTCGAGGACGAGGTCCCCCTCGTCGACCACGGGCTCGGGCTGGGGGCGCGGCTCCGCTCCTCGCTCGGCGCCTTCAAGGCGCGCGCGCAGGAATTCCTCTTGATCGCCGCGCTCGGCGTCGGCGCCGCCACCCTCTCCCTCGCCATCACCCTCACCGCCGCCTTTCTGCACCGGCTGCGGCAGCGCATCGCCGAGCGAGCGGCGGCGTGGGGGCGCGGAGACGCAAAGGGCGGCGGGGAGGAAGAGCTCGACGCCACCGCCGCCGCGCTCGGCCTGGTGGCGCAGTACGGGCTCTACATCGCCTTCTCGCTCGCTTGCGCCACCGTCGCCCTCGCCACCACCCTCCCGGCGGTCGGTGGCTCGCGGCACGCGGCTGGCTCGGGCGCGTCCCTCCCCCAAGGCGGTGGGTGGGCCGCGCTGCTGACACGTCCGTGACGTGCGTGCATGAGTGCCGTCGCGTAGGCATCCCCGAGATGAAGGCCATCCTCTCCGGCTACTGGCTCCCGCGCTACCTCTCGCCCTCCACCTTCGTGGCCAAAGTGATCGGCCTGACGACCGCTCTCGCGGCGGGCTACACCATCGGCCGCGAGGGTCCCCTCGTGCACCTCTCCTGCACGCTCGCGACGGGGCTGATGACGCTGCCCGGCTTCGGCGCCATCGCCGAGTCCCACAACCTCAAGCGGTCCATGCTCGGCGTCGCGTGCGCCGTCGGCGTCGTCGCAACCTTCGGCACGCCGATCGGCGGCGTCCTCTTCTCGATCGAGGTGACGTCGACCTACTACATGGTCTCAAACCTGTGGCGCTCCTTCCTCGGCTCCTTCTTCTCGGTCGCCGCCTTCCAGCTCTTCGCCGGCCTCGAGCTCATCTCGGCGGTCCCTAACACCCGCTTCGCCTACACGGCGCGGCAGCACGTCGCGCGCGACTACGTCGTCTTCCTGGGCGTGGGCGTGCTGCAGGGCCTGCTCGCTGCCCTCCTCGTCCACCTCCTCACCACCGTGCACAAGGGACTCCGCTCCCTCTCCCTGCTCAAGCCCGCGCCGCGCCGCTTCGCCACCGGCCTCCTCGTCTGCGCCGTCTGCACCACTCTCGGCATCGCCTTCCCGCCCCTCGGCATGACCAACCACCAGGCCCTCTCCGGCCCCCTCACGCGCGAGCCACCCCGGCATCTGCTTCACGAGACATCGCTCCTGCGTAGGTCCTCTCCGACCTCTTCACGCACTCGCCTCTGACCGGCAGCGCCACCATCGACGCCGCCTTCGACCTCGGCGTCGCACACGGACACTGGCGCCTCTTCTCGCCTGCCCTGACCGAGGCCATCGCTCTCTGGCGCGGAGAGCCGCACACGCACACCGTCTGGAGGCCAAACCTAGACCGCCCCCGCCCGGCCTCGGCCTACCCGCCCCCGCCGCCGCTGCCTGCGCCGCCGCCGCCGCTGCCTGCGTCGGCGGCGCCGCCCGGCGCTTCTGCGGGCGCGGGGTCAGCCCGCCCGTCTCTCGCGCCTCCGGCCGGCTCGAGCTCTGCCCCGCTAGTCGGCTCGGACTCTTCTTCCCGCGCCGGGGAGGAGGCGATCCTCCGGTCGGCTCCCTTCCTCTTCTGGAGCTGGGGCGCGACCGCCGCGCAGCAGACGAGCCACTGGGGCGGGTGGGGCTCGGATCCGCCTCCCCCTCCGCCACGCGCGCCGTCCGGCTACTCCAAGACGTCGGAGCTGCCCGTGCTCGCCGCCTTCTCGCTGGCGCAGGCGGGCTCGATGATCCTCTCCATCACGCTGCCCATCCCCGCCGGCTGCTTCACGCCCATCTTCGTCCTCGGCGGCACCACCGGCCGCCTCTACGCCGAGCTGCTGCACAGGCGCGCCGGCGCTGACTCGGCGTGAGAGTCAACCCGCCACAGGGGATGTGCCCTGTCTGCCACACGGGATGCCCTGTCTGTCAGGCTCGTCGACTATGACGGCGACGCGCTGCCCGCCGCGGTGGTCGCCGTCGTCGGCGCCGCCGCGCTCGTCGCGGGCAGCACGCACACGCTCTCAACCGTCGTGATGGTTCTTGAGCTGACGGGGCAGCAGACGTTGCTGGTCGGCCGCCGCTCGCGCCGCCGCGCCGCCGCCCTCCCCTCCCCACCCGCCCGCCTCGGCGCGAGTAGGTCCCCCTCCTGCTCGCCGTCATCGTCGCGGTTGGCGTGTCGACCATGCTCACAAACTCCATCTACAACCAGATGCTGCTGCTCAAGGGGCTGCCGTACATGCCTCACTTGCGCACCAAGCAGATGGTTGGCAAGGCAGCGGCGGACATCATGCGGCCGACCGACGCGGTGGCGGAGGCCGCACAAAAGGAGATGATCAACAGCTGGCGCGGCGCGTGGAAGGGTGCGCAGTCGCTGCTCGAGCCGGGCAGCCGGGCCGGCGGCCTGCGCTCCACAGCGGCGCCGGCGCGCACGCTTGGCGATGCGTGGGGCTGCGGCGCCGGCCGAGGAGAGCAGGAGAGCTGCCGCTCCTCCATCCTGTCTGCGGGCGCGCCGGACCTCGAGGCGTCGCTCGAGGCGGCGGCCCGAGGCGACGGGGCCGGAGGCGGGGCCGGAGGCGACGCGGCGAGGGCGGGCGGGCGGGCGGGCGACGCGCCCTTCCGCTTGCCGCCCTTCAGCCTGCCGGCCTCCAACCCGTACCACCCCTCCCGCTACGGCTCCTCCGACAAGCGGCTGCCGCCGCTGCCCGTGCTGCACTACGGGATGAGCGTGCGCCAAGTCTACGACTTTTGCTGCAGCGCGCGCGACCGCTTCATCCCCCTCATCGAGGACGAGTCGACGGCCGTCCTCGCCGGCTCGGTAATGCGGGCGCAGCTCATCGACTGGTTTGTCATCGAGGTGGCGGCGGCGACCGCCGGCCCGATGGACGGGGACGAGGAGACGGGCTCGAGCTACGGCGAGCTGAGCGGCGAGGAGAGCGACGCCGCCTCTGATGGGATCCTCTCCTCGCCCTCGCCCTCGCCCTCGCCCTCGCCTTCGCCCTCGCCTCGCGGCGCGGCGGGGGGCCGTTTTCCGCGCGGCAAAACCTTTGGCTGCGATGGCGCCGCGAAGCTCCCTCTGCTGCGCCTCCGGCCGAATTCTCAGCATGCCGTTGGGACGGCGGCCGCGCCTCGCATCCCGACCTCGACGCCTCCAACACGGCTGCAGATGCCGCCGCCGCCCGAGCGACCGCCGCCCATTTCAGTGGTTGCGAGGGACCTATTCGCCGCCGCCGGCCACGACCCGCAGTCCGCCGGCGGCTCGCTCGACTCGCTCGCCGTCGGCACCGCTCCGCAGGCGGATTTGGTTGCGCGGTGCGCCCTCGCTTCGGTCCCGCCGGGTACTGTGCCCCGAGGCGGGGGGGCGAGGTCCGTCTCCTCGCGGTCCGCCGCGCCTGCCGCCACGGGCTCGAGGGGGGAGGAGGCAGGCTCGAGGGGGGAGGAGGCAAGCGCGGCGCCGAGCGAGACCGCGGAGGAGGAGCTTCTCCAACTCGACGCCTTACAAGAGGGCGACCCGCCCCGCTGCGCCGCCGGCGGGGGCAGCTCGATGGCCGCTGGCGTCTCGATTGTCGCGCAGCCAGCGCTTGTGGCTGACAGCCACGCTGGCCCCGCAGCAGCCGGCGACGCGCCGCCGTTGCCTCTGCCGAGGAGTCTGCGAATCAGGCACGGGCGGTCAAATTCGGACATCTCTTTAGACTTGGAGATGTTCCGCCGCGCGATGGCTGCGAGCGACCCTTGCTGTGCGGCGTGTGCGCACACTGCCGGTGAGGACAGCGGACGCGCTCTCGAGAACGCGTCGCTCCGGATTTGCGTGGGAGGGGATGGGCCGTTCGGCCTCTCGCCGGCAGAGGAGGAGGAGCTGTTCCGGTGCTTCCGCAAGGAGGCGGAGGCGGGGGCGGAGGCGGGGGCGGGGGCGGAGGCGGGGGCGGAGGCGAAGGCGGAGGCGGAGGCGGAGGCGGAGGCGGAGGCGGAGGCGGAGGCGGAGGCGGAGGCGGAGGCGGAGGCGGAGGCGGAGGCGGGGGCGGGGGCGGGGGCGGGGGCGGGGGCGGGGGCGGGGGCGGGGGCGGGGGCGGAGGCGGAGGCGGAGGCGGGGGCGGAGGCGGAGGCGGGGGCGGGGGCGGGGGCGGGGGCGGGGGCGGGGGCGGAGGTGGGGGCGGAGGCGGACGTCACGGCGGGCCCAACCGAAGGGCGCGTGGCGGAGTCTGCCTTCGAGGGCCTCCCATCGCTGCATGACTTTGCGCGGGAGGAGGAGTCGCCGCGCGAGGTTTCCCCTCTCGTGGGCTCTCCGCAAGTCGGCTCAAAGATGCACCGCCGCTCTCTTTCCCAGACCTTGCCGCCGCGGGAGCAGCCGCCGAGGGAGGAGGAGTCGCCGCGGGAAAACTTCCCTCTCGTGAGTCCGCCCAAGAGGCACAGCCGCTCTCACTCCCAGACCTTTCGGCGCCACTCGCTCGCCGACGGTGCAAGCATGTTCGGGGAGCGGTCTACTCCGTCGCGGCTCTCTCGCGCTCTCGCACCGGGGCAGCACGCGCGGCTCTCTCACTTCCGCGCCTCGCTCTCCGCTGCTGCCGCCGCGTCCCTCGAGGCGGCAGCTTGCGCGCTTCCGCTCGAGGCGTCGCCAGACGCGTTTGCGCGGGCCGCGGCGGTGGCGCGGCACGCCGCGGCGGTGGGGTGGCATCGCGGCGCGGCAAACTTGTACGCAGCTAGGGGCTTCGGCCCCGAGCGAGGCCCTCTCGGCACGGACTCGCGCGCGCTGAGTTCGTCGACCGCCGATCCGTTCGCGATCACGTGGCCCGCCGACGGCGGAGAAGAGGCTGACTCGGGTAGCTCGGGCGTCACGCGCCAGCTCCGCCGGCTCTCGATGGGCGGCAAGGTTGGCGACGCGTCGCCCGCGCCGCGGTCGCAGCAGGCCCAGCAGGGCGACATACTACGGCGCGCTGCTGCCAGCGTCAGCAAGTGGCACGCCCTCTCCTCCAGCCCCTCCACCCCCTCCACTCCCTCCGACGGTGGCAGCGGGGGCGGGGGCGGGGCCGGAGGCAGCGGCGGCCGCGGCGGCGGCAGCGGCGGTGGCGAGGCGGGCGGAGGTGTGCCCGAGAGGGAGGTCGAGTTTGAGTGCGTGCTGCAGCAGGTGGCCACGCTCCCCGCCACACAGGACGGCGCATCGCCCGCCACGCCGCTGTCGGTTGCCCGCCACCGCACGCACGCGCCGCCGCAGAGCGCGGCTGGCGGGGCGGCGGAGAGGAAGGCGGCTAGCGGGACCAGGACGCCACCGATGGCGCCGCCGCGGGATCTGAAGGCGTCGCCGCGGGATCTGGAGGGCGGGAAGACCGCAGCGACGCCGGACAGCCGGAAGTCGCTCGACAGCGGAGGGCGCCGCCGGCCGTCGAGCGATAGCGGAGGGCGCCGCCGGCCGTCGAGCGACCTCCGGGAGCTGTCGACGGAGCGCGCGCGCGAGGCGGCGCCGCTGGTCGACGCTCTACTCGGGTGCGGCAAGGGGGAGAGAGGCTTCATGAGCGGCAGCGAGGACGACGAGCAAGTCGACGAGCTTGGAGACGTCCACAATGACGACGCTGCGGGCAAGAAGGCCGCCGCCGCCTTTGAGGCCGAGGCCGGCGGCGGGAAGGAGGCCCCGCTGTTCGGTGGCGAGCCAGTCGGCGAGTCGGCGGCGGAGTCGAGCGAGAGCAGCCACGAGCGCCTCGAGCGCCTCATCGGCGACCTCTCAACGCCCTTCCCGTTTGACGAGATCGAGTACAACCGCTGCGCGCTGCAGGTCTCGGCCCGCACGGAGCTCGAGGAGATTCACTCCCTCTTCTCCTTCATGCGGATGGGGCAGGTCTGGATCACCGCCGGAGGGAGGCTCCTGGGAGTCGTGACCGACTCGGCACTCATCGAGTGCTGCATGGCGCCGCCGTCGTGAGACGGCGGCATTGTGTACTCTGTACGTTTGCATGTCACTCTGAGCGCGTGTGGTGTGAGAGACGCCCTTTGTACGTTTAGCCGTAGTCTTAGCTAGCGTAGTGCACTAACACAGTACTCTGAGAGTAAGACCTACTGGCTACTGACCTACGCGAGAGCACGAGACACATCGACACGTAGAGACGTGCGCGGTACGTGTCGGCTTCACTGAAGGAATCTGCACAGAGCACAGCGCCACCCAGAGCCAGACTGTGACTGAGCTCTGAGGCACAGCCGTGTCTCACACCTGATTGACTTTCGCGGCCAGACCCACCCCGACCCCTCGCCGAACGAGGAAAGCGTTCGTGGCCGTCTGCTCTGCAAGGTACACCCTGGCCGCCTCGAGCCGCTTTTCAATCTCCGAGCGGCTTACGTGAGCGTCTCGCAGCCTTGCTGAGAGCTGAGCCTCCGCACTCATCGCTAACGCGAGCTCAGCTGCGGTCTCACGAAACGAGTCGGCGTCCCGCGTGTCGCCGATGCTTTCGGCTCGGCGGTCGAGCGCTGCGATGCCATCGAGCAGGTGTGATTGCTCGCGCCGAGCCTGCGCCTGGCGCTCGGCGAAGGAGATTCTCAACCTCGCGGGGCTTTTGCAATCGCTCCAACTGGCCGGCTGCCTGGCGTGGCGGGGTTCGAGACCCGTTGCTTTCGCTGCGTCACTATCGAGTTCTTTCTCGCATTGCCGCTGCCTCTCCGTCACCGCCACCTCGGTCGCATGAAGCTTGGCTTCGGCGGCACGCAAGGTGTCGCGAAGGGCCTCTGAACGGGCGAGCAACGGTGCCTCCACGGCAATGGCTTTCGCGCACGCCCTCCGCTCTAGCACGTCCCGCCGACGCGCCTTCTCTCGTTCCAGGCGCTGCCGGGCTTGCTCCTCGGCGAGGAGCAGAATGTCGGTGGCACGATGGCGATCCGCGCGATGGCAAGAAGGCGTGCAGGGAGGAGGGAAAGGGCTGGCAGGAGCACACAGGCGACTCACGGGCCAGTTGCGGGGAGGTTCGCCGGGCGCTCGCAACTCGGGCAGGTTTTGGGGGTCGAAGCTGGCAGCCTGTCCGGTCACAGCTAGCAGCAGTCTGCGCTCGGCAAGCAGTGTGCACATGAGCGAGCGGGCGCCCTCGTCGGCTTGCGCCATGCCGAATGCAGCCGCGCCCATGCTACGCACCATGGCATCAAACTGGGCTCCCCGAGCTAGGACCTCGCTGTCGCCGCCTCCTCCCGCCGTGGAACGCGCGACTTCCAGCCATGACCTCCATTCCACCAGGCGTGACTGTGCCCGGAGAACCTCGCCCAGTGCTTCATTCTCGGACCTCAGCGCGCAAATCAGTGGCCAGAGCGACAACGCTGACTCTGTGGCTGTCGCATGTTGCTGGCCGGTCGCTGTCGTGCCCTGCTGAGCTGCGGCAAACGCGAGCATTTCTTCCCGTGACGGCCAGGCGCAGTTCGCCCTCGGCGGCTGCTGGCGATCGCACGTAGTCAGCACCTGCGCCAGCACGACGGCTTCGAGCTCGCACCGGGCAGTCGTGCCGAGCCATGGCGCTGACGCGGCCGCATCCTCGATGAGGTGGCGCAAGAGCGCATCCAGCTCTCGTAGAGCCGCCACTTCGGCGGCGGGGTCGAGGTCGCCCAGTCCAGCCAAGCTTCCGTCACGCATTCGCTCTCGCGCAACCATAGCAAGCACCCGCTCGGTCAGTGCTGCGCGAATTCTCATCGCTGTCAGCTCAGCCTCAACGGCGGCTTCAAACGACGGCTCATCGACGTCCACCCTCGGCCGAAGCGCAAGCTCGTCCTCGATGAGCTGTGTTAGGGCGGCCGAGTTCTCTGCGTGCACCGACAAGAAGCGCAGGTTGGCGTAACAGCGAAGTAGCGGCTGCTTGGCGATCTGGTATTGCATCTCGATATGCAGCACCTTGCTCCAGCTCGCAAGAGCGCGTGTGACGCTCTCTGTTTCGCCCGATGGGAGAAAGTGCGCGCAGACGCGCTCGAGCGAGGTCGTCAGCTCCTCGAAGTCCGCGGCGGCAGCGGGGTGCAGCATCCGCCTCCCATCCGAATCGACGGCGATCAGCATCGACGATACCGTGCCAGGGATCTCCACACTCGCGCCATGCTCACGACAGTCTCGCCTGCCCTCCTGGATGAAGCGGCGGAAGCTGCACGCCCAAAACAAAAAGAGCTGCAGGTGGCGGATTCTCGCCACCTCGAGGACAAAGAGCGCGGCGACGAATTCGAGCGGGCGACCGTCCTCCAGCTTGGCTGTCCTCGCTTCTGCAAGGGCGTGGGACAGAAGGTCCTGCGGCGGCATTCCAATTGCTTCCACTGCTTTGCCAAGCGAGCGCCTGCCCTGCAATCTCGTCGGATCCAAGGCGAAGAGCTTGAGACTCAGTCGTTGTCGATCCGCGCTGATGTTTGGGCGAGCCACGCGATGCAGTGGACAAGCGCTTTCGCCAGGAGGCTCGAATGAAAGCGTGCTGGTTGGCAGCTCTGCAGCGGGCCCATCTCTGCGTGAGACAAGGTCGTGAGGATCGAGGTCATGCCAGAGGGCGAGCACGCTCGAGTGCTTGTGGTGCGCAGCAGTAAAGAGGGAGTGGCCGCTCACGTCCGCTGCCGGGTCGTATGAGAGGCCAAAGTAGGAGAGAAGGCTAGCTGCGTCCAGCGGCCGAGGCGGTGCTCGCGGCGGCGGCGGTGGCTTGTCTGTGCCAAACGCCTCTGCAAGCCGGCCTCGGTGCGTTGAGACGAGCCACGCAAGGCGGTGGCGCAAGGACCGCCAGCTCTCGCTGTCGAGCGGCTGCGGGAGCGACTCGACCATGGCTGCCGCCACACCACTCGTAAAGATGAGTGTGTTCGTTACAGATCATGCCGCGCAAGACGGTCTTTGTGCACAACGTGAGCGGCTACGTCGGCTCACACCTGTCGAAGCGGTTCGCCGACCGGAATGCGGGCTCGCAAGAGGACGGCGAGCAGGAGGAGTGGGAGGTGATCGGAACGCTCGCCTCGGCCTCCGAGACCAAGCCTCACTGGGTGGCGAGGACGGTGGAGCCCACTCCAGAGGGGCTTGAAGCGGCCTTCCTCGAGGCGGACATGACGGTTCTGGACTGCCTCAATGCGCTCGAGCTCGCCGAGATGCAGCTCGCAGCGATCCCGCCGGCCGATCGCATCCCAGAGCCAAAGGTGCTCGTCGGCGTCTCGTCGGTGATGACCTGGACACGCACAACAATTGACGAGAGCGCTCCGGAGGAGCCGCTGACAGAGGCCGAGTACAAGCGCCGCCGGCCGCAGGTCAATTTCAAGGAGCTGCTGGCGCTCGAGAAGCTCGTGACGAAGAGCCAGCGCGACGGGGCACTGCGGACGCACGTGGTGGCGGCCGGCCTCACGTATGGCGGAGGGGAGGGGGTGCTCCACCCGCTATTCAAGCGCGCGTGGAGCGGAGAAGCACTGCCGCTGCTGACGCTTGGCGACGCCTCCAACCTGCTCCCAACCATCCACGTCGCTGACCTCTGCTCCGTCGTCGAGTCGCTGCTGCCGGCGGACCCCGCCAAGCCGTACCTCGTCGCGGTGGACGCGGGGCAGCAGCAGCAGGAGCCGCAGACGCTGGCGGCGGTGACCGAGGCGCTCTCGAAGGAGCTCGGCACGGGTTTGGTGGCACCCATGACGCAGGACCAGGTCTTCACCACCAAGGACTATCAGTTCTTCCAGGCTGGCATCCGGCTGCGGCCGGCGGCGGTCGATGAGCTCGGCTTTTCGTGGCACTCGCGGGAGGGCGTGCTGGCGAACATGCCCTCGGTGGTGCGGGAGTACCGCGAGGCGCGCAAGGTCAGCCCGCTGCGCCTGCTCGTCCACGGCAACGACGACCTTGCCGTGGGCGCCCTCGCCGCCGCGGTGGCGGAGGAGTACCGGCTGCCGCTGGTCCGCGCCCCGTCGGCTCTCGCGGCGGCGGCAGAGGGCGACGACGAGCTCGGCGCAGAGGTGAAGGCGGCCGGCGGGACGGTGTCGGACGAGACGCTCGCAAAGGTCCTCGCGCGGGAGCTCACATCGCTCGGGTGCCGGAACCAGGGCTACATCCTAGAGGGGTGCCTCCAGACGCTCGCCCAGGCGCAGCTGCTCTTCCCCGAGGCTGCGCCTGGCGAGGGCGAGGAGCCGCCGGCAGCCGAGGCGGAAGGGGAGGAGGGTGCGGCTGCGCCCGCGACGAAGGCCGCCGCCCCCGAATTTGTGATTGTCCTCGAGGCCTCCCAGGAGGAGGTGCTGCGGAAGCAGCAGCAGGGCACGGATGAGGAGAGCCTCGCCGCTCGGCTCGCGACCTACGAGACGCACAACGCGGAGGGCAGCGAGACGTCCCCGCTCGCGCACCCCGCGCTCGCCGCCGTGGAGACGATCAGCATCGCGTCGGGCGACGCGACCTCCGCCGAGCCCTTCCTCACCAAGGCGCGCATCTACCTCGGCCCGCCGCGCAACTATGGGCCGAGCGAGGAGGAGCTGGCGGCGGCAAAGGCGCTCGCGGACGAGGCGGCGGCCGAGGCGGCCGCGGCCGAGGCGGCCGAGAAGCAGGCGCTCGCGGAGGCCGAGGCTGCGGAGCGCGCCCGGCGCAAAGCCCACGACGAGCGCCGCTCGGCTGAGCTTCAGCAGCGGGAGCGGGAGCTGCTCGAGGTGCGCTCCCAGCCGCTCCGCCACTACCTGATGGCCAACGTGATCCCCACACTTACGGAGGGCATCATCGAGGTTTGCAAGATCAAGCCCGAGGACCCGGTCGACTACCTCGCCGAGTGGCTCCTCAAGCGGAGCCCCGTGGACGGCCCCGCCGGCGACCCCGACGACGCCATAGCGGCCTAGATTGCGTGGTGGTCACAAAGCACAACCTCCAGAGAAGAAGAATCGTCGTCATTTCTTGTTGGTCTTCAAAAATCTCTCTCTCTCTCTCTCAACCTCCCAATTTCCCCAGACGCCCGAAATGCGTTCACATAAACGCAGAACCCCGGGCCCGAAATCGCGCAGAGACGACAACCAGCACGGGTTCCCAATGCGTTCACATAAACGCACAACCCCGGGCCCCAAAATCGCAGGTGACAGTGTGCGTTCACAGTCATCTCTGTGCGGAGGAGTGCTGCTCAAGCTGTAGTACAAAGCTCACAATCCTCCTTCGACTTCTAGGATTGAGAGCGAGGCTGCTCTCAATCCAACCTGGTAGAAGAAGGTTCACCCGGGTCATCGTCCGTGCGAGAGGTATGCTGCTTCTCCTGGGTCTTTTCAACACCGCCTTCTCGCATTCGCCTCCGGCCCGGATGGGTAGCCTCTACACGGGCGAGGCTCGGGCCATTGCAACGATGCAAATCGGGGGCTGTGGGGTAGGGCTCCACATCTCCAGCCGACGAGCAGCAATCGCTGGCGGCGCGGCACTGCTGCTGCCCACGACCCGCCTCCCGTCTGCTGCAGCTCTCCCTCCCTTCGCTGGTCGGACCGTCGTCATCACCGGCGCCAACAGTGGGCTCGGGCTGGCCTCGGCAACGCAGATGGCGGCTGCTGGCGCGACAGTCATCCTGGCGGTGCGGGACGCTTCCAAAGGCGCCGAGGCGAAGGAGAGGATCCGTGCGGTCACGCAAAACGGAGCCCTCGAGGTGAGTGAGTTGGACCTCGGCGATCTGAGCTCCGTCAAGTCGTTTGCCAAGAGGTGGGGAGATCGGCCGTGCGATGTGCTCATGCTCAATGCCGGCGTGATGGCCATTCCGCAGCGGGCCACCACTGAGGACGGCTTCGAGCGGCATCTCGGGGTGAACCACTTGGGCCACTTCGCCCTGACGGCGCGGCTCTGGCCGGCCCTCAAGAAGGCGGCCGCGGGCGGTGGTGCGGCCAGGGTCGTCGTCGTCTCGAGCGACGGTCACAAGAAGGGCACGATCCGCTTCGACGACATCAACCTGGAGAAGCCCGGCGCGTACAAGGACTGCAGCACGCCCTTCTGCTCGGCGTACACGCAGTCCAAGCTGGCCAACGTACTCTTTGCCAAGGAGCTTGAGCGGCGCATCCCGCCGGGGATCGAGGTCGCCGTCTCGAGCGTCTCCCCCGGGCTCGTCAACACCGCCCTCTTCCGCTACTCACTGCCGGACCTCAAGGCGGACGTGGGCAGCGGCGCGCTCGTGGGTGATCCCGACGGGAGCAAGCTACGCGACTTGCAAAAGATCCAGGCGTACTTCATGACGCCCGCCGACACGGCAGCGCAGACGCAACTCGCCCTCGCCTCCGACCCGAAGCTCGACCGCGCGGCGGTCAGCGGCGGCTACTACGTCGACGGCAAGAAGACGCCGCCCTCAAAGGAAGCGGACGACGCGGCGGTCGCGTCGAAGATGTGGGAGTTGTCGGAGCGGATGACAGGGATTGCTTTCGTGCCCGAGTAGCGCGGCGAGAGTGACGTGACGGAGGTGCGTCTAGGGGTTTGAGATGCCACCGTCCCGGCGGACCCGAATGCGCGGGACCGAATCGACTCGCTCGAGATTTTCGGTCCGAGCGGAGCCCTCCCACGCAGCCTTTTGTTCGCCTCCGCCCGACGTCGCCCTCACTTCATTTAAATAAGAAAGAAGAAATCGGACGGCCGCGCCGCAGGGTGGGGCGACCCTCTCGCTGCATGTCAGCGGAGCCGCGACACGAGCTGCGCATCCTTCCCGCCCACGGGACGCTGGGCGACGTCTGGCGCGCCGGCGGGCTCGCCGCCGGCGACCTCGTCGCGCTTGATTTCGATCAGACGGTGACGCAGGTGGCTGGCGGCGTCAAGCGCGTGCGCGGCGGCAGCGACGCGCGTGCGGCGCTCGCGGACATGACGGCGGCCGGCGTGACGACCATCATCATCACCGCTCAGAGCCCCACCGAGACGACGCTCGAGAGCCTGGCCGGAGAGCTGCGCGAGCTAGGCCTCGCAGAGCTCTTTGCCGAGCCGGGGTCGGCGCCGCTCGCGAGCGCGCCGGCACGCGTTTTACGGCTCGACGGCGGCATCCCCATCGCGTGCAAGGGGCGCTGCCTCGCCGCGAGGTACAACAAGCCCGAGGCGCTCCAGTTTTGGCTGCAGCGCGAGCTGCTCCTCTCTGGCCGCTCGCCGGCCCGCTGCCTCTTTGTGGACGACTCGTCCGACAACGCGGTCTCGATGTTCTTGGCGGTCGGAGGGTCGGCGCCCGGGGCGGCGGCGGCGGCGGAGGCGCCGTCCGCTGACTCGTTCCCCTACCTCCGCGTCGAGCGCTTCGACGCCGCCGCAAACACCTGGGAGGTGCCGACCTCTCGCCACCGCCTCCGCCCTCACCACACTCGCCTCCTCCTCCGCCTCCGCTCCGTCCTCACTCCACCCCTCCCCCCACCCGCTGCGCAGGCGGAACCCTCCCTCTGCCCCTCCGGCTCCCCCCCCTCGCCGGGCCGAGTGCCGCTCCCTCGCACCACCGCCGTGTGGTACCCGCCTCCGCCCTCCTCCGCCGCGGCCGAGCAGCACGACCCGGCCACGCGCGACTTCCTCCACCAGGTCAAGCGGCCCGACCTGCCGACCCTCGCGCCGCGCCCCGCCCCGCCCCTACCCTCCGACACGGCGCAGCAGCGCCAGCGTGCCGCACCGGCGGCGCCGCCGCCGAAGCCGCCGCCAAAGGCGATTGGCGCCGACGCGCGGAGGGCGCTGGCGCAGGCGCTCGCCGCACGGCCGGCGGCCTCGGCCGCGGCGACGGCGCTGGAGCCGCCTTTGTTAGCGCCGCCGGCGCTTGCGCCGCCACCGACCGCTCCTCCTCCCATCATAGCTCCTCCGCCCGCGCCGCCGCCGCCTCGGACTGCACCTCGGTGACGTACACAGGGTCGAGGCGTACTCTACCACTACGTGAGTCCATGTGCCATGTTGAGACTTTGAAAATACGCCGCCTGCTCTCTCTCCGAGGGGGGGTGGATGTCGCCCCTCGGCTCCCCCGCAGCCCGCTCTCTCTATCGAACCTTTCAACCCTACCGCGGCGCCGCCGCCGCCGCCGCGCCGCCGCCCTCGGCCACGAGCTGCTGCGCCGCTCGCAGCGCGTCGGGGCTCGGCACGAGGAGGGCGTCCTTGAGGTCGACCTCGCCGGAGCGCATCTGCGCCACGATCCCGTCGAGCGTCGCCACCCGCGTCAGCCCCGCCGGGATGCCGCTCACCGCCGCCGCGCCGCCGCCGCCCTCGCGCTCAGCTCGCCTGGCCGCGCGCCGTGCCGAGTTGGAGCGGAGCGCCGCGTCGCCCGCCACGACGGCGCCGCCCTGCAGCGCCCCCTCCGCCGCGAGGCGGGAAAAGTCGCGGTCGAGGTCCTCCTTTCGGAGATAGAAGGGGTAGCGCGTGGCGGCGCCGTCCGCCGTCGAGAGCGCCACACGCTCAGAGTAGAAGAGAGGCACCTGCCGACACCCGGGAGAGGGAGGGGTGGCGGCTGAGGGGGATGGCGGCTGCGGCAGAGGCGCGGCTGGACTAGCGGGCCGCGCCTGCCCCTTGGCCTCCGAGAGCGAGACGGGGAGGAGGGTGCCCTCGGGCGAGTTGAACTGGAGTGCGCGGTTGGCCTCGACTATCTGCCGCCGCGAGGGACGCAGCCGCAGCACGCCGCCCAGCGCCGTGGCGTCGCCCTGCACGAGCGGGAAGTACACCTCGGAGAGCGTCGTCAGCTTGAGCCTCGCCGACGGGTTATCGCCCTGCACAGCACGCAGCTCGCGCAGCGCGTCGGTGGGGTCGAGGAAAAAGTAACCGACCTGGGTGGCGCCCTCGGACGAGGTGAAGTACGGCGAGTCCTGCTCGTTGACGACGGCAACCACCGGGATGGCGCCGAGCCGCTTGTTGACCTCTTTGATAGAGAGCTCGGACGCGGCGGCGGAAGCGGGCGGAGCCGGCAGCGAGAATGGCCCAGTGGCGGCGGCGGCGAGGAGGGAGGCGAGGACGGGCCGGCGGGTGGGGTGGTGGAGGAGCATGTGTGTACGCGTGTAGGTGCGGTTTCCGGTTGACTTAGTCGGATTAGGGGGAGCGGTCCGCCATCTATCTGGCACACTTAAGAGCTGTGAACGTGAAGAGAGTGGTACCAGAACTGTGGGTCGTTGCGGCACGCATGGGGGGCCTCCCGGACGTATGATCCTAGCCCAATACGTCCCACGGAGCACATTTCGATTTTTGACAGAATTAAATGCACTGCCTCCGCACGGTACTAATAGTCGTAGTTTTGGCACCGCTGCCCTTCACGGCACCACACCGCCGCTTGACAGCCCGGGATTAGCCTAGCAGCGAGTGGGCATCGCCTGCCGGTCGGCTGGGCACGAGCCAAGCACTTGGGCGGCCGTCAACCGAGTCCGAGCGGCGCCTGAGGCGGGTGCCACGGCGTCTGCACGAAGGCGTGGCGGGGTGAGGAGCCAGGAGTGGTGAACACCTCCCCGTCGGGCGCGCGGCGCGCCGGATGGTCCGCCGAGGCCGCCGCCGCCCCGGTGGCGGCGATGGGGGCGGCGGGGCCGACCCGGCCGGCGTTTGTCGGCTCCACCTACAGAAGAGCAGTCTCTGTGGGTCGACGATACTAACTCGGTAGTAACGCGGAGCGGTGCTGTGCGGCGCCGAGTTGTGCGCGAGGCGACCTCCTGAGGCTACCTGAGCTGGCAATGGATGCCACCAGGACGCACGGCTAGCAGGAGCCAGTCAGGCATGCCCTGCTGTGGAGCAGAGCCGGCTGGCGCACCGGCGATACTAACTCAGCGCGCCGCGAGAGGCGAATCTGGGCGACTTTGGAGGCGCAGTTCTCGAGCTTGCCGTCGACGATTGATGTCGGGTAAATTGTCACTGCCGTCGGGGAAGGTCTTCTCTCAGCAGGCCGAGCGCCGTGGCCTGGCTCGGCTCGCCGCGAGTCGGGCGAATTTATCAGTGCCAAAACTCACGAGACCTCGATACTAACAAAGACTACGATACATGGGGTAGGTAGGTCGGAGGGGCCGCTCTCACGGTCTATTGCAGAGACAAGGCGCACTGGACATCAGGGGAGAGAGAGTAAGCTAAAAGTACGACATCAGAGGGCCAAGGGTTGGATCAAGCAGTGGGAAGGGACTCGAGGTGACGCGCGAGCAGAGACCTACACCTCCACGCACTCCGCACCGCCGCGCCGATCTTTGCGCGGGCGGCGCGCATGTCCGTCAGCGGCTATTCCGTCGGCTCCGTCGCCGACGCCGCCTCCTCCGTCAGCGGCTCTTCCGTCGGCTCCGTCGCCGACGCCGCCTCCTCCGTCAGCGGCTCTTCCGTCGGCTCCGTCGCCGACGCCGCCTCCTCCGTCAGCGGCTATTCCGTCGGCCCCGTCACCGACGCCGCCTCCTCCGTCAGCGGCTGTTCCGTCGGCTCCATCGCCGACGCCGCCTCCCACGACAGGGGCTACAGCGTCGCTCCCTACGACGTCGCCTTCCGCACCATCAACCGCCAAACTGCCTCCGACATCTACCAATCAGGGGGGGGCAGGCGCGCACGCAGACAGATTGATGGGCGAACGACGCTCCGCTCTCGACACCCTGCTCGGCCACGCTCTCGAGGCGCATCCGCTCGAGATGCTGCCACCGCATATATTGGCTTCGCGCGTGCAGGCAGGATTCCGCTTTCGATCACCCCCGCTGCTCTCAATCGGGGGGGGGCGTCGCTGCCCGCGCCATGCTGCCGTCCACACGGCGTCACCATTAGTGTCACCCCACCATTCACACCAGTAGACGGGCGTGAGACTATTACGTCCAATCAGCCCAATTGGCCCAATTGGGGATCCGTCGGGGTGTTCGTATCTTCATTCCCATAACGAGTGCAGAATAGCGCCCAGAGGCCCGAGCCTGGCGGCCGCGCCTGGACTCGCCACCGTGGGGGCGGGCGTTATCGCCCGCTCCCCGCGACGGAGCCGGCGCGCGCGGCTGGCCTTGCTTGCCGCCGCGCGCACGCCGCTTCGGCGCTGCGGGACGATCTTGTTGCTCACCGTTAGCACGCCGCACGCCTCCTCAGAGGCCTTGCCCACCTCTCCAGATGTTGCGAGGACGCCACCCGGCATGGCCGGTCCTGTTGTGGCGTGGAGCCTTGATGACGCTGCGACCGCGTGCAAGCACGAGCCCAGGATCGTGCGTGAGCACGCTCGCAAGGCGGACAGTATGGCAAGGCCAGCTCCGTGGCCGTGGGCTCAGCGAAGAGAGTACAGCCACCCATTCATTCAAGGGCAGAGGAGGTTGCTGTTCGCCCCTCGGCCTCGCCGCCGGAGTGATTCTTTTCTTGTGCGAGAGTGCGAGAGGCATGTTGTTGGCAGATCAAGACACAGAGCTCACACAGAATCACAAGGAAAGCGGCGAGTCGCAATTCCAGGGGTCGTTGTGGCGGGCCACCCTGTCCAGAGAGGCATGCGGCATGGATGCCAATCTGGGGTCTTTCGACCGAGACTATGAGCCCTGGCCGCCTCCCGATCTTGGTGGTAAGGCCGCAGCCGAACAGGGCGACGGAGATGGCGCGGGAGAGTACGGGTGTTCCAGGGGATCACGACACGGCACACGGACACGCACCGACCCTTCACGATTCACGTATCGTCAAGACGGACGACAAGGCGGCGGACTTCTTCTCAAAGCCTCTCAAGTTGTAACTCAAGCCGTCCTCCTTCTTCTCGCTGCAGAAATTCTTCTCGCTGCGCGACTCGATCATGAACCGAGTAGAACCTCTTGAGCACTTTGAGCACTGGATAGGGTCGATTCCGCATGGTACGGGACCCCTCGATCGTCTCGCCCTCCCTCACTGGTGTGTTCATTGGGGGGGGGGGTCATAACAAACACGCCTCTCCAATCAACCTCTCGCTTCCCCTCAGGGTAGCCCAGTCTGATCGCTGATCGGGGTGGAATGCTTCCCACGTCCGTGTATGTTCCCAGGCGCGGCAGACTTCTTTGCATGCTCTCCCATCTCCACATCTTCTGAGGTCATACCGACCTGGGGGGTGGGCGTTGGAATGCGGAGATAGTAACTGCTCTCTGTGGTGCCCCCTTGGCACTTTGCTCTGAGTGTGTCTCACACCAGACGCCGCGAGTCGGCTGGCTGTCTCGGTGAGAAGCCGTCCACACGGCGACGGCTTCTCACCGAGACAGAAAGCCGATCAGGCATGTACATGTTGCCGCTCGCTTTCACCTTTCTCTGTCGAAGCTCGCTTTTTCAGAGGATCCTTGTACCTTATATCTTGTATGACCCTAGACGCGAGACCCCGGCTGCCCCTTCGAGGCTACAGCCTACACGCCGGTGCTACTCTCGCGTTCCAAACGGGCGGGTGGCGAGGGTGGGGGAGGAGGGCAGCGTGAAAGATGGCGGCGCCATGGGCCAAACGGCGAAACGGAAGCGGCTTACGGTAGGATGAGTGGCGCGGCGGGGAGGCAGTGGCACAAGCGGATCACGGCAGGGTGGAGCGGCGCGGCGGGGAGGCAGTGGCAGGTGATACGGCGACATAACGGCAGGGCGATGGACGGCGGTGGCGGTGGCTGGGGGGTGGCGGCGGCGTGGGTGAGGTGGAGGGCGGCGGCGGGTGGTGGAGGGTGGCGGCGGCGTAAAAAAAGGGGACAGCCGAGAATCGAACTCGGGGCCTCGCCCACCCGGAGGGCGAATCATGCCACTAGACCACTATCCCTCGAACCGGGAGCCAGTCGGTGCTTTGGAGGTTGCCCGCCGCCGCTGCGTCAGAGCTGCTGGTTATTGATGATGCACGCGCCATTTCGCAGGTTAATATAGTTAAATTTGTTGTCTTAGGTTTTGAGGTATATTGAAGATTTTAAGAGAGGATTTTAGTTGGTGAGGATATTGTATTGTTGTGAGGATATAGTTAGAGGCTGTTTGAAATGCTCTCTTGCGCTGGCCGCTGCGCGCGCGCTGGCCGCTGCCGGGGCTCTGTCTCACTCTCACGTGCCGCAATATGTGTCACACACGGCGGCTGATTGGTTCCACTTTCTACGCACACCTACCGGGGAAGGGGCGCTTGGGAGCGGGAGCGGGGGCGGGGGCGGGGGCGGGGGCGCGCAGCGCGCGGCGCGCAACAGAGGGTAGGGTGGGGAAGACGGCGAGGAGGGGGCGGCGGCGGCGGCGGCGGCGGCAGCGCGCGCGCGGCGCGCGCGACGGAGGGGCGGAGCAGCGACCGCTGGCGCGGTCGCTGCTCCGTCTGTGCCAGGGACGCGCGCTCTGCGCCGCTGCAGAGCGCGCGCGTCAGGGCAAGGGGCATGCGTGGCGGCGCGGGACGCGCGGCGGCGGCGGCGAGCAGCGAGCGCTCCGTGAGCGGTGAGGCGGCCGGGCTAGGGCGCGGCGGGTGACGGGTCAAGGGAGCAGCCCACACCCGGCGTCGCTTTTTGAGCGACGCCTGTGGTACGCCTGCGCAGGGGCCGCAGGGCGGTCAGTTGTGGGGCGAGGCGGTGCCGGCCGCGGGCCAGGTGCAAGGCGCCGGCCTCGGCGCCGCCTCGGCGCGCCGCACGGGCGCGGCGAGCCTCTGAGCGGGAGCCGAAGGTTTGCTGCGGTGGGACGGTGGTAGGTAGGTAGGTGGGTGTCAGTGGAGAGACCACTTCACAGCTTTATGCCTTGCTCCTTTAGGTGCTCTTTGTATATCTGACTCTTCCGCATGAGACTGCCTGAGTACACTGTCTTGTTATTCTTTTGTGCTTGGCGTCTTGTGTGGTGTGGGTTGTTCCCCCTTCGTTGAACTACCCCCGCCCAGAGAGATCCTTTGCTTGTCATGCCTTTTGCCTTCTCTCTGGCGCTCCCGCTCCTGGCCGGTGTGAATACACCGACATGGAGCCTACCTCGGTTTCGAAGGCACCCAGCTCCCCGTTCAGCACGTTGAAGCAGAGCGCCGCCTCGGTGAACTTGCCATCGGCGGAAAAGTCACCACTCGATAGCTTCTGCCCGTAGATCGCCGCTGCCTGCCGGACACAGGTTTGGAAGGCGCACCGCTCCTCACGGTAGGACGCGAGGCGCTTGGCGGTGGCCATGTACCGCTCCCCTGCGCCTTGAAGATCAGCGGCGTGCCTGGCGATGACTCCAACGTCGTTGGGCATGAGCGCGGCTGCGCCCTCCTCAGCGCACTGCACAAACTGTTGCAACTGCAGCTGTAGTGCCTCCACGCCGCCGGTCGAGAATCCCGTGACGTCCTCGGCGGGGACGTGAGATTGTATGCCCGTTCGGGCGTCAAAAAGTGGTGGTGCTCAAACCATGAGGCGAGTCCACTGCGGATGGCTTGATCGCTGCCACGGTCAAGTCAAACCCTTTCGGGTCCAGTAAGGCTTCCGCCGGAGGAGAGCTCGCCGGCAGCCTGGCAGAAGGCATTCCAGCTGGCGTAGCCCCCTCCCCAGCGGAGCCAGGCGACGATGACTTGTCCAGTGCATCGGTGTCGTCCTTGGGCTCGGTGTTGCTACCAAGCTTGCCCAACGTGGTGTGGTGGGGATCAGAGTGGTCTGACCGTGTGGAATGGTCCTGGTCTCGGCCCTCTGTAGCATCGTGAGGCGTCCCTCTTCTCTCGCTCGAGAGATGGTCATCTGAACCCGAATCCTCGCACCTCGGTGTCCAGCAAGTGGAGTTCTAGTCGTACGCGGTCCTTCCGCGGTTTGGTCGCGGGAGATAGGTTGCCCGCAGTGCCGCGGGCCTCCTCATCCGAGGAAGACATATTTATAGATAGTACTCAAAGTACGAAGGCGTAGTTATACACCGGTGGGGGAGTGGCGCAATTATGCACCGAGTTGTGACACCACAACAGCAAAGAGGTCGACTGTCTCGCAGCGCGGCGGCCCAGCGAAAGCAGTCAGAGACTATGACGTGCCAAACTTGCACAACGGGAGTTGGGGAGCCGTGACGTGCCACTATTTGGGCATGGGAATCCGGGGACATGAGAATACGGCGGACTATTTATCACTCTGGAGTGGGAGAGAGAGAGAGAGAGAGAGAGAGAGAGAGAGAGAGAGAGAGAGAGAGAGCGGGAGAGAGAGAGGGAGAGAAGGAAGAATAATAGGTGAAGCTTCTCGATACAGGTCAGGCTACTGGTCCTCGTGAGAGTCCTCGTGCCTCACCTCCTGCGACAGTGCATCACACAGGTCTCAGGTGGACTGTGTGACTCCTCGGGGTTTCTGGGGACTTGAGGTGTGCTAGTCGCTGTAGTCGGACGGTTCCGGCACGTCTGATTTCGGGCTCGCTAGTAGTTTCCGCCGTGATCTCGACCGAGCGCGCCAGAATTCTTCTTCGCAAAGCCAAACACTAATGTCAGCGCCGACGCCCGCCGCCAAGGCCGGCTTCGGCTCGCACCTGCTCTCGGGCTACCTGCACAAGAAGTCCAAGGCCGGGCAGGGCGTGTGGCAGAAGCGCTTCTTCATCCTCGACACGCGCAGCCTCACCTACACGCACGGCGGCAAGGTACGCTCTTACCAGCTCGAGGACTTTCGCGACGCGCTCACGACGGGCAGGCCCGAGGCGGGCGAGTTTGTCGTCGTCTTCTCCTCCTCCGACCGGCTGTCGGACGTCTTCCCGGAGAAGCGGCTGCACCTCCGCGTCCAGAGCGGCGGCGCCGATGGCGCGCGCGAGTGGGCCAACGCAATGGCGGCGGCGCGGCGGCAGTGGGAGATGTATCGGACGCTCGGCAGGGCGATGGGGGCTGAGGTGGGCGGCGCATCGGTGCAGGCGGACGGCGCCGACGGCGAGCCCGGCCTGGGTCCCGGCCTGGGTCCCGGCCCTGGAGCCGAGTCCTCGCCGCCGTCGGCGGACGAGGAGGAGGAGCCAGAGCCGGAGCCCGCGCCTCCGCCCGCGCCTCCGCCCGCGCCTCCGCCCGCGCCTCCGCCCGCGCCGCCGCCGCCGCCTCCCGCACCTCCGTCGGCCGGGCCGGCGGCGGACCCGCTCGCGCCCATGAGCTTCGAGGAGATGGTCCGGCGGCAGCTGCGCAAAAAGGCAAACGCGGTCCTCGTCCGGAAGAAGGCAGAGGTGAGGCGCCTCTCGCAGCGGCCCTCGCAGCGGCCCTCGCAGCGACCCTCGCAGCGACCCTCGCAGCGCTCCGTCGCCACCCGCCTCGCCCGCCTCCGCCCCCGCCCCCGCCAGGTCCTCGCCCTCGTCCGGAGACTCAACGCCGAGCGGTCCGCCGCCGCCGCCGCCGCCGCCGAGGAGTCGTTGTCTCGCGGCTCAGGTTGGTGCGCATGGCTGGATAGGTTCGACCTGTGGGACGCGTCGACGCTGCTCCCGCGCGTCTCGCTCGGGGTCGGCGCGCGCGGCGGCGGCGGCGGCGGCGGCATCTGGCTCACGATGGAGGTTGTGCCGGTCAACGTGGCCGCCGAGGCGCAGCGGCTGGTAGCAGCAGTAGCAGTAGCAGTGGTAGTGTGGCCTAATCTCGGGTACTCTCGGGCACTCTCGGGTACTCTCGGGTGATGTCCCGCAGGTGATCGACTGGTACCGCGCGCTCGTGTCGCAGCTGGAGGGGCTTTGCCTCCCTCTCGAGTGCGAAAAGGCGGAGACGCGGGGCGAGCGGCTGGTTGGACCATCGGGCTCCTCCTTGAGACGATGACTGCTGCTACACAGGCGGAGACGTGGGGCGAGCGGCTCGCCATCCCGCGCAAAGGCGGAGGGCTGCACTTTGGCGAGCCAGAGAGGCGCGAGGCTGCGGCAGCCTACGCGCGGCTCGGCGTGCTCTACGAGTTCGTCTCCCTCTCGTCGCAGCTCGCCGAGCGCGCCGAGGCGTGCCGCCGCCTCGCGGCCGTCCTCGCGGCGCAGCAGGAAGCCCGTCGCCCCGCCGCCCGCCGCCCCGCCGACCCCGCCGCCCCCGCCGCCCCCGCCGCCCCCGCCGCCCCGCCGCTCCCGCCGCTCGGGAGGCGCGGGGGAGGGGAAGCGCACGCCGCGTCTCCCTCACGCGTCCACACGCCCCGCAGGACTTGCCGCCCGACAAGGTGATGGACAAGTACAAGCAGCTGCAGCGGCAGGCCCTCGCCCTCGCCGCCCACTTTGAGGAGGAGCTGCCCTCGCTGCGCGAGCGCTTCGCCGCCGCCTACTTGCCCGACACCGCCGCCGCCTCGCTCGAGGGCCTGCACCGCGCGCTGCCGTCACTGCTCGACGCCGTCGTCCGCCTCTGCGACGAGGAGTACGACGCGTGGTGCGCAGAGTCGACCGAGGCGAGGTGCCGACCCTCCCCGCCTCCGCCTCGCCCTCCCCGCCTCCGCCTCGCCCTCCCCGCCTCCGCCTCGCCCTCCCCGCCTCCGCCTCGCCCTCCCTCCCTCGCCGCCGGCCTCCGCGCGCCCTCTCCCACCCACGCGGCCGCCCTCGCCCCCGGCGGCGCTGCGCAGGAAGCGGTTCCGCACGCCGCGGGTGTACGCGCTGCACGGCACCGCCCTCGAGCTCGCCGACGAGCTCGCGCGCCACCCGGCCGTCCCGCTCGCCGACGCGCGCCTCAACGGCGACGCGGCCGAGGCACAGCTGCACGTTCTGCGCGAGAGGCATGCGCAGCTCGCGCTCTCGACGGGCGCGGCAAACAGGGCGCTCCTCCGGCAGGTGGACGAGGCGGTGTGAGTCGCGACGAGGCGGCGTGCCACCCGGCAGCCGTGCCCGGCGATGCTCCGTTACGAGTGTCCCGATACATGCCGGGTGACGGTGTCTCGCGCTCAGTCTTCTCCCGTGTTGTGTCCCCATGTGCACCCCTCTGGGTCTGGCTCTGCCGTGTGTTGAGTTGTGCCTTTTGCGTTGACATATACGTCACTACGTAGTTAGAGCTTGTGTTCGAGTAGCCTAGGAAAGCAGGCGCAGTACCGCAGCTGATAAAATAAAACTGTGTGGATCCTGGACCTGGTGCACCCCCTCTTTTACTCCCCGCACTCCCCGAGAAAAATAAATTAACAAAAACGACACCCCTCTTCCTCTCTACTGTGAGATGGGTAAAAAGGAACAGGTCCCCGCCCTTGCGATCCTTTGTGCAGGGTTCTTTGTGAGGGATGGGAGACTAGCACTACCCACTAGCCGTCTTCCACATTGTCCCTCGGGTCCCTGCTGCTCCTATAATCTTTTCGTACATCCTCCTGCTGATCTCCGCAACGTCGGTCCTGCTCCCTCCCTCGTCTCCCCGAGAGCGCACCGCAGAGCTTGGCTCTTGCGACCTCAAACCCGCGAGCTGTATGGGTGGTCCTGACGTCGACAGACGCCCGATGACCACGGTGAAGCTGAGCCGTAACGAGTCGACAAGTCTCGTCTGAGCCCGTGGCGGTCGCCGGCTGAGTCGCCGTGCACGGCCCGGTACCTCAGGCGTCACCTCCGCAGCCTCAGGTCTCACACTCCATCACCGCCGCCGGGACGCTTTCGGTGGCACGCTCGGCGGCGAGTTTGTTGCAGCCCCACAGCGAGCACGGCATCGAGCCTATTCGGTCTGGTCGGTTCGCGGCACTCACTGGGTGCCAGGGAGTGCCGCCGACACGCGAGCGGTGCTTCCTGGCAGCGCGCGCCGGCTGTGGGGCTGCAACAAACTCGAGACACGCTTTTTGGGACATTTTCGACGCTTTTGGCCCATATACTCGTGCAACAACCCGCGTCTCGTCCCGGACTCCGTGTACACACGCGTTTGTTGTGTGCATCCCGGGGGGCCGGACTGGCCAGGAGTCGCCTAAGCCATGTACGTACTCGTGCGACAACTCTCTTCACGAGCCCACTGTGTGGGCGAGACAGAGAGGCAGAGAGAGGCGGACGGAGCGCCCCCAAACGCTCGACCCAAACGCTCACATCAGACTCGCCTCCCGCATGGACGCCCCCCTAGATCGACCGCAACGCGCCTCAGATACTAACCGCACACTCCATATACCGCGGGTTGGCGGTGAACACGCCCATGTTGTCGGGGAAGGCGAGCCCCTACACGTGCAGCGGAGGCAGTCAGAGGCGATTGAACGACCCCCGTCGATCGGGCCTCGGGGAGCAGAGCGCCGGCGCGGCGGCGGCGGCGGCATCGAGGACGTTTGCCAACTCGGCGAGCTCATCCTGAAAGGTGCGGTTGATGTTCTTCAGCGTCTCCGCGTCCGCTACCGTTCGCCGTGGAAACAAAAACGACCAGTCGTGCTACGCTGGACAGATGATGACGGCACGCACGAGCGACACACAAAACAGGCTCAGAAGACACACAGCCAGCTGGCTGCCACACACCCTGAGTTGGCGTACACATAACTCAAGGCCACATCCTCCCGTCGCTCAGATGGCGCGAAAAAGAAAAACATGCCCGGAAACTCGAGTACCCCGTCGGACCGATCGCTTGCTGGACGGGCCGCAGCACCGAAGGCCAATGCCGGCTCGCCTGAGCGCCCGCGACGTGCAGCCCGGTGAAGCGGCCTCTTCTTCGGCCCAGTCACCGTCGGCCCCTGCAGCGGCTGCGGTGAACATTGCGGCAGGTACAATCGGCTCGATGTGCGGCGAGGCGGCTGTCTTCCCAATCGACGTGGTCAAGACTCGGCTGATGACCGCCACGGTGAGCGAGGCGCCGATGGCCGCGCTGGCTCTGCTGATCCGCGAGCGCGGGCCGCTCGGCATCTACTCGGGCCTGCCCTCCCCGCTGTGCGGAGCGTTCCTCATCAAGTCATCGCTCTTTGCTGGCTACGAGCTCTCAAAGGTGTGCGTACACGCCTCGCGCACGGTGCGGCACGGCCGGGACGCAGACATGGCGCGGCCGCTGGACAAGGCGGAGGGCCTCTTCTCCGCCGCCTTTGCCGGAATCTTTGCCGCGATGGCGACGTGCCCCGTCGACCGCGTCAAGATTGTGATGCAGACCCGGCCCAACGCCCACGCCTCGACGCTCCACTGCGCGCTCGCGCTCGCCCGCGAGCGATCGCTCTCGCTCGGCCTCGGCGCGACGCTCGCCCGCGAGGTGCCCTCGTCGGCGATCTACTTTTCGGTGTACGAGAGCACGCGCGAGGCGCTGCTGCCGCTCTGCCCTGCCGCCGCCGCCGCCCCTCTCGCCGGCGCCACCTGCGGAGTCATCAGCTGGCTCGCGTGCTGCCCGATCGACGTCGCAAAGACGCGAGTGCAGTCGGGCGCCGCGCCGAGCCTCCTCGCCGCCCTTCGCGCCGTGGCGGAGGAGCGCGCCTTCTTCCGCGGCGTGCAGCCCGTGGTGATGCGGGCGGTGCTAAAACACGCGACGGTGTTTGCCGTGTACGAGCAGCTGCGGCCGCGGCTACTGGCTCTAGGAACGTAGCCTTTTGAGAGTGGTCGCATTTCTCTTGTCCAGCTCTGGCCCGGGCGAGGTACTTCCAGCCTGCTGTGAAAACAGCTGACGCTAGTCTCGAAAAACAAAACCACAATGGCATGTCGCACGCGAACAGGAATCGACGCGATGTGCAAAGCATACAAGAAGGGGAGAGGGAAGAGGAGAGACGCCGGTGAGGACGAAGCAGAAACTAGCGCAGACGAGAGCAGGGCAGACCCGGGGACGGGGGAGCCGGAGCAGACGGCATCGGCCGCCGAGGGAACGTTGGGAAGAGGCACGAGGAGGGCGGCGACTTCGACCGACTATGGAGGATCCGTCGCCAGACGACGCAGGGCAGAAGACGGTGAGGCGGAGCAGACGCGCAGAGCGAGACGAGGGAGGGAGCAGGACTTTGCGGAGATCAGCAGGAGGATGTACGAAGAGATTAGGAGCAGCAGGGACCCGAGGGACCATGTGGAAGACGGCTAGTGCTAGTCCCCCATCGGGAGGACGACCCCGGCTAGTCGCCGACCACACCCACAAAGAACCCTGCACAAAGATCGCAAGGGCGGGGGCCTGTTCCTTTTTACCCATCTCACAGTAGAGAGGTGTCCGTTTTTATTTATTTATTTATGTGCGACAAAAGCGTCGAAAATGTCCCAAAAAAGCGTGTTTTGTGGCAGCCCCACAGCCGGCGCACGCTGCCAGGAAGCACCGCTTGCTGGATCTGTGCACTCCCTGGGTCCCAAGGAGTGCACAGATCCAACAGGAGTGAGTAGGCTCGACGCCGTACTCGAGATGGAGCTGCCACAAACTCGCCGCCGAGCGTGCCACCGACGGCGTCCTGGCGGAGGTGGTGGAGTTTGAGACCTGAGGCTGCGGAGGTGACGCCTGAGGTACCGGGCCGTGCACGGCGACTCAGCCGGCGACCGCCACGGGCTCAGACGAGACTTGTCGACGCGTTCCGGCTCAGCTTCACCGTGGTCCTCGGGCGTCTGTCGACGTCAGGACCACCCATACAGCTCGCGGGTTTGAGGTCGCAAGAGCCAAGATGGTGGCGTTTGGACATCCCAACCATCACACAAGACAGCCTGAAGGTGGTGGCGGGACGGCGCAGTGGTTGTGGCACTCGGCAGTAGGCACCCGCGGCACGGCCCCGCTGTCGGCTCTCGCGGGCTGCGGAACCGGCCCCAGAGGGGGACGGTCCGGGCGAGTGTGGCAGCTCCTGCGCTAGTATGGGCAGCCTCTATCATAGCACTACTGATCCTGGTCATTAGAGCTGCCAGGGATAGCGTCAGGAGCCGGTAGGAGTCAAAACCCCTCATATTTGAGACATCGCGTGTCCCATATACTCGCACCGCAACGAGCCCAATGCACAAAACAGCGAGCGCTCAGCCAGGGTTACACTAAAACCCCGAGAGGCGTGGGAGACCTGAGTGCTTCTCGATGGTTGTACGGCGGGCGCGAGGCCCGACCTCCCCTCCTAGCCTTTTTCGGCTGCGGCCCCCCGCCGTTTTGCGTTTTTATTTATCTATCTGGCCAGCTTGCAGTCTAGGCGCCGCCGCCGCACTCCACGCAGTCCGAGCGCCGCTTCCGATGCTTGCAGTAGCGAGTAGGCGCCGCCGCCGCACTCCAAGCACAGCGAGCGCGGCTTCCGATGCTTGCAGAGGGAGCCGCCGCCGCACTCCACGCAGTCCGAGCGCGGCTTCCGATGCTTGCAGAGGAAGCCGCCGCCGCACTCCACGCACAGCGTGCGCCGCTTCTGATGCTTGCACCTTGCATGAGCGCCCATTTTGCTTGGGAGCTACAGTAGAGGCGCCGTATTTGCCAATGTTCATATGATACGCACAACCCCGGGCCCTGAAATCGCACAGCCAATGTTCATACAAAAACCCTGTTCACCCTGTTCATACACCCCGATGCGAGTTAATGCGCATTTCTTCTCTGCACTATAGCCCTTGAGAAAGAGCTCGCATTATGCAAACCTGTGCCTGTGTCCTGGAAGTAGACGGAGAGGGGTACTCCCAAAGGCAAGAGGAGGTCTGGAGAGGCCCACAGCGGTCAGGAGAGGCCCCAAGAGGGTGCTGGATGAGAGTCAGCAGAGCGAGAAGGGTCACTTTCTCGGCAGAGAGGGCAGACACCTGGAGGGACCGGGGGTGGGGAGGGGAGGTGAGGCGGGGATGCAGGGGAGGGGGAGGGGAGGGTAGGGAGGAGCAGGAGGAGAGAAGACTGTGGTTCGCGGCTCGCACAGTCGCTCGTTCGCACACAGTCGCTCGTTCGCTCGTTTCCAGGGATGCTGTCGCTGCTAAGCTTCCAGGAGCACTTTGATGCCCACTGGGGCCAGCGGTACTTTGAGCAGCACCAGCACGTCCCGGTGCTCGCCATCTGCCTCTACCTCGCCGGAGTCTACTTTGGCCCTCGGTGGATGGCCTCGCGCCGCCCGGTCCGGCTCGTCGCCATCTCGAGGGTGTGGAACGCGTCACTCGCGCTCTTCTCGATCTGCGGCGTCGCCGCGTGCGTGCCCACGCTCGTGGGCCACCTCTGGCACCGCGGCTTCCACCACAGCGTGTGCGCAGACTGCTACGAGCTCGCAGGGACCGGGGCGCCTGCTCTGTGGGCGGTGCTATTTTGCTTCTCCAAGCTCGCCGAGCTCCTGGACACCGCGCTGTTGGTTCTCAAGAAGCGGCCGCTGCTGCTGCTCCACTGGTTCCACCACGCCAGCGTCATCGCGTTCGCCTGGGCCTCGTGGGTGTACGCGACGCCGCTCGCGCTCTGGTACGGGTCGATGAACTTCTCGGTGCACGCGGTCATGTACTCGTACTTCTTCGCAACCTCCTTCGACCGCCGCGTGCTGCGCGCCGCCCCCGCCATCACCACGCTGCAGCTGTCGCAGTTTGCGATGGGCACCGTCGTCAATTTTTATGCGTATTGGGCGTACGCGCGTGGGTCGGGCTGCGCCGTCGATGTCGACATCCTCTACCTCGGTGCCGTCATGTACCTCGCGTACGGTTTCCTCTTCGCGCGCATGTTCGTCGAGCGGTACGTCCGCGCCCCGCGGCGGAGACGGCGCGTGAGCGACGCTGGCGAGCGCGAGGCGCTAACGGGGACCAAGCTTGTGTGAGCCGCGCGCCTCTCCTTATGCATGAGATTGCACACACACACACACACACACACACACACACACACACACACACACACACACACACACACACACACACACACACACACACACACACACACACACACACACACACACACACACACACACACACACACACACACACACACACACACACACACACACACACATGCACATGCACATGCACATGCACATGGGCAGTTGTTAATTGCATATATTACATGGACGTACGGGGTCCACCGTGTCTCGTGTGTAACGGAAGAGAGTACTGACGTACGGCTAGATAAGTATATAGAGTATATCTCCTACTCCCTGACGTAGAACGTAGTCGTCTAGTGGCGGTAATCCACATCGATGCGGAGCGAAAAGAAGCCGGGCCGACACGATCGGGCACAACAGTCGCGGCTCGCGCAGAATTGCACACAGAAGAGATATCTCTCCCGCTCGCGGAGAGCGGCTCGGTCGACGGTCCGGAGACTCTCGTCGGTCGGGCGCCACTGTGGGCGAGTGGCGTCGGTCTTGGGGCGGTCTGGCGACCTCAGGTCAGGTCAGTAGGCTCCTGCCGCCTGCAGGATGTTGCCATCCACGCCGACCGAGGCGCAGGAGCCCTTGACGTACTTCCCTTGGCACGCGTCGCCGTTGGCCTTGGAGCGCGCCAGGATGGCCTGCTGCGCGGCGGGGTCGTTCGCCGTGTCGCCCATCCACGTGACGATGGTCGTCTTTTGGCTCGCCTTGCCGTACGAGAAGGAAACGGACCAGGGCAGGTCGGGGTATAGCCGGTTGATTGCGTTGAGGTTATTGGTTGCCTCCTCCTCGTTGTCCTCGTCGAGTGCGGTCTCGCCCGAGAGGAAGAAGATGCCGGGCATCGCCACCGGCACCGTCCGCTTGAGCACCGTCACGGTCGCCGCCGCGATCTCCTCGGGCGTCGCCTTTGGGCCCGTCAGGCCATTCTTGACCATGTTTGGCTTGAGGACGGCGCCCTCGAGGTAGCATCCGTGCGCCTTGAGCGCCTCGAACTGCGCCACCAGCACCCGCTCGGTGGCGACGGCGCACGCGGAAATGTCGTGGTCTCCGTTGGGCACGATCTCCGGCTCGACGATGGGCACGAGGCCGCTCCTCTGGCAGATTACTGCGTACTGCGCCAAGTTGTGGACGCAGAGGGTGATCGCGAGGTCGGAGGGGAGGCCCTGCACCGGGTCGATCTGCAGCACGTTGCGCCACTTGGCGAAGCGTGCTCCCTGCGCGTACGCCTGCTTGCACCGCGCGTCGAGGTCGTCGATGCCCTTGTCCCATGTCTCTGGGTGCCCGAGTGGCCCCACCGCCGTGCCGGGGATGCCCGCCGTGTCGTAACCCTTGTCGAGTTTGATGCCCGGGATCATGCCGTTGCGCGTGATCAGGTCGACCATCTTGTTGCCAGCCGCGTCCGACTGAAACAGCGTCTCCCAGTGCAGGATGACGCCGGAGATGTGCTCCGACAAGCCGGGGGCCTGGTCACACCTCTACTCGTTTACACTTAAGTCCGCCGTGTTGAGCTGCAATACATCTGGCGCCTGGTATAGCATCGAGCGATACGCCGCCCGGTTCTCGGCCGTGTCCTCCACCTTTGCAGCGTCGACGTGGCCCGCTCGCAGCCACGGACCTGCCGACTCATCGCTGGCGAGGAACCCCTTGTTCGGCGCAGACAACGCGTCAGCGGTCGCCTTGAGTGCAGCCTTCTCGGAGGCCGACAGCCACGTGCAGGTGAAATCACTGACCAGCGCGGTTCCAGCGTTTGGCGCCGGAACCACGCTGCCCACGGCCGACGGCGCCGCGCCGCCGCCCGCCGAGCGCTTGGCGAGGTACTCGGCGAAGGACTCCGCCTTGTGGATCGCCTGCTGCTTACCCTTTGGGTCGTTCGGGTCAATCACGGTCGGCGCCGGATCTCGCGTCGCCTCGCCACCGCCGAAGCCCTTGCCGCCATTCATGGCGACCTTGGACGTGGAGAGGGCGCGCGACGCGGCGTGCGGAGCCAGGAAGGCGGAGGACAGTGCGAGAGCGGGCAGCAGCATGTAGAGGAGAGCTGGGAGCAGACCGAGAGCAGTTTTGAGGAAGAGGAAGCGACCCAGCTGCAGCAGGCAGCTCGGAGCCAGCTTTTCAGCTCCGACAAGAGCGCCCCGGAAAGAAAAATACACGGGTGAGTGCCCTGCGACCGCGCACCCCCGGGGCTAGGGCTCTCTTGCCCGCAACCCGATCCCGATCACCCGGCCAACTGGGTGCGCTTCTGAGCTCCCCGGTCCTGGATGTGAGGCTGCTAACCGCACTCCAAGTGCTCCAAGGGCGTTCTGAAGTTAAGGGGAAACCCGGTACACGGAGCCAACCCTCGGAGACCTGTGTTTACTTTACGGCCCTTGCCCTGCGAACGCGCACCCCCGGGGCTAGGGCTTTCTTGCCCGCAACCCGATCCCGATCATCCGGCCCGCTGGGTGCGCTTCTGAGCTCCCCGGCGCCCTGGATGTGAGGCTGATGACTGCACTCCAAGTGCTCCAAGCTCGGATAGAAAGAGGCAGACGACCAAGGATTCGGGTGGGCGACGGCTAGCACCACACTCCTCTCCTTAAAATCCCTGTGTGGTGGCGGCGTGGTGCCGTCCTCCCATCCCTCCCTTGGGTTGCCTGTTTTTTTTCTTTCTTTTTCTTACTTCCGAGGTGGCCAGTGCGACAAGGATTGGCTCGAGGACGAGCGCGAACGGCTCTTTGACGCGCTTGATGCTGAGATGCCACCACTCCCGGATCCCTCGCCACCACCTCCGCTGGATCTGCTCGCTGTGCATCCGCTCGCCAACTATGGCAGCCGCGCAGGCGACCTGCAAGCCACTGACTACGACCCCTGGGAGCCAGAGCAGTCAGAGCTGCCCACGCAGACATCATCATCACCACCACCACCCCCACCGGCACCAGCACCAGCCCCAGCGGTCGACGCGCTCTCACTTGGTGAGGCCGCTCACCACGCTCTCATCGCTCCGTTCCCACTCAATGCTCCCACCGATGGCCCTCGCATCATGGCGCGGCTTGATCCAGAGACATATGAGCCGTACTACTATGCTGAGGACGACATCGAGCGGCAGGCAGCGCGTCGGCTTGAGCTGCTCGACACGACCGTCTCCAACCCAGGCTGGATGAGGGAGCAACATGACCCTCTTGCTCAGCTTACGGATTCTGACGCACGGCCGGTGACGCCGCCAGATCGCACAGCGTTCCCACGCGGTGAGGATGGACGGAAGGACTTCCATAACGAGCGCGCCAACTACTACTATGATCGCACTGGCGAACATCTTGAGGGTCCACCTGATGCACCGCGCTCGCTGGCCGAGCAGCATGATCTCTTCCACAATCTGACACGCAACTTCCGCACGCGTAATGATCTATGAGAGGAGGTCGGTGCGCCGCTCCCACTCCCAAACTCAGCTCCGCCCTCATCGACGCACAGGCTGATCGGCGTGGGTGGAGTAATGCCGACCCACCAGACGCCGGCCAGGGCGCGCTCGCGATGCCCCTGGTCGGGCTGGGGGAGTGTTCGACTACGCGCGAGGCAATGACATTCCCCCTCCTCTCCCTGATGACACTTTCGACCAAGGCTCTGGAATGGGTTCGAGGCTCCTGCGCCGCTTCCAGTCCTGACTGTCAACTCGTGATGTTTCCAGGTAGGTGCCCTTTGGCAACGCGCTATTCCTAAGTACTCTCTCTCAATCATGCGCGAGATGAATTTGTTTAACCTTTAAAGCTGTCAAAGAGAAACACAACACGTTGGGCTGCCAAGGGAGAGGAAAACAAACCCGGCGCGCGTGCGCGCCTGGCCTGCTAGTGAAAGCGTAAAAAGAGGCGCGGAACGGGCCGGAAGCGGACGGAAGCGGACGTGGGTCACACAATGGCAGCGCTCCAGACGCGCTCTGGTAGCTGCCAATGAAGCTGTAGCCCATCGCGCGCCGGACGGCCACTGCACCTCTACTGCAGTGCCCTCCTGCACCGAGCGACGCGTCAAACCTTTGTTGCTGCCCATGACCGGCGGCGGCTCCGAGCTTGGGCGAGCGAGCCCTGGCTGAGCTGAGCTACTGCGGTCGCAATGCAGCGCTGCGGTCGGTGCAGAGTGGCCGTGCGCGTACGGCGTCGTACGCGCACGGCCGCTCTGCCTCAGTGGCGTGCGGCTTGGGCCAACTGAAGGTCGCTCTCCGACCTCGCTCGCCGAGCTCACAATTCGGCGCGAGCCGCATTGAGTGGAAGTTCGACTTCAGCTGCCGCGAGTGGATGGACTGCCCTGTCGAGTGCGAGCAGTTGGGCTCCGCCGGGAGCACGAGGTGCAACACGTTCTCTGGGCGCCAGCAGACGCGAGCGCGTGTTGAACCGGACGCTCCAGCGAGCATGAACACTGAAGATAGTAGATACACTCGAAGGGGGGGCACGTTTTCTTTTCGGGTTTCGTGGGTTCCTAGTGCCCTTGGAACCGACGAAACCGAAGCGGGTTGGCCCCGGGGTGGTTTCTGCGGTGGACCCGCCCATACGCGCCACACGAAGTAGGGGGGGTGGGTACAAAATGACGCTCATATAACACTGAAGCACGACCTACGGTGGCTCCCACTGCGACTGGCCAGTCTGCTCATTGATGTAGTACGCCTCGCCGGTCGCCTCGTCGAACGCCGTGACCCAGCCGCCACGCCCCTGGTGTCTCTGCTGCTGCTGCGGCTGCGGGTAGCCAAAGCCGTCCGCCCGCTCCACCTGGCAGGTGAAGACGGCTCCCCACGGCTCGTTCGGGTCGATGCCTACGTACTGGAAGGCCTTCAAGGGAAACGGGTAGTTCGCCTCGAGCCCAAAGCACGGGGCGCCGTCGCGTGGACGCACGGTCGTCGGGCACCTGCCGACCGAGACGAGCGTGGCGGTGCCGTCGTCCGCGACCCGGAGCACGCACTGCGCGCGGCTCACTGTGAGCTTCTGCTCGAGCATGTCGTAGCGGCCAAGGATTTGCTCCTCGCCATTGCGGACGGCGTACTCGGAGCACACGCCGTTGAAGGGCGTGATGCGCCACACCACCTGCTCACCAAAGCCCGCGGGCACGTCCCGGGGCGGCTCCCACTGAGACTGGCCAGTCCGACCGTCGACGTAGAAGACCCGTCCGTCCGGGTCCGTGCCCGTCGTCCACCCGCTCTGCGCATACAGCCTGCCCGAGCGCTGGCCACGGCTGAGCGGCGCCCTCGTCAGCCGCAGCGCCGTCGCCGTCGCGGCGAAGCACGCGAGCGCAAGCGGCAAGCGCCGCATAAATTGCAACGATTGGCGCTGCGCTCCAGGCTACACGAATGCAGAAAGGACGAGGCCAGGATGCTGCACGGATGCGGAGCTGCCTGCCACCGGCCCCCACAGTAGTGTGAACCAGCGCCGGTGCGGCCTCCGAGTCGGCGTCTAGCGCGCGCGATAAGGTTTTGCTCGCCTTCCCTGTGGGACCCCGTGAGAGAGAGAGGCTCGACGCGCGCGTCGCGAGCGTCTGACGCGGCGGGCGGCGTCGGGCAGGTGCGCTTCTCTCTCGGGTGGTGGTGGTGGTGCTGCTGCTGCTGCTGGTGGTGCAGATGCTGCTGCTGGTGCGGCGCGGCTCTCCGACGCGACTCGATGCGCGCGTCGTGGCTATCTGACGCGGCGGGCGGCGTCGCGGGCGGCAGCGGTGGCGGCTCGCGGGTGGAGGTGGAGGCTGGTGGCTGTGGTGGACTTTGAGTTTGTTTCATGGTCGAGTACGGGGACCGGGGGGTCAACCGGACGCCGCGCGCCGCCGAATCGGCCCGATCGCCCAGGCCTCTCCGCCGCTGCTCGTCGCCAGAGAGCTTCTCGGCGTCAGAATGCTCGTTGTGGAGCTGCATTTGAGCCTCGCCCTGAGTCTTCTCGACCCCGCGCCCCGCCCCGGCCGGGCGTCGCGCCGCGTGGCGGTGCCAGCAGGTGGGCTCCGGCGCCGCCCCGCGCGCGCGCAAGCGCGGCGGCGACGCCTCCGCACCCCCCGTGCCACCGCCCGGGCGAGCGAGGAGCAGGAAAACGAGCAGAGACATGCTGTCTCAAGGGTTTCGAGAGATCCCACCCCCTTTTCTTTATCCTCAGCGCGGCTCCGGTGGTGAGCCGGTGTGTGTGCCAGTCCGCGCCAGTCCGCGCCCTTGTCGTGCCAGTGTGAAAAGAAAAAGAAAGAAAACAGACAACCCAAGGGAGGGATGGGAGGACGGCACGCCGCCACCACACAGGGATTTTAAGGAGAGGTGTGTGGTGCGCTATCCGTCGCCCACCCTAGGGAGTCTGCCTCTTCCTATCTCTCTTCGCAGTCTCTCGCCGATTCTCGCTGCAACCTTCATGTGCCAGTGCCAGTGTGCTGTGAGAGAGGCCCTTGCAAAGAATTCTTTATCCTCTGTGTGTGCCAGTCCGCGCCAGTCTGCGCCCTTGTCGTGCCAGTGTGCTGTGAGAGAGGCTTGTGTCTTAAGAATTCTTTATCCTCAGAAAAACCTTCCGAGAATCCCGCTTGCGGAGTCGGCTGGCTATACCAGACAGCGAGAAACCCGCTTGCCTTACAGTATGGTAGCGCACGTGCTCCTCACCTTCGGCCTAGCCGCGTTGCAGCCTCCCGTGCTCCGCCGCTCGCGCGAGCATCGGCACAGTCCAGCGCTCTGCAAAATGGCCGCTGTTAGCGCTCCTCCAGCCTCGGCGGCGGCGCTCGAGGAGGAGTGCAGCAAGCCAGAGCGTTCGCTTGGGCGCATCGCAGAGCTGGTCGAGACGCTGGCGGCCGATCCTGTCGTCGCCCGCCCGAAAAAGGCGGTGCTCGGCGACTGGCGACTCGTGTTTGCCAGCAACGAGGAGGCGCTCGCTCCCTTCACCTCTCGCTGCGTGTCGCCGCCTTTTGGCGTGGTGGAGGACATCTTCTGCCGCATCGACCGCGGCGCCGACATGCGCATCATCGAGGTTGAGCGGCGGGTGGGACCGTTTGGCAACGCGAAGCGCGCGCTGCAGGCGCGCTACGATATTGTGGCTGCTGGAAAAGGCAGTGCCGACCGCCTCGCCTTTCAGGTCCGCTGGATGGACGACCCCAGTGGGCGAGAGACGGAGCCGCCCTCCAAGGAGAAGGTCTCTGCCGAACTGATCGCCGCTGGCTCGCTGATCGTGCTCCGAGATATCGCCTCGCCCGCGAGCTCGTGCCTCGTTTTTAGCCGCCTGTCGCCAAAGCAGCTTGCCCGCGCACTCGACGACCTGGGCGTGAAAAAGGAGTGAGCGCGGGTTTCGCGGCGCGAAGGAGTGTTGACGTGCGGTGTTTTGTGGTCTACATAAAAAGTCGGGGACCGTTTTTGGACCTGAGGGAGGGTGTAGAGGATGTAGAGTGTAGAGCGCTGTAGAGCTGTATAGAGATGTAGAGCGCTCTGGAGCGCTGTAGAGCGCTGTAGAGCTGTAGAGCTCTACATCCACCGCGTGACGAACTGCCTCCGTTGTAGAGCGATGTAGAGGCGCTCTACAACGTGAAATCTCTACAACAAACTCTACATCAAAAGCGGCGAACTAGGCACGGTCGGTCTCCGACATGAGGCGCGTTGCACTCGCCAGTGCTGCCCTGGCCTTCTGTCTGCCCGCCCAATGGGTGGCAGGTGCCTCTGCTGCTGTGGCATGCCTCACGGCTGCGACTGGCCGGCGCCTCGGCGCGTCAGCTCGGCTCGGCGTAGCGATAGTGGCCAGCGCAACTCGCCTGGACTCAACGCTCAGCCAGGAGCTCCCGCACGCGCTGGCGCGAGGCATGGCGCATGCAACGCGCAGCAATGCTCGCCTCGCCTCGCGCAAATGCGACCGTCCTCGCAGCCGACAGTCCACCGCCTGCTAAAGAAGCACTGCGACGAATGCGGCACCGGCGACGCATGGCAGGCTGGTCATGACGCAGTTATAGGGTGTTGTGTGCCATCAGAGTGACTCTCTGTGTGTCAGGGATAGTCAGGGCCGTCCATCAGAGCTCCAGTAAGCTCGGAGACACCCCATTAGCGCGGCTCGACCTCTTTGAGTCACTGCCTCCCCGCGGTTTTGCTGTAGAGCCTCTACAACAAACTCTACAACAAAATCGCGCTCTACATCGCTCTACAACGGAGGGCAGTTCGTCACGCGTAGGCCGGCCGGATGTAGAGCTCTACAGCTCTACAGCACTCCAGAGCGCTCTACATCTCTACAACTCTACAGCGCTCTACACTCTACATCCTCTACACCCTCCCTCAGTTTTGGACACATGCGGATGGACACACCCGGAAATCATCGAGAAAGTGAGACGCGCGCACAAGCCACAACGGAAAAAGTCTCTCGTTATACGTTATCGATCTGCCCCTTGGTCCGACTGCTGCCGCGCCTTCGATGCGTCCGAAGCGCTGCGGCGCCTCTGCTGCCTCCTCCTCTCCGGTTGAGGAGGGCCGGGTCGGGCGGATCGCCGGAGGAGTGGCCACAGGTGCCCCAGTGCGCGTGCACTGCTCCGCTCTCCGCGAGCCGGCGAAGGACGGCCGCCTGCGCCGAGAAGTTGTGATAGCCTCCCGTCGCGCCGGGGTCGCCACCAAACATGTACGACTGCGCCACCCCACCGCCGGGCCGCGCCTCGCCGCAGTCGTAGTAGTGGTAGCAGGCGGCGGGGCACGAGCCGTTGCCAAAGCCGTACAGGTGCACCGAGCCGCAGAGCTGCGACGCAAACGCAACCGCGTTCATGCCGGTCGAGGGGACGCGCTGGTGGCGCACGCCGGCAAAGAGGCGGCGGCTCCACTCCCTCAGCAGCAGCGGGTTGACTAGGTACGAGGCGGCCCACCTGTGCGCGAAGGTCTGCCGGAGCCGCTCGGCGCGGCAGCGGCCCGTGCCGGCCGTCGGCTCATGGCAGACGATGGCGAGGAGCGGCTCCTGCGGGATGCCGCTCATGTTATCGTGCTTGCCGTGGCCGAGCGGCGGCTTGAGCCAGAAGCGGCCGTAGTGGTTCAGGTAGCCGTACCCCTCCATGGCGAGCACCCGCCACGTCGTCCGGCTGCCCACGTCCGAGACCCAGGTCGCGAGGTCGCGATGCGGCGCCGAGCGGGCGCGTGCCGCCTCCCTGGCGTCGGGCGCGAGGTTTACTCGGATCACCGCGTCGGCGGCGTCGATCGAAGCGCCCAGGCGCGCACCCAGCAGCGAGCCGCCGGAGCCGACGACTGCGCAGGTCTTGTACCTGCAGACCCTCGGGTTGGAGAGGCCTCGGAGCATCGCCACCGCAGACCTCTCCTTGCAGAGCGCGCGAAAGCCGTACGGCGGGTTGTGGCGGCACAGCTGATCCATGTCGGCGTGCTGGACGAGCGCGGACGCTGATCCGTCCGCGGGCGGCACGCAGACGCCGCCAGAGGCCTGCCCGGCTCCCGCGCGGCCGTCCGAACCCATGTGCACTTTTCCGGCGTACATCGGTGCTTCAGCTGACGAGCACGAGTGGCGCACATGCAAGGCGTTCTTTTTCCAGTGCGGGGAGAGCGGCTTAGGCGGCTCCGGTGGTGGAGCCGGTGTGTGTGCCAGCCTCCGCGGAGTCAATTCTTTTTCCACATGGAACGGGGCTTTCCCGTGAGGAGAAAACAAGTTCGTTCAAGTTCGTTTTCTACCCTTATAAGTCTTGTGCCGGAGCGCCGACCGCTCTTGAAGCCGCGCCAGCTCATTCAAACTCGGCCGTCCCGGCGCCGCAAATCGTCGGCCTCAGCTCGGGAGCCAACAGCCGGCGCGCATGGGGGGCAAGGAGCGAGAGCGCGAACCGCCACCGGCCACCGACGACGAGGATGCGACGCAGGCGACCACGCAGGATGCGACGCAGGCCCGCAGGCGACCACGCAGGAAGGCTGCTGGCGTCGTGGGGGAGTCATCCGGCAAGCGCAGCCGACAGCACAGCATCACCAGCTCACCGCTGGGCTCGCAAGCGGCGAAAGCGAAGGGCCGCCGCCATGTCGCAAGGGGAGCGGGCGACGAAACGAGTGGCCGACCAGCAGCGACGCCGCCGTGAGCAGCGTGAGAGCAAGGAATCACAGCCAGCATCGATCACCTTTGACGCTGCGGTGGCAAAGGTCGCGTCGGAGGCAGCTCTCGGCGTGGCGGAGGTTGAGGATTTCCGCGACTGGCTGCTCGACCCACAGCAAGCTGGACAGCCGATCGACGGTGAACGCATCACCGAGTGGCGCGCCTCCGAAGCGTACGAGCGCGCCCGGCTCGAGTGCATGGAGGGTTGCATGTGCGAGGGTGCGTGCACGTGCACCTACGATGGCGTAGGCATCGCCCCAGACGTGCCTGGAGTCACCTGCGACTACCTCGACGAGGCGCTTTTGGAGCCGCGCGCCAACGACGGGCAGCCGCGTCAGGTGGGGATTGGGTGCCGGAGGGCTGGGATGGCGTCGAGGCCGATCGGCATGAGGAGCGGGCTAAACTCGAGCGTGTCTGAGCGGATTGAGCGAGAGAAGCAAGATGGCCTCGCACACGCTTCAGAGAAAATTTGGGTGGAAGATTTTGAGACTGGTGCTTGGGGGGCCTCTCCACCCGTGGCAGCATTGCCAACTATCGCAACCGCCATGTAAACCCCGTCTTTTGCGCGTATGAAGCTTACACGGGCGATGCTGCTGAGGCCGATGCATACCTGCGCGACCCGGGTTCAGAGGCGTCACAGGCATGGCTCGAGGCGCAGCTTGCTCCAGGCGGTGGCCAGGTCCGACACCTCCTGGCTCGCCCGCCTACGGGGATGACTGTTACTTCTCCTACCCGGACTCGCCAATGAGGCGGCCACGCGAGGAGGCGCCTGACGACAGCAACGCATATGAGCTCGACCAGGAGCGCGCGCTGGAGCTGCAGGGGCGCATCTCCTTATTTTACGGCCGGCCTTGGGACGAGGTGCCGAGAGGCGCGGGAGCTGCAGGGGCGCATCTCCTTATTTTACGGCCGGCCTTGGGACGAGGTGCCGAGAGGCGCGACGGTGCCAGTGACTTGCGAGTGGACCATCGCATCATTCAGCCGACAGCAGCAAATGCACGCTCTCGCCCGCACCGGTAGCCACGGACTTTGACATTGAGGACGAGTTCCTGCAGGAGCGTGCGCGGTGGTTCCGCGACCACGGCGGTGGCGGCGAGCTGGAGGGCTCGACGCGAAAGCAGAACGAGGCATTCCAGCGTTTGAAGGACCGCCTCTTTAGCCTTCCCCGCGACCGCGCGAACCCGTCGGGCACACCGCGTGCCTCGCAACGCCGGGCGTCGGGCGCCGGATCAAGCACCGACCCCCTGTGAGACTGTGGACGGTGCCTGGGACTCGAGCCTGGCTGGAATGGAACATCGGAAGAGCTTTACATTACGAATTAGTAGTAATTATGAAAAATATACGAGCGAGCTAAATCGCGATCACTCTCCACCCTCGAACGTCTGTGGAGGTAAGTGAGTACCTGTGTGCCAGGAGAAAAAGGCGGGTACCCGCTGGGCTGCCCGAAAAAAGTATTTTGACGAGAAACGCGGTGATCGCCGCTCCTCCCTTTTGATGCTAGCCCTCCTGCTGGCCTCAGCGTCCGCGGAGCTCGCCGGCGGATCGCGCGAGCACCAAGACGCCGTCTCGCGCGGCGACGCCGAGACGATTGCGCACAGCTTGCCCGTGGTGCAAGCTGAGGCATCGAGGCGAGAGTTGACGGCGCACGCGCAGAGCCAGGGCAGTTTTGAACTGGACTCAAGGCGCCTCTCGACCGAGTGCACACTCGAGCGCTCTGCCTACTGTAGCGGCATTACGGATGGAATCCCGCTCTGCGCTTGCCTGTGCCGCCACCTCTCTGCCACCTACACTCGCTCTTGCGTCGGCACGCTCGCCATGTTTATGCAGACCTGGCATCACGAGGCTGGGAATATCGCGGACAGGGGGCTGGGACCCCCTCCCACCGCCTGGGCCCTCGGCGTCGCGCTGGTCTCCTCTGTCTTTCTCACCGGCGCCATCTCGGTGGTTTACTGGTACGCGAGGGCGACGGCAGCGGCGAGCTCCCGGGCGGTGTCGACCACGCCGCGGCGCGAGATCGCTTTTTACGAGGCCGACGCGCCGTCCGACGGCGCCGCCATCACCGACGACGTCGGCAGCGTCGGCTTCATGGTAGCGATGAACCCTGGCGAGCACAACCCCGCGATCGCGGTGCCTGTGAAGAAGTCTGGCGAGGCCGGCGCCACGCTCCTGTGATGCAATCGCGGCGAAATTTGTCCCTCAGGGCGCCGCGGCGCCGCCGGCGGTCTCGCCTCCGGCAGCGATCCTGATAGTCCAGTCACGCCGAACACACTTGTCCTCCAGCTAGTTCCTGTCCCGTGTCCGTGTCGCTGTCGTCCCCGTCTTCTTCCCTCTTGTATTTTTGTGCGATATTTCTGCAAAAATGGGTTTTGATTCAGTGCGCGCCAGTCCCTCGCGCCGGTGAGCAGTGTGGCGCGGAGAGAGCCGCGTCCTTGGGGGAGAGTGCTAGCTCTGCTAGTTCGTAGTTGGTGACCCGAGTCGCGAGAGTGCGCGGACTGCGGTTGCGCTGGCCGCTGGGGTTTGGCCTGTATTTATGTATTTATCACTGAATCAGCCTGTAACCCCGTACCTATGTGCTACCTCACACGACAGGTAGTCGCACACCCAGGGCCGGCGGCCGGGGAGCTAAGAAGCGGCACCCAGCGGGCCGGATGATCCAGGTGCTAAATTCTCGTTCGTGTGAATCGTGCGTGTTGGCTGTTGCGAGAGCCTTGCGGTAAAATTCGAGCACTTGGAGTGCAGTCGGTAACCTCACACCCAGGGCCGGGGAGCTAAGAAGCGCACCCCAGCGGGCCGGATGATCGGTATCGGGTTACGGGCTAGAGAGCCCTACCTAGCCCTGGGCCCCCAGGCCCTAGGGGGGGTGCGCGTTCGCACGGAAGGGACCATAAAGTAAACACGGGTCTCCGAGGGTTAGTCCGCGCTTTGGGTTTCCCCTAGCCGCGGAGCGCCCCTCCACTCGGAGCTAAGAAAACACCACACACGCACACGAAGAAGTACAATTCTCTTTCGAGCGGTGTGTACCTGTGTTAGTGCCAGTGCGCGCCAGTCCCGTGCCCAAAAAAGAAAGAAAGAAAACAGTGCTCCAAGAAAACAGACAACCCAAGGGAGGGATGGGAGGACGGCACGCCGCCACCACACAGGGATTTTAGGGGAGAAGTGTGGTGCTAGCCGTCGCCCACCCTTGGGCGTCTACCACTTCCTTCTCTTCGCAGTTTCTCATGAGCTTGGATCTGTGACTAAAGCCGGTTACCACTGATGGATCCCCACCCGAATAACACACAGTGAGCGCCCCAGCGCTTCACTACGCCCTCCGCGCGAAATCTCGCTAGTGCTGTGAGAAAGTATATTGTACTTTTGAGTAGTACGGGTACGGTTCCCGAGACCGTTTGTGGCTCCTCCTTTGCTGTCCCATCTCCTCATCTCTTTCCCGCCTGGGCGGGGCAGTGGGCGGGCGCGCGGTGCGGCGTGGCGTGTGTGTGTGTGCGACTGCAACGAAGGACCGCTAGCGAGGGACCATTGGGTTTGTACTATTAACAACGAAGGCGCTAAAAAAAAGAAAGAAAACCATCAAGGGAGAGTGGAGGACGGCAGATCGCCGTCGAGCGGGCCGACCACACGATGCGCATCCTAGTCGGAGCAGCGTCGCGCCCGCACTTGACGCCCGTGCACGCTGCAGGCTCAGCGCCCGTTATGCTCGGAGTCTTCGAGTGCCCACTCTTTACCAGGACACCGCCGCCACCGCCACCGTCTTCGAGTGAGCCGCAATCGCCTCCCAGAGCATCGCCACCGCCGCCGTCGCCTCCCAGAGCATCGCCTCCGCCGCCGTCGCCGCCACCGCTCGAGGCGGCCTCTCTAGCTGTGGAGCGCCAGGCGCAGCGCGCGCTCGGCGTCGATCGAGCGCTGGGCGCCATCGCCGCGGAAACCGCCATTGAGACTGCGGTGCGGGCTGTGTGCGACGAGGTGGGCTCGTTGGAGGTCGAGGTGGCGGCCGAATCGACGTGGCAGATGCTGACGCTGCCAACCAAGCGCGGCAGCGTCACCGCGGCCTCCGTGAGGGCGCGCAGTGTCGTGGCGGGCGGCGTCCGCGCCTCTTCTGCAGAGCTCTCCTTCCCGGAAGGCGTCAGCGTCGTCCTCGGCACGCCCACGTCGTCGCAGCCCGCCGCACAGCCCGCCGCTTTCGGACTGCCGAACCTCGCGCGGCGCACGCCGGCGGACTTCGCGGTCCGCTTCTCCCAGGACGACCTCTCTCGCTCTCCGGTGCTCTTCGCGTCGCTCGAGGCGCTGCTGCAAGAGCTGCTTCGGTCGGGCGCCTCGGCGGCGATCGGCAGCGTGCTGCCGCAGGACACGGCAGCGCTGCGCATCACGCTGCGCGAGGTCGAGTCTCTCCGCGACGGCCGCATCACCCTCATCGCCGACGGCACGAGCACGCGCGCAGACGGCTCTCTCGTCTCGCTGCAGGGGCTGCGAGTCCGCACCGCGGTGGGCGTGTCGCGGGTGGAGAGGATGGTGGTGCTGAGCAGGAGCGAGCTGCTCTCCACCTTCGAGGGGCTCGGCGCGCGGCTCGAGGTCGGCCTCCCCTTCCTCCGCGGCGCGGGCATCCCTCTCCCCGCCGGTCTCACCCTCGAACAGCTCGCGGTGCTCGATGGCGCAGTCACCGCGCGCGGCAGCGTCACCCTCGAGCCGCTCGACTATTCGGCCCTCCTCGAGCAGGCGCAGCAGATCCAGGCCGACTTTGCCGCCCCGGCGGCGACCTCAGCGACCGTCGACACGGAAGGAGTCGTCGAGGAGCAGCCCGCCGGCACGAGTCAGGGCAGCCTGCCACGCGGCGTCTGAGAGCAGCTGGACGCTTGGGAGCGGGGCTGCTCACATCCAGTCCAGCGGCACTGTACTCCTGGGAGAGAACGGCCGTTTGGCTTGCAACCAAGTATGTGTGATCAACACCACCCCCCGTCGCAGTCTGTGGCAGGTCTGTGGCCTGTCTGTGAGCTGTAGGCCGTATGCGCGGCGCCCTTCTCCCCGCTTGATCTATATGTATGTGGAAAGGAGAGCTGTATGCGAGAGCCGTGATCACACGCCAACCGTCTCTCAATTTGTCGATGTACGACACGAGAGAGAGAGAAACGAGCTGGCCGGAGGGCGGAGGCGGAGCGGCGAGAGCGCATGTGCCACGCGGCACGCGTGTGCGCGAAAATCAAAATGCCGAGGCCCGAGCGAGAGACGTGTGAGACGGAAAGGATTTATGTGTGTAAAAGAGGGAAGCAGTCGAGAGGACAGGGGAGGGACGCGGCCAGAAAGAGGGCGGGCGCCGAGTTTCGAAAGCCGTAACACGAATCACAGAGACTCTGACAGAGGCGTGTCACGTGTCAGGCTCCCCCGCCTCACTGGCGCCCAAGGGCGCCAAGGAGCCAGCAGCTGCGGCGCTGTCGCGCTGTCCGCGGAATGTGCTCGACCCGGAATTCACGCCCGACGCCCCTGGGCACAAAAGGGGCCCCGCCCCATAGAAAGGCAACCGTGTTAGAGTTGTTTGGTATTGCTAAAAATCTCTCTCTAGAAAGGAAGGAGTCTCCCTCCCACCCAAGCAAGAAAGAGTGAGAAGGAAGGTGACTTGTGTCGTGTGCCCGTCGTTCGATTGTTGTGTTGTGTGTGTGTGTCTCTCTACTCTTGCGGATTTCTTCTTGCTGTTTGTGTTGCGTGTACGTACTCTCTCTCTCTCTCTCTCCTCTGTACTGTACTTTTAGCTTACTGGGAGAAAAGGGAGAGGGGTTTGTGTTCTCTAGGCCCCTAAGTAAGTAAGGCCCTACGCGCGTCTCTCTCTCTCCTCTTGCTTGTGTTTGGTTTTGGCCCCCGGTTTTGCATTTCGCGTGCGTGGACCGTTGGTGGAGTCCGTCTCACTTATCGCTAATTCAGGCGTGCTCATCATCGACACTGTAGTCTTCCCTAAGTTTTACACTTCTGTCACGCAGCGTTCAGGTTTTGGGCCAGCACAGCCACAACAACTTATACGGCCCGGGGGCGCGCCTCCAGGATCTTCGAACGGCTGAGAAGAATTACGACGGCGACGCAGCTGGCAAGCACACCACTAGCAGCAGGGCAACTGCTGCCGATGAGCCATACGTTGAGCGCACTGTATCGTCCAGACCTTCTGCTCTGGTCGCGTGCCAGGCGGGCTAGCGGGCTGTGCTATAGACCTACGCCGCGTGCCGCTGCGCCGGTCACCGATGTAGATCACGTGCATAAATTTTCGTGAAAAAGGCGCCGGACAAAAAAATCGTGCCGCAGCGCACTCGACACAGGCGCCACACAAGAGTCTCTCGCGTGTTGGACACCTTCTCGGATCTCGCAATATATATACCTCGAGGTACACAATACACACGGGGCGCGCGCGGCGCCCGGCGGGGGAACGTCTCTGGAGACGCGAAGTGCGCGATCGTGACACACACTCACTTACCTTTAGACTGAGAAGCACACTGGTGACAGCCTGCGATTATAACACACCTTTTCACGCCTGGCGCGAGACCGACCCGGAGCTTGGGCGCCTCGCGGCCGAGCCCGAGGCCCGAGCTGCGCCTCGCATCCCAGCCCCCACACGTCACGACTAGCCAATCTGCAGCTTGTACAGCACGAGCAGAGAGAGGCAGCAGCCCATGACCACCCCGAGGATGGTCTTGTCGCGCGACCGCTTTCTGCTTATCCGCCCGAGCAGCGCGTTGATCTGCGGCGCCACGGCAGAGAGCTGCTGCAGCTTTGAGCCGACGCCGCCAAAGATGCCTCGCTGGAGGCTGAGCGCAGCCTTGGTCTCGGCGGCGTGCTCGAGCAAGCCGTCGAGCGCGCGATCGGTGGCGTGCACGGCATTGCGCTCGCGCAGCAGCGCGTCGGTGGCGCGACTCGCCGAGCGGTGCTCGACGATGTCCTCGCGCACCGAGGTGAGAAGCTGCTGGCGCTCGTCGGCCATGCGCAGGTTGGCCTTGGTCTTTGAGAACTCCTCGAGAAAATCGTGCAGGATCTCGCGGTGCCTAGGGCAGCGAATGGAAATCGCCTGGACCCGCCGCTCCACACGAGAGCCGCTGCGTCGCCACGCACCGCTGCAGCGTGTGCAGCGTCGTCGCTGCTCGACCCGACGGCGCTGCGCTAGCCGCCCGGCTCATCGCGTCGTTGACCTCCTGCAGCCGTGTCAGTGATGCCTGCGGACACGAGACGAAAAGCGTCAGCGCGGCGCCACATGCTTCCTCGGACAGAGAGTGGCCGTGCCTGGACGTCACGGGTGCGCGCCTCGACGCCACCACTGCTCGCGCCGGGATCGGAGAGGTCTGATCGGCCCAGCTGCATCAACTCGGCGTCGAGGGTGTGCTCGAGCCGCCGCGCCTCGCGGCGGAGCTCGTCCATCGACATGAAGGGCGACACCTGGGCCAGGCCGCCGGCGCTTGGGTTGCAAGAAAAAAATCTCCCGGCGCTCGTGGGGAGCATGTCCTCCGCCCCCATCCCTCGGTTGAGTTGTCTGTTTTCTTTCTTTCTTTCTCCATGTCTGGTGTTTACTAGCTCCGAGTAGAGGGGGCGTTCCTCTGCTGCTAGGGGAAACCCAAAGCGCGGAGCCCTCGCGGAGAAAATTGTTTACTTTAGAGAGAGATTTTTAGCAATACCAAACAACTCTAACACTCACACGTCATTTGGGGCCTGGAGCCCTGTTCACGCGCGCGCGAGACGTGCAGACAGGGTTGCCAGGTGAGAGCGAATGGCGCGGTTCACGCCTCGCACAACAGAGAGAGAGATGCGCTCTGCGTGGTGGGACATAAAAGAAAGCGAGTACTTGGGCGAGTAGGCCGTGCTTGTTTGTTACTTTACGGCGGCCCTTTCCCTGCGAACGCGCACCCCCCAGGGCTAGGGCTCTCTAGCCCGTAAATGAGGGTATCCGGCGAACCAGTTTAGACCATGTTTAGACCATGTTTAGACCACGGCTGAACACGAGCACCAGATAGTCCTGTTTACGATAAGCTGGGTCTAAACAGGGCTCGGCCTGGGTGGGGGACCCCATAAGCCATACCAGGTTTAGACCCGGTTTAGGGCGCCCCTACCCCTCGCGCTACGCGCTGCTCCGCCGCCGCGGCCGCGCTGGCTGCGGAAGCGGCAGCGTGCAGCCGCCATCCTCTGCCTCGCGGGCCGGACAGCCACACCTGGCACACTTGCACCGCGCAACAACAGCCTCGCCGGTCAGGCGCACGGTGTCGTCGGGCAGCGTGATAATCTCGTCCATGCCCGTCGTCGAAGTGCATCAGCAGCCGCGTGGACCCTCGAGACGGTCAAGATTGCCATGCACTTCCACAAAATCGACCAGCGCGAGAAGAAGCAAGGCCGCTGACGCTTGCGCGTGCCGCTGAGATCCGCGTCTCTCTCGTCACAGAGCAGGGGAGCTGGGGCGGGGGAGGTGCGCGCTGCCGGGGGGGGGGGGGGGGCATTAGCCACATACCAGGTTTAGACCCAGGTTATCGTAAACAGGACCAATCTGGTTCGTGTTCAAAAGTGGTCTAAACTGGTGTAAACTGGTTCGCCGGATACCCTCCTCCGTAACCCGATGCATCCCGATCATCTGGCTCGCTGGGTGCGCTTCTTAGTCCCCGTCCCTGGATGTGAGGCTGCCGACTGCACTCCAAGTGGTTGAGATGAGATCTGTGCGTGACGCTACTGGGGACCTTCTTGTACAGCATCGGCATTCGCTACTACTGCACAGCTGCACAACATCCGCTACTGCACAGGAAGGGGAGTCATCAAATCAAAGAAACAAGGTGCGTGGGCGAGCGCGAGCGAGAGGAGGAAGACATGATGGATGGGACGGAAGCTGGGAAGAGCATTTCCATTTGACGACGGAAAAACGGAAGTTAAAATAAAAAAAGAAAAGGAAGCGCGTCCGCAAAAGAGGAGGCCTTTTTGCGCGCTCCGAGTCATGCCGAGACGCGCCCCCCGCCGATGCGCCTCCGCACCGCGCCCACAGTGAGCCCGCCGCCGATTCCAGAGAACGTGGTGTCGGCGGCGCATGAAGGCTTGCTGATTCCAATTCGGACGTGGTTCAGCGGCGGCGGCAAGGCCGACGCGACCTACGAGACAAGCGGAGCTAGCAGCCGCGCGCTGCTGATCAGCTGATGCTTGCGGCCGCCAACGGCCAAGAGAGTGTGGCCGACCTGCTTCTTAAGGGGCGCGCAGGTCGACCTGCAAGACAGCAACGGCACCACCGCACTGCTTGAAGCCGCCCAGAGGGGCCACGTGCAGGTGATGGACATGCTGCTCAAGCGCGGCGCAGAAGTCAGCCTAGCAAACAACGACGGCGTGACCGCGCTGACGGCTGCCATGCTCCACGGAAAGACCGAAGCCGAGCTCCGCCTGATGTCGGCAATCGAGAGCAACTGGTTTGAAGCGTGGGTGCTGCCGTTGCTCGACGGGACCGGGCGGGTCAACGCGGCCTCAATGCGCGGGCGGTGGGCCGGCGTACGTACCGTCGACACGGACATCGAAGGCCTTGCCGGCGAAAGGCGTTGAGGCGGAGACGAAGCGCGCGGCTTCGCGGTTGTTGACGGCGCTGTCTCCGAGGGACGGGTTGTTCTTGACGTGCACATCCCGCGCCTTGACGAGCTCCTGGTGCGCGTACCAGTCCTTGTGATTCTTGATGGCAGCGAGCGCCCGCGGCCACGGGTACGTGGATTTGCAAGTGCCATTGAGAATCGCGTCGGTAGCTGGAAGGGACTCGGGCTCGGGGAGCGGGACGCTCTTGGGGTAGAACTCAGTCAGGTAGCCGCCGCGGACGGTGTAGTATTTTTTGTGTCAAATCGGTAAAAACCTGCTCTGCAAGAGCGAGTTTTGTGGCTTGTTTGGCTTCATCGGTACCGTGACTGTCGCGCCGCCGCGTTGCACATTGGACACATGCTCTCGCGCGTGGCGATGATGGTCGGCGCACGTGGCATCCTGAAAGGCCGCGCCTCGGGAGTCGAGCTGCCTCGACACAGCCGCGAGGGCGGACACTGGCCCTGCACGAGCCGGCTGTCGGGCGCTCTGGTGCTCGCAGCGGTGCAGCTGGAGTCGGAGACTCGACCTCCACCTCCGCCCCGCCGCCAGATCCACCGGACTGAGGGCGGCTGGAGCTGCAGCACGATCTGGAACTACGTGCTGAAGGGAGACGATTCGACCTACCTGGCCAACTTCCGCTGCACGCGGCGCCAGCTTGATGATCTCGTTGGACAGCTGGAAGCCGGGGCGCCATACATGGTGAGCAGGCTAGGCGGGCGGGGCAACCCGACACTCTTCCGACCTCGGAGCCACGGGAGGGTGCTCAAGGAAACGGAAGCGGCGAAAGCCGACGGTTGGTAGGAATGGGGCTCTCCTCTGGCCAGATTTGGGCTTGGAGTTGGCCGCGTCGAGTTTTGGATGATAGTTCGATTTTTGTGAACGATTTTCACCCGCAGATATTGCACGTCTTCTCTGGCAAGACAAAAAGTAAAGCGAGCGACAAAATGTCACGCGGTAATTCCGAGGGCTCGACCGGCGGCTCGCAGCTTCCGAGCTTGTGCACAAAGACGCCTGTGTGTCGAGCCTGACGATGGGGTGCGGCTCAAGCAAGCCCGAGATCGGGAAGAGTATCATGGTGGATGGCAAGGAGCACCACCTCGCCTATGTCAACCCCGACGATCCCTCCTACGGCACCAAGTACGTCGAGGGGCCTCCGCCGCAAGCACAGAAGAAGCGAGCGGGCTTCTCCTTTCGCTACACATCCAACCGCTACACCTCGAACCGTCGCACCGACAACCGGGCGACAGATAATCGGTAGGCGCCGGTCGCCCATCGCTGCCTGTCAGGTGTAGAAGCCGTTCGCGTGTTGTCTGTGTGTCGATACCACATCTGATTATTCACTACTTCTGACTGGAGACGCTTTCGCTCACACTGGTCTGGCCGCAAAGTGCTGGTAGCGCCAGCTCGGGTCCGAGACGGAGCGCGGTGAACGTGCGCGCTACTGCCTACTGACGTACGGCTGGTCGAGGCCGGCGCCGGGTCGCGCGGTCGCGGCCGCAACCGGGAGACAAAAAGCGGGCGCACAAGTGTGCGCCCCGCGGCGTTTTGCCTGCGCTGTGTTACCCGTGGCTCTGCCGTCATCTCCTCACTGCTGGTGCATGCCCGCACTCACTCACGAGAAGAGTAAAAAAGAAACAAAACACCTGTCCGCGCCAATGGCCAACCATCGTCTATAACACACACACGTGTGTGTGTGTGTGTTTCGCCAGGGGGGTGTTGCGTGCCGACGCCGCACATTCCTATGCGCTGCTGTGCCCGCCCCTCCCCTGTCCGCTCGCTACGCCTCGTGCGACGCGCCGGCGGCCACGACCAGGGCGGACTCCTTGCCCTCTTTCGCGCTCTCCTTTGTGCTCTCCTTTTGCGCGAGCTTCTTCGCCTTGGCCTTGTCGGGCGAGCCGTTGTGCCACGGCCGAGGCGGCGCCACCGTCTCCATCTGCTGGTCCCCGGGCGCGCCCGCGCCCGGGAAGGCCATGCACAGCCACATCAGCACAATCTCGGCGAGCGAGGTCTCGATGGCGAAGGGGCGCTGCGGCACGCCTGCACACCCCGGGCGGGGGCGGGCGGTGAGGGCGGCGCGGCGCGAGTCGGAGGGAGGGGCGGGGTGGGCGCGCCGCTCTGCAAGTGGACGTGATGCATGTACCTGCGCCGCGCACGGACCGGCGCGCCTCAGGCGGCGTCCACGCACGACTAGACAGACCACGCACGACTAGACAGACGTCTCGCTCCGGCGAGAGCGAGAGCCGAGGCAGGGGAAGGGGAGGGCGGTGTCGCGGCGGCGGAGGGACGGCGCGGCATCTCTCGACCCCAGCACCCCCGCCCCGCCCATGCCCCACCGCGCGCGGGCGCGGGCGCGGGCGCACAGCTTGCGGACGTGTATCCGCGGCAGCAGCAGTCCGGAGGTCATGTTGAGGCACCGCCTGCGGAGCAAGCGGCGGGTGCTCACGCCTGACGCGGGAGCGAGGCGGCGGGCGGCGTGTGCGTGCATGAGCGGTCCGATCCAACGAGCGACGCTGCCGCTGCTGCTCGACGACGCCTCCTCCTGCGGCCGGGCGGGCAGCGCTCAGCCCGGCAGAGGCGGGCGGGACGGTGCAAGCCATCCGCAGCGCGCAGCACTGGCGTGCGACGCGCCTTTTGCACGACCAGCTCTCGACCATCGCCGAGACCTGGCGGTGGCGGTGGCGGGTCGTCGCTCGTGCCATTGACCGGGCCCACGAGTTCGATGAGCCGCCGGATGGCCCGGTCGACATCGTCGCGGGTCGCTGCGAGGCCGGGCGGGTCGTGCGGCGCGAGGAGGAGGTGGAGTTCCTCTAGAATCACCTCCTGCGTTCCCAGCTTTACATCGAGCGCAGTCACAAGCGCGTGCTCCAGCCGCATCGGCAGCACCTCTCCGATCGTTCCAAAGAGTACTTGCAGCAGCGCAGGAGTGATAGTGACGCCGCCGGCCATCCGGATGATTCCGCCGCTGCCGAGGTGCTTTGATCCGCCGCTGAAGAATGGAGACAGCACGGCGGCTAAGGCTGAGTCAACGACAGGCATGAAGTTTGTATAAACAGGGCCGCGCCAACCAGGCACCGCGCGGAAAGAGAAATCGCAGTTGCGTGCCGTCCTCCCATCCCTCCCTTGGGTTGTCCGTTTTCTTTCTTTCTTTTCTTAAGCTGAGGCGAGATGGGATTTGGGGACATGTCATCCCCGCCCTGCACGATCTTGGTGTGAGGGATCTTCAATCCGTGGCCCCTCACGGTCACGCTCACCCCTCGTCACACGTCAGACGTCACATCTCACAAAACATGACAAAGTTAGAGTTGTTTGGTATTGCTAAAAATCTCTCTCTCAAAACATGACGTGTGAGTGTTAGAGTTGTTTGGACTTTGGTATTGCTAAAAATCTCTCTCTCATCTCACATCTCACAACCCGATCAGCGACACACAGGAGAGCGGCAAAATCTTGTGGTGGGGTTCCCTTTAGGATAAATATTATGTCGCGTTAACGCATTAGCTGACGCCTCGACCCTCCAGCGCCCTGATCCGGTCGTCGCGCTCGTCGATGACAGCCGCCAGCGCGGCGGCGGCCTCTGCCTGCCGGCGCGCCGCCTCGTCTCTTGCGGCGATCTCAAGCTCGAGCGCCTCGAGCCTCGCCTGGAGCCCCTCGCGCTCCTCGCGCTCCCGCGCCAGCTGTGGCTCTCGGCGGTCGCGCTCCCTGGCATCCTCGTCGGCACGGCGCGCCTCCTCCGCCTCCTCCCGCTCGCGCAGCGAGCGATGCTCGTCCTCCAGCGAGCGGTGCTCGTCCTGCAACGAGCGGTGCTCGTCCTGCAACTCGCGGTGCTCGTCCTGCAACGAGCGGTGCGACGCCTTCAGCTCGCGATGCGAGGCTTGCAGCTCGCCGAGGGCGGCCTGGAGGAGGGACAGAGGCACGGGGGGTGTCAGGACAGTTGCCTCGCGAGGGAGCGTCGGCTCGCCCTCGCCGACCCCGCCTGCAGCCTGCCGGCCTCCGCCTCTGCCCGAGAGGCCCTGTTGCTCTCGCGCTGGCCGAGCTGGCACGCCTCCTCGAGTCGAGCCTGTGCCGCCTTCTCCGCCTCCTCGGCGGCCAGCTGCTTGCCCCTCGCCTCGCGCCAACGCTGCGGCGTGCACACGAGGCGGTGAGAGGCAGCCGCGTGATGCGCATGGACCAAGGGCTGCATGGACCAAGGGCTGCAGGGACGGTGATGCGCATGGACCAAGGGCTGCAGGGACGGTGATGCGCATGGACCAAGGGCTGCAGGGACGGCGGGTCGCACACCTGGTCGAGTGAGCGCTCTCTTCGCGACGCGGCGGTGGCCTGGGCCATGTGGCCGCTCGCAGCCTCCTCGACGCAGCGAGCCGCGTCCGCCTCTCTCTTGGCAGCGGCCTGCGCCCGGTGCTCCAGCTCGAGGTTGGCGCGGGCGAGCTTCGACATCTTCTCGCGGCAGCGGTCGAGCGCGGCACCTCGGGCCTCCGCAAGAGCCGCCGCCTCGCGCTGCGCGGTCCCGAGTCGGGATAGCTCGCCCTCTGCGTCGTGGAGCCGCCGGAGGAGCAGCTCCCGCTCGTGGCCCGCCGCATCGAGGCGCTGCATGATTGAGGCGCACGTCACCCGCTCCGCAGCCTCGTGCCGCTCCGCGCGCTGGCGGATGAGGTCATCGACTGCAAGATCGGCGCAGGTCATCCTTCTGTGGTTGCTGGGCAATTTGGCGTGGGTGTGTGGACCTCCCGGGCGGGGGAGGTGTACGTGCGACTAAAAGAAAAACCGCAGACACGTGTTCCTTCTTTCTTTGCAAGTGCTCTGTGTTTGCGACAAAAATAAAGACGGCGGTTTCGATGGTGATCTGATCACCGCTGCATCGAGCCGCCGTTGGCCCCCGACAGGTGAGCCACAATCTCAAAGGCGAGCGGCGACCTGCAAGTGGGAGGGAGCGGGCTGAGCTCTCTAAGATGAGAGGCGAGGAGGCTGCCTGGGCCTGCAGGCGGGTAGCCTGCACGCGAGTAGACACGGCAGCAGCAGCAGCAAACCCCACGGCGCATTGGCGAGCGAGAGGAGCAGCCAGACCTGGCCGGGGGGAGGACGGAAGCTTCGGGTGGGACGGCTCAAGAGGCGGGCAGCTGGGGGCGCGCATGGCAAGGTAGCTGGGCAGCTATCAGGCGGTGTGCCGCGAAGGAGACGTAGTACGCGTCAGGGGCGAGGCGCTTGCAAGCGACGCCGTCCTCGCTCCACAGCCGGGCAGACAGCAGCGCGCAAGCGAGCAAGGAGGCCGCCTACCAGGGACAGAGGCGCCGTCGTGGCCGCTGCGCAAGGCCCGTCCTCCCGCTGCAGAGGGCGCCAGCATGGCTGCGCACGCGCGGGTGGCGAGCGGGCGAGGCATCCGCAGCGGCCAAAAGAGGCGACGGCCGCACTCGTCGTTGGTCATGCCCGAGAGAACCAGCCCGTACGGCAGCAGCGCCTAGTGCAGACTCCGGGCGCGGCTCGCCAGACGCCGCAGCCCGCGCCCTCCCCTCTCAATCGTGCAGCACGCGCCGCCACGCCGGCGACAGCGAGACCGAGCAAGGAGGCGCCGCATGCGCGGCCTGCGAGAGCGCGTGCGAGCGTGGCGATCGCACCGGCGGCGAGGCCGAGCGACAGCAGCAGCGGCCACCATCTACAGAGCCGCTCCGCTGCGGCGAAGAGGCAGCGCCGCCGCCGCCGCACCAAGACAATGACGCAGTCTCCAGGGCCGACGCCGGCAGTGGGCAGCGGCAGCGCCTGATGGCAAGAAGAGGCACTGAATTGCGGAGAGGTCTGCGCGGTCCGCGGCCCGTGCAGCGCGTCACCTCGTCGCGGAGCTCGGCGCCGTCGAGTATCAGCCGGAGCTCCAACGAGTCTGCAAGAGCGAGTATACGTCCTGCCTCGACGTCGGCTGAGGTGCCACGCCCACCCGTCTCGCGCGCCAGCGCAGCGAGGTACTGCACCTTGAGCTCGCCCACCGTGGACGTCGGTGCGACTTCCACAAACACTCCATGCGCCGATGGAAGCAGCCGCTCCATCCGCACAGCAAATACTCCGACGCCGTCGCCAGCCTCGGTGGGCCAGGTGTCGGATCGCTCTCTACCCGGCAGCAGCCGCTCCTCAGGCGAGCGCCGGGCGGCGAGGGCAAGAAGGCTCTTTGCTGACGAGTGCGCCATGCAAATCGGCGCTGCTTCGAGGCGAACTTGATGCACCGAAGAAGAATTCGCGAGGCGCACGGTTTTTCTGGGCTCTGGCCACTCGCCCGTGCGGTTACTGCGGTTACTGAGTAACCGCACGGGCGAGTGGCCAGATTACTGGGTAACCGCACGGGCGAGTGGCCAGAGCCCATTCTCACCAGCCCTGCCCCGCAGCGCGGCCGCTCGCCAAGCCCCGTCGATGAGAGAGAGAGAGGAGATTTTTAAAGACTTTCGATGAGTGGTCAGATGGTTAGTGCCCGAGAGCGAGGGGTCCGGGGGGGAGCACAAACATAGGACGCCCAGCCTTGCCCTCGTGCCGCCGAGTGCATATCCTATGCGAGAGAGATCCCCTGTGCCGATGCCAATCATCCGGCCCGCTGGGTGTGCTTCTTAGCCCCCCGGCCCCCCTGGATGTGCGGTTAATGACTGCACTCCAAGTGCTCCAAGTGCCCTGTGCCCAGCCCTCTCCGCGCGGCGATGCGCCCTGGCCCTCCCCCCTCGCTTTTGCAAAATCCTGCAAAGGTGGGGACGTGTCTGTCCTCGACCCAGCCCTAGCTTGGGATGTCCGTTGTATTTATTTATTTATTTATTGTTCTGGGTTCTTTCTTTCTTTTTTACTAAAAGAATTTTAAACACTATGGCACAACACAGCTCGAGCAACACAGGGCAGGGGATTCGGACGCACTCGCACTAACATAAAAGAACTTTGAGCGTCACAAACACCGATCTCGTCGTCCCTCTCTCCCTCCGCCGGGCATCACTTTCACCCATATCCGTCTCCCATCTCGGTGCATCTGCCCCGGTCTGCGCATGTGCATGTCACCTTGTGTCGTGTCCGTGTGCCCGCGCCTGAGGCTCGAGGCCTGAGGGCGCCCTCGCTCCTCGCGGTGTGTGTCCGAATTCATTTGTACGTACGTCGCCGAACGCGCACACAACTTCAACTAATCCCTAAAATCGTGGCTCGTGCGCTCGTCGCCTCTGGGGGGGGGCCGCCTCCCCGGAGCTCGTCGCTTGGCTTGTCGCGTGGCTCCGCGTAGCGACCTTCAGATTACACGCGCCCACGACTAATATGCTCAGGGCAAGCATCCGCGCGGGGGCGTGAGGGCCGTCGGCCCGTCCCCGCGAATGGTGGTCTCGGTCATACCGACACTGAGGTCTCGAGGTAGCGCGGGTTCACGGTGAACACGGCTTCGTGCGGACGGACCTTGTTGTGCTCTTCGACATCGCTAGCGAGACGGACGAGCTTGCTCTGGAAGTCAGCAAACCCGCCTTGCAACGCCTTGAGAGTGTCGCCCTCCGCGGGGAATAGGAACGTCCAGTCTCTCGGCCCTCCGGGCGTCACCATGAGCTTTGGCATGGGGGTCGAGGTGAGGGCCATCAGAATCGCGCCGCCGTACGCCGCCTCCTTGGTGCCGATGGTCTCGTCCTCCTTCCAGTGGAACGAGGCCCACGACACGTCCTGCACGTAGACCTGCACCGAACCAACCTGCTCGTGCAGCATCGTCACGTGGAAGACGAAGCTGCTCAGCACGTTGAGCACGACGCGCCGCTTCTCGGCGGCGGACAAGCCGGCCAGGTCGAGCTTGTCGGTCGCGCCGTGCCGCGCCTCCATGTTCCTCATTGCCACCAGCTGCTCGAGAAAGCCGGCGAGTTCCGCGTCCGCCTCCATCGCCTCGGCCGACGGGTAAAACGTGTCGAGGTACTGCGTCACAAAGACCTCGACCGCCTCGTAGTAGCGGCAAGCGTAGACGTGGTACGGCGTGTTGAGCGTCTGGGCGCGCTGGCGGAGCACCTCCCCCGCGCCAAAGCGTTCGTCCTCGTCGTTTGAGACGGCGGCGGGCGCGTCGGCGTAGGCGGAGGCGAGGCCCTGTCTTGTGAAGGCAAACAGGCGCGGCACGGTCGACATCCACGCGGCGAGGCCTATAGGCGCGGCCGGCACCGGGTGAAGGGGGCGGCGACGGGGTGCGGGGGTAGCTCAGCGTGGCGGGGAGACCGCTGACGGCTTGCTTATTGATGGAGATGGTGAAGAACTGGAAGGGGACGAGGAAGCGGCGGACCGGATGCGTCGGGGAGAGCTGCTCGCGCGTGGCGATCGTGATAGTGTTGGCCTGGTGCCAGTGGCAGTTGTAGAGGTGATCGATCATCGTGACGAGCGACAGAACCGACGAGCGGGCGCAGAACTTGGCATATACCCAGGCGGCCGAGCCAGGGCGGTACACCTTGAGCGCAGGCGGGCGCCACCATTCGGCGTCGGGGTCTCGCTCGGCGCGCACGATGCACGTCACCTTCCACTCGCTGTCAAAGTAGATGTCGCCTCCGTACGTGGCGAGACCGGGCCGCGTCTCGTACGCCGCGAGCGCATTGGTGCGCAGCACAAAGTAGCCGTACTCCGCGTCGGGGTGGCCGTCCGGCACCCGTTCGACGCGGTGCGCGCCGATCCCGTCGCGGCAAAAGCGCGCGAGGCCCTCGTCCGACTGCTTCTCCTCCGCTGACCAGTCCTGCACGATGGTCGGGTAAACGGAGCCGACCAGTTTCATTGCAAACGCGACCGGGTTCACTCCCGGCTCAAAGGAAGTGGGCGTGCCCCAGCGGCCATCGAAGGGGAGGAAGAGGATGCGAGCCCCGCTGAGCAGGTCGGCGGGCGTCCAGTTCAGCCCCGGGAACAAAGCGCCGCTCTCAGGCATGAACTCCTCTTCGTTCTCCACCGGCGCGTAGAGACCACCAGTGAACGGGATGTCCACTTTGCGCAGCGTGCGTTTGGGGCGCATGCAGTCGACTGGAAAGTCCTGGCGCGCGGTAGTAGGGGCCATCAGCTTCTGGGCCAAGTTCGTGCGCTGGAGCATCAGCAGGAAGGCCCAGTACGGGTCGCCCTTGGGCTCGAGAGAGCGGAACCACACCACAAGGCCGAGGCAGGCGGGCGCCGAGAGCAGCGTGCAGAGGGCCACCGCGACCGAGCCGAGAATGATCGCGAGGTAGACGGGCACGGCCAGCACCATGCCCATCAGGAGGTAAAAGAGCATGCCCGAGCACCAGAAGCCGCACCCGACGTCAGTCGGGGCGCACACCTTGTCGAGTTCACGTGTCGACTGAATGGAGTCGTACGACGAGGGGAGCGTGTTCACGTTGAGTTTGACATTCTCGCTCTTGCGAGTGCGCGCAATGTACTGGTTGCTCGGCCGGGCCACTGTCGGCCTTTCCGGCACGGGCATATACGTGGTTTGGCGGCCCGCGCGCGAGCCGCCCGCCGCGCAGCGCCACTAAATGGCGGCGGCGCTTTACACGCGGCAAGGAGAGGGGATCGTTCCGGATTCTTCGTTTCATCTTCCGGGCTTAGGGAGTTAGGGACACACATATAGGCAACGCCGCTCACAGATAGGTTGATAAGAAACAAGTAGCGCCCTCTCAGACAGTGAGAGAGAGAGAGAGAGAGAGATCGAAAACCAACAAACACGAAATCACAGTGGGTGAGGGTGTGAGAGGCGGACCTTCATTCACAGCCTTGTGTGTTGTGATTGAGAAGGAAATACCTCGTTCACACAAAAGGTCGACCCCGGACCCCGAGAACAGAAGATTCGCAAAGAAAAACCTGCGCGATCGCGTATTATGAAAACAGCATGGTGCATGGAAGGTGTGAATATATACAGTAATAGTAGTACCTGCCCCTCCCTGTGTGCTCAGGCAGTCCTCTAGTGTGTCTGGACTTGGCCTGAGCAACTGGTAGCGTTTGGGGCGTGAGCTTAGCCGAAGTGAGCAAGGCCGAAGTGAAGAAGAAAGCGTGTCCAGGATTCCAGGCCGTGTCCTGCCGCGTCCGTGCCTCGGTCTTGCCATGATGTCGCTCGCTCAGCCCGCGCGCGCGCAAACGGTGCGTCGCACCCCCCATGTCCCACAGATGGGGATAGTGAGCGCCGGTGACGCTCCCACAGGCGGCAGCCGCGGCAGCCGCACTGCCCCTCCAGCAGAATGCATCAGTCGAGCTCCCGCCCACGCTCGCACCACCGCTCGCCGTGCGCCGCTCGACGCGCCCAAAGCTGGCAGTGCGACGTGACAACGTCAGTGCTGCACTGGTACCTGTTCTCAAGCGGCTCAACGAACTGCTACGCCACCACTACGCTGCGCCCTTTGCGACGCCGGTCGACCCAAGCATCTTCCCCTCCTACTATCACGGGCCGCGCGCAGTCGAGGACCCGGTCGACCTCGGCACCATCAAGAAGAATGTCGAGGCGGGCAAATACACCAGCGAAGTTCACGTGAAGACGGACGTGGACCGTGTGTGGGCAAACTGCCGCCAGTACAATGGCCGAGAGTCCGAGCTTGCGCGGATGGCGGAGAAGCTCGAGGAGGTCTTTGACGAGAAGATGGCCACCATCCCACAGGAGGTGGAGGCGGCGGAGGCGGCGGCGCGCCGAAAGGACGACCAGCGCAAGGCCCGGCGCGAGCACGCCCTGAGCATGAAGATGCAGGACCTGCAGCGGCAGATGGCAGAGATGAAGCAGCTGCTCGAGATGCAGCGGCAGTGCATCGTCGAGCCTTCGCCTGCCGCGCCCCCCACCGCCGCCGCGCTCCCCGCCGGCGCGCTACCCGCCGCCGGCAATAAACGCCCAAGGGGTGCGACGCCGCCGATCGACCTGTCACACGACATGACGCACGAGGAGAAGGCGCGGCTGACGGCGGCCATCCAGAAGCTGAGCAGCGACAGGCTGCCCGGGGTGGTTGCCATCATCCGGGAGAGCACGCCCTCGCTCGGCAACGGGACGGACGAGATCGAGGTGGACTTCAACGCTCTCGACCGCAAGACGCTGTGGGAGCTGCACCGCTTCGTCAACGCCCGCCACAAGAAGAGGCCATCCAAGAAGCAGGCGCACCACACTACCGTCTCGCGCATGGCTGCCGTGGAGCTGGCAAAGGCGCAGACCGAGGAGCGCATCGCGTACCTGCAGCAGTCGCTTCAGAGCAAGCGCGGCGGTGGCACGGACGACTTTGGCGGCAACGATTTCGGCTCCGAGTCCGACGTGGACGCGCTTTCCGACTCGGACTGATATACCGTCGAGGGCCAGCAGGCAGCAGCGGCCCACCCTGCATGACCCCGTGGCTCATACACCGCCAGGGCCAGAGGAGCGACGCCACAAGGATAACTGCCTCCACGTAATAGTGTGTGCAGCATTGCCCAGGCGGCCTACGGCAGGCGCGTCGCGCTCGGTGGTTATAGCCCGCATGCACACTTAGTTATTAAGCTTGCTCGATGGTCACCGGTTCTCGGTCGTTTGAAACGTTTCCTGTCAAGTGAGAAGTGTCGTGTTGGTGCGATTTTTTTCCTATTTTTTTCCAACTCCGGTCACCGAGTCTGAACGCGCTCAGCCTCAGGAGGTACCAAACCGCGCGAATTCTGCACGCCTCGCTGCACCGCTGGCTTGACTGAATCAGGCAGCAGCAGGCTGCTGCTGCTGCCACAGCAGCAGTCTGCTGCGGCCCTAATACGCAAGTTGATGACTAGCAGCACTGCCGGGGGCATTCGAGCCGCCACAGCCGGTGTGCGGCTGTGCACTGCCACCTGCCCGCGGCTACGCACAATGTGCGCTCGCATTGGATGAGCCCTGCTGATGGACCTGCATCGCCTAGCTGCACGAGAGCAATGCCGCAGGCAGTGGCCGTGGCATACACTGCGAGCACACTTGGTGCAGCTGCGAGGTGCAGCAAGAGCACGTCGTTCCTGCCTCTGATGCCACTCTCGCGGCTTGCAGCGCGTCACTCGCGCATGCTCTCCAGGAGCTATGGCGGGCGCGTGTGTGGGGCTGTAGCCTGTGTGTGTTTGGCCGGTTCTGACCCGTTTACTATCAGTATCATGTCCGGGCCACAAAAAATCGCACACGGGTAGCGGCTCAGGGGCCCAGTAAGTCGCGGAATCGCCAAATGTCACAACCTGCGCCACCCAGGGCTGGACCTAGTCCCCAAATCAGTAATAGAGCGAACGCGTCGAACAGGGCACTCGAAAATAAAGATTCATGCCACATTTTGCTCTCGCTTGTCTTGACTTCGGCTTTGTCTAATCTGCTCCACCTCGTCGTCAACAGACCACAGCGGTTCTCGCTCCGTCACGCGCCCGTCCGGCAGCGCCCACACCTGCTCCACGCGTGCCGCCGCCCACCCCCCGCTCGACTGCTCGAGGTCGACCATCGTGAAGAGCCGCTCGACGCCGCAGCCGGAGGGCGCCGTCCGCCACCGTGGCACCCTCGCCCCGTTGACGTAGAGCCGTCCGTCCGCCCCGCGGCACACCATCGACCGCTGGCCGCCGCCCTGCAGCCGGTCGTGCATGTGGCCGAAAATGACGACGGGTACGCCTGGCGGGCGGCGCAGCTCCGTGAGAAGAAGGGGGGAAGGGGGGGGGGAGGTCATTGTTTTGCGCCTGTCACGTCGGAGAGTGCGAGGCGCAAGTCCTCGTCGCCCCAGTCTCCGCCGCCGCCACCGCCCCAGTCCTTGCCGCAGATATCGTCCCGCGCGCTGCCGAGCCCGCTCGGCCCGTTGTGAGCGAGCATGACCGTCGCCGCGCCCGGCGGCGCAGCGCGCACGTGTTTCGCGATGACCGCCGCGCTTTCCTCCGCACCTCGCACGCCCCAGAGCGAGCTGTACATGCGCGCGTGCCGCTCGAGGCTCGCGCCTCCCGAGGAGAGGGGCCGCCCGCCGACGACGCTGAGGGGGAGCGCCTCGAAGTCGCGGCGGCCCCAGCCGACGTTGGACGGTGCGAGGAGCGAATGCTGCTGCCGCACGGACTCAAACTCGGCGCTCTCCCCAAGGCGCGGCTGAGCACCGGGCGCGAGGGAGGAGGCCGAGGAGGAGGCCGAGTCGAGTGCCGTGCGCTCCCTGGCGATCAACTTGGAGAGGTACCACGCGTCGTGATTGCCCATTATGGACGCGACGGGAAGGGCGCCGTGCAGTTTAGCGATGGTGCGTGGGATGTCGGCCGCCTCGTTGTCGTAATCGCCGACAAAGAGGGCGGCGTCAGGAACGAGGGCGAGCAGCGCGGCGTTGTCGTCCTCGTTGTACTGGCCGTGGCAGTCGCCGACCACAGCGAGGCGGAGGCGTCGCGGAGGTGCAGCGGGTGCGCTCCTGACACCGAGCGCTGCGAGCACCGAGCTCAGGCGCCGGAGCAGCCTGTTGCTGCAGCTCTGCTCTCGCCCAGACCACCACATCGCGAGTGGCAGCAGGCGAGTGGTGAGGCCGGCCAGAAACAAGAAATTGAGTGTGCTCTCCCCTCTCGCCGCCTCCTCTGCGTGCGTCGTGTGCATGACTGGTGTCTATTAGCTCCGAGTAGAGGGGGCGTTCTGCTGCTAGGGGAACCCCACCAAAGCGCGCGGAGCCCTCGCGCCCAAGCGTGTTTACTTTACGGCGCCCTTTGCCTTTCCCTGCGAACGCGCACCCCCCAGGGCTAGGGCTCTCGAGCCCGCAACCCGATACCGATCATCCGGCCCGCTGGGGTGCGCTTCTTAGCTCCCCGGCCCTGGATGTGAGGTTAATGACTGCACTCCAAGACCAAGTGCTCCGCAAGTGGGCGCTCACACAGGGGCTGCGCGCAACCCGATGCCAATATCATCTGGCCCGCTGGGTGTGCTTCTTAGCCCCCCGGCCCTGGATGTGCGGTTGCTGACTGCACTCCAAGTGCTCCAAGTGGGCTGGCTGCTCTCTTTGCTTCTTTTTGATGGATGACGACGGCAAGTGCTCAAGTACGGGGCGGCAAAAAAGAGGGTTTTGTCCCCCAATCACCACTGGAGCACCCATGAGCGCGAAGCGCGCGGCTTAAGGTGCACCTTAACAGCGCCTGAGCTGCGGCGAGGTCCAGCTGCCATCGAAGTAGGCGCCCACCGGGGAGTAGATGCGCAGCGCCACGTTCCAGCCGGGGTAGATCTCCAAAAAGTTGGGCTGCGATTGGTCGCCGCCGAAGTGGATCACGAAGGCGCCGTCCGCGTCCGGCTTCGCAAAGGCCGAGTTGACGTTGTAGTGGCCCCCGCGGGCGAAGCCGTCCTCGTCGTAGACGGTGACGGACCAGAAGGCGCGCGGGTGATTGGGCACGTCCCTGAGCGTGAGCGTGTGCGGGTCGATCGAGTCGACGGCGTCGGGGAAGGGGTAGACGGCCCCCTCCTTCGGCAGCCCGCCCCAGCCGACCGCGACGCCAAAGTTGCGCATCTCCTCCGAGAGCTCGCCCTTCTTGCCTGTTTGCAGCGAGGGGCGTGAAGAGACACGCCGCTCGCGCCACAGTCGCGCCACAGTCGCGCGCGCCAAATATCATCTCCGACGTGACGCCCTCCTTCCCTTTCCGCTCGTTGTACGCCTTGCGCAGGGCAAGGATCTCGTCCATGTCGTAGGTGAGAGGCTGCTGGTAGCTGCCCGGCTCGGCCTGCTCGACGGCGATCCCGTCCTGCACCTCGGCCGCCAGCCGCAGGTCCGCGGGGTCCTGCATGTTCACCCGCGTGCGCACAAACGCAAAGGCGAACCGGCTGCCCACAGACTCCTTGGTGAGCTCGTACCGGCCGGGCTCGGCGGCGATGAGCGGGATCCAGTGCTCCTCGTCAATCACCTCCAAGATCTGGTACCGCTCGGTCTGCGGCAGCACGACGGTTGCCGCGCAGGTGAGATCGAGCACCGCGAACGAATACATGGTGTCAAAGTTCGGGCCTGTGCACAGGGGCACGCGTGAACACGTGTCCACGACTCTCTGTGAGAGCGGCCGCTCTCGGGACTGTGACTGTGTCTCAGGTTGCCGTCAGGTGGCTTCCTTCCAAGCCCAGGTGTGCTCCGTGTGTGACGGTCTCTCATGCCTTGCCGGCGTCCAGTCGTTGCTGCTTCGCCTCCCTATCCATCTATTCTGCCCGCACGCAGTATTGTTCGATCGTCAGGGTCATGGCCGGCGCGTTGATGGAGCATGACACCGACACCACCACTGCCGGTACCCTTGGCGATCTTCTTGACGTAGTCGCTGAGGATGACTGCCGTCTCGGCGTGGGCGTAATTTGCCTTGGTCACTGGAGTGGCCATTCAGCTGTGGCTGGCGGCAAGGTGGGAGGTGCTGATGAGGGCCTTCAGGCGCGGCGGGCTCCTCCCTCTAGTTGGTCGGGCAAAAAAGAATTTTTCCAACCCCCAGTCTTGTGCAAAAAAGAAACGCCACTCGCACGACACTGGGCACGAGAGACAGGAGAGGGAGCGACAGGAGGGGAGACGTTGTTCCCAGAGGGGGCGCCCCAGAGACACATAAACTGGAAGGACGAAGGCTACGAGCTCTTTGTGGGATACGGACACGGGGCGAGCGAGCGCGATCAGAGTAGGGGAGCTAAGCTTCCGCATGAAGTGACGCGCGTCTTCCTTATTTCCAGCGCAGCTGCCGCTCAGTTGTGCGCCAACGACGCCTGTGGTGATATTTTCGAGAGAGGCTTAATCGAATAGAATTCTTTCGTTGGTGTGCCGGTGATAGTACTAGCACGCGCCAGTTCGCACCTGTGTCGAGCCTGTGTGCTGTGAGACAGACTGGGTTGGTAAATTCTTTCGTTGTGTGTGCAACCGATGTGCCGACAAGAGCCGCCGCCTCGGCGTGTCCTCGTCGTCGGCGCGGGCATCGCTGGAGCGCTCACGGCCATCGGCATCCTCGACGAGCTCGAGCGGCTTGAGGCTCACACGACATCGACGAGGATCGAGGTCGACGTCGTCGAGGAGGCGGCAGGCCCGGGCCACGGCGCTAGCTTCGGCGGAGCTTCGCTGATGCTCTTTGACAACATCCACAAGACGCCGCTGACACTGCTCAGCGCAGCCCTGCAGGGCGTCGTGCGGCCTGCGCATGGCTCAAGGCTGCGTCACTGGCTGCGTTTTCTGCTCCTCGGGGTCCGCCTCACCACTTCGCGCCTGAGGAAATTGGCCGTCGGCCTGCCCGCAGCCGCGCCGCTCAGCAAGGCGGACTGCCGCGAGGCGTTGTCTGCTGTGCTCGCGCGGCACGGGGAGCGGCTGGGCCCGCACGTGCACCGCGGTGCGCTGTTTGTCGTCCGGAGCGCGCGCCTGTGGGACGAGCTGCGACGCGCGCAGCCCGGAGGCGGGTACGAGCTCCTCGACGCCGCGGCCGCGAGAGCGCTCGAGCCGTCTCTCGCGCTCGAGGAGCCGCTGCTTGGCGCGGCGCTCTCGCGCCGGGACGGGTGGTGCGACTGCGAGGCCCTGCTGCCCGCCCTCGCCGCCCTGGCCACAGAGCGAGGGGCCAGCTTCGAGTACGGCGTGCGGGTGGAGCGGTTGCGGGCGGCGGGCGGCGCCGTCGCGTGCTCCCTGCGGCGCGGCGGCGGCGCAGGAGCGGGCGGCGAGGCCGGCGGCGCTGTCGAGCGAGAGTACGACGCCGCGGTCGTCTGCAGCGGCGCTGTTCTCGACGAGCTGCTGCCGGGGGCGTGCGTGCGCGGCGTGGCCGGCTTCTCCCTCCGAACCCCGTCAGGAAAGGCGCCGCCCGCGCCTCCGCCTCGCCTCGCCCTGGTCTTCCCCGAGCAGGCTTGTTCGCCGGCCAGAGGCGTCGTGCACCGAGCACCTCCCCTGAACCTTCTCGGAACCTTCCTACAGGCGATGTTCTGTCGGCCAGAGGCGTCGGGCGGGTACCGAGTCGGAGGGCTGATGAGCCTCGACCCCGCCGCCGTCGAGTCGCGCGCCTTCAACCCGCGCGCGCTCGCACACTTCCGCAGGACCGCCCTCGGAGCGGCACTCGCCTCTTCCGAGCACGTGGCGTGGACGGGCGTTCGGCCGGTGGCGGCCGAGACGCCGATCGCGCGTAGGCTGGCGCTGCGCGGCCGCGTCTGGGGGAACGGCGCCTACGGCGGCAACGGGTTCGTGTGGGCTTGGGGCGCGTCCGAGCGGGTAGCGCGGGAGGTGGTTGCCGCGCTCCTTGGAAAGGAGGGAGGGGGCGATTGGGCGCCGGGAAGCCGCGGGGGAGGGGGTGGAGCGGGGGTGGTTGACGGACGGGAATGAAAGCGTGACTGTGGAGCGCACTTGAGGGTGCGGTTGGCAATCTCGCCTGACCTCCCAGCGCGACCGCCCGTCGTGGTTCTCGTGTTCTCGAGCCTACAGCAGCGTCCTATACTCCGCGCGGCGCGCCGCCGCCGGCGGCGACGGTAAAAGCCGTCGGCATAACAAGATTTTTCTTTTGCACGACAGCGCCCTGGGCACCGGGACTGGCGCGCTAAAATTCTTTTTTGGCGGCGCCGTTCGCTGTGCCTCCGCCGAGATGCCTCCCGCGCCACCCTCGCCTTCGACACCTTGCCTCCACCAGCTGCCTCCCCCGCCTCCGCCTGCCCGGGGCCGCTACCGTAGTGCTCCCCCCGGCGGGCGGGCGGAGGCGGGCCGCGCTCGGCTGCTCTGCTGCCACGGGGAAATGTATTTGTTTGTATGTATTGGCGCCACCAATACGACAAACCCTGTCTGCACGTCTCGCACGCGCGTGAACAGGGCTCCAGGCCCCAAATGACGCGTGAGTGTTAGATTTGTTTGGTATTGCTAAAAATCTCTCTCTCCCAATACGAGAAGGCTCTCTCGGCTACAGGACCGGCCCCAGCTTCGGCTGAGGGCTGACAAGCTGCCGAGCCCAAATCACTGTCAGAGTGTGATTTCTTGTTTGTTTCACATAAACGCACAACCCCGGGCCCCGAAATCGCACCTTTGTTTCACCCGAGAGAGAGAATTCTTGATACGAAACCACGACGACACACACCAGTCGACTCGCATCGGTTGCCTCCATGAACGGCGGAGCTATTCTCGCGCCCACACCACACCTGGCTCCAACGTGGACACGCCCATAGCTGGGGACACTACTAGGTCACGCATGGCATCACAGAAGTTTTATCTCTGGGCCCCGAAAGGCATCTCTAGCAGTGTCGTTACACATGCCCCCTCCCCTCCTGGGCGCATGCGCCTCACGTCTCGCCAGAGCATACGCCCTTGGTGTGTGGCGAGACGAGTTTTTCGCCATGCTCTCTCTCTCTCTCTCTCTCTCTCTCTGTTTCACCCTACAGGCGAGAAAAGAAAGCTGCCGGCACAATTCACGGCGTGTCGAAGGCGCCTCGAACGATATCGGTGTCGAAACACCGCTCTGACAGCGCTCACAGCTGCGCGGCGAGTCGAACGCGGCGTCGAAGGAAGGCGAGCGCTCTCGCATCCGCCATGACTGCCTCGCTCTGCTGGGCGCGGCAAAAGGGCGGCGCCTGGGTCCTCGCCGAGCGAACCGAGTCGGGCGACGTTATCCTCCCTGACGGACGGACGCTCGACACACTCGAGACGGCGGCGCACAACGTTTCGCACACCCTCAACTGGGACGACCCCACGTACATGGACGACCTGCACGAGGCGCCGCTCCTCGACCTGCTGCGCCGCCGCTTCCAGCAGGGCACCATCTACACTTGGGCCGGCCCCGACGTCCTCCTCTCCGTCAACCCGTTCCGCACCATCCCTCGCCTCTACGACCTGCCAGACGGGTGGAGGCGCGCCGCGACTGCGGCCGCGGAGCGAAAGTCGTCGTCGACGCCGCCGCACGTCTTTTCCGTGGCGGAGCGGGCCTGGCGCAGCGTCCTCAGCGCCGCCGGCACGCCGCAAGCCCTGGTCTGCAACGGCGAGTCGGGCGCTGGCAAGACCGAAGCCTGCCGCCAGATGCTTCGCTTCATCGCACACGCGTCTGCCGACTGCCGTGCGGTAAGTGCGGCCGCGGGCGGGGCCAAGGAGGAGGCGTCGAAGCTGGAGGACGCCGTGCTCAACACGACGTGCGTGCTCGAGGCCTTCGGAAACGCGCGCACGAAGCACAACCACAACTCGAGCCGGTTTGGCAAGCTCACCTGCCTCGGCGTGACGCCGCACGGCAAGGGCGGCGTGGTGTCGAGCTGCAGCTTTCGGACGCTGCTGCTCGAGCGCTCGCGCGTGGCGGGGCAGGCGGCGGGCGAGCGCTCCTTCCACGTCTTCTACTGGCTCCTCGAGGCGAGGGGACTCGACCCAGACTCATACGCCATGCTCGGCGGCACCGCCCGCAGCCCCGCCCCGCCGGCTGCGACCGAAGCGGCTGACACGATATACGCGGCGTCCGAGGAGGAGGCGGAGGGCGAGGCGGCCGAGGGCCGGCCGGAGATGGACGCGAAGCTGGCGGGCGGCGCCGAAGGCGAGGCCGCCGAGTCAAAGGCAGCCCCCGGCGACACCATCGCTGACGACCCCATCGCCGGCGGCACCGACGACGGCGAGGTCAAGACGGAGGCGGGCGAGGCGGCACCGTCGTCGGAGCTGGCCGTGGTGGAGGCGGCGCTGGCGGCGCTCGGCTTCTCTGCTGCGGACGTCGCCGGCATGTGGAGCACACTGCTCGGCCTGCTCGAGCTGATTGAAAGTAGCTACGGGTGCACGAGAATGGATCATTAGGCGTGTGGAGCACACTGCTCGGCCTGCTCGAGCTCGGCAACGTGGCCTTCATCGTCCCCGGCGGGGAGGGAGACTCCGTGCGCTCCGAGGGCGGGGGGGGCTCGCTCGTCGAGGAGGCGGCGCCTCTCGAGCGCGCCGCGGAGGCGCTCGGCGTGCCGGCGGCGAAGCTGCAGAAGGCCCTCACCATGCGGACGCACACGGCGCTGGCTGGGCGCGCGGCCCGACACCACGTCCCGCTCCCTCCGAGAGGGGCGGCCCGCGTCTGAGGCTGTGGCCGAGACTTAGGCGCGGCTCGTCGAGCCAGATCCCGCTCTCGCCGAGCGAGGCCGCCGAGGCGCGCGACGCGCTGACGCGCCACCTCTACCAGCACGTCTTCGACTTCCTCGTGCTCCGACTCAACGCGCACCTCGCCCCGCCCTCGTCGGGAGGCAAGGGGGGCGAGGAGGCGCGCTCCCTCATGCTGCTCGACATCGTCGGCTTCGAGGACGTCGGCTCCAACTCGCTCGAGCAGCTGCTCATCAACTACGCACGAGCCTAGATGCGGAGAGCAGTCCTCGCCTCCAGAGGCGCTTGATGCGGCACAGATGTGGCACAGATGCGGCACGGAGCGGAGCACAGAGACCTGGTACCCCCGACATGAGTGCATCCAACACTCTCTTGTGTTCAGCTGCATGCATGACGCACAGGCCAACGAGCTGCTAATGAATAGCTAATGACTAGTCAGTCAATAGCTATAATATAGGCCAACGAGCTGCTGCAGCGCCTCTTCAACGCGCACGTCTTCGAGCGCGAGGCAGCCCTCTACAAGGCAGAGGGCATCGACGACGCCGCCGTCTCGTACACGTCCAACGACGCCGTCCTCGCCGTGCTGTCTGCGGCGCCGTACGGCCTCATCCCCCTCCTCGAGGAGCAGGGCAAGCTCGGCGAGCGCGGCTCGTCCGCCGCCTTCTCGCTCGAGGCCTTCCCGCCACACCACGGGCAGAGCCTAACCCGTGATGACGCCAGGGCACGCGAGGTCACGCGAGTCACCGTGCGGTTAGGTCTTCCGCCACCACGGCCGGACGCGTCACGTCGCCAAGCCGAGGCGGCTCTCGGCCGGGGAGGCCGACGGGCGGGTCTTCGTGGTGTCGCACTTTGCAGGCGCGGCCACCGCGCGCCGTCTCCCTCACATGCACTTTCCGTGAACTTTGAACCTTCTTCGCGCGCAGGCGACATCTCGTACGACTCGCGCCACTTCGTCGAGAAGAATGTCGAGGCGCTGCACAAGGATTTGCACGACCTGCTGCCGCTGCTCGCCGGCTACGCGAAGGTCGTCCTCGCCACGACGATGCCCACCGCCCCGCCGCCGCGTTGGGGCAAGAAGAAGACCGCGGGCAAGAAGGTTCCGTCGGCGACCGCAAAGATCCGCGGCAGCTTTGGCATCTCCTCAACCTTCACCAGCCAGGCCAGCGCTCCTCGAGCCGCTCCCGAGCCGGCCGAGCCGCGCGTGGGACGTTTCCGAGAGACGTCCGTAGGCCAACGCCCTCCTCGAGACGCTCCAGAGCGGCACGCCGCACTTCGTGCGCTGCCTTAAGCCGAACAGCGCGCAGACCGGCGGCGACTTCGACTCCGCCCTCGTGCTGGCGCAGCTGAACTCGCTCGGCGTCCTGGAGACGGTCCGCATCCGGCGCGAGGGCTTCCCCGTCCGCACCGACTTCGCCGAGGTCTGGGCCTTGGGCTGGGCGGCGGTGGTGAGGGTCACGCCGCAAGCCTCGCGCCTGTCCGCCAAGCAGCGGGCGGAGGCGGTGTTGCAGCGGCTCCCGCGTGACATGTGGAAGCTCGGCCACACAAAGGCCTTCCTGCGGGACGGCGCGCTCGGGCTGCTGGAGGCCGAGCTCGCGGCCGAGAAGGCGGGGAGCGCCACCGCCATCCAGGCGCTCGCCCGCCGCAGGCGCGCAAGCTCGCAGGCGACGCTCCTCGCCGAGGCGCCGATACGCGAGGGGCCGGTGTGGGCTGCGGGTCGGCGGGCCTCTCTGACCGCTGCAGAGTCGTGGCTATAGGCGCGCGCCAAGGAAGAGGAGGAGCGGCGGGCGGCGGAGGCGGCCGCGGCGGCGGAGAAGGCCGCGGCGGAGGAGAAGGCCGCGGCGGAGAAGGCCGCGGCAGAGGCGGCCGCGGCGGCGGAGAAGGCCGCGGCAGAGGCGGCCGCGGCGGCGGAGAAGGCCGCGGCAGAGGCGGCCGCGGCGGCGGAGAAGGCCGCGGCAGAGGAGGCCGCCGTCCGGGCAGAGGCGGCGGCGGCAGAGAAGGCGTTGGCCGAGGAGTCAAGCGCTACGCTAATCCAAGCGGCCGCACGCCGGAAGGGTGCGGTGACTTACTTCGCCGGCGTGCAGGCCGCCGAACAGCTGCGCATCGAGTACGCCGAGAAGGAGGAGGCGGAAAGGCTCGAGAAGGAGGAGGCGGAAAGGCTGGAATATGGCAGCCCAAGCAAGAAGGGTTGCAGCTGCTGTATCATGAGTTGAATACGGAGCAACCAGCGAGCGCAGGGCAGCACGAAGAGCGAGATGAGAGTCGTAATTAATCGAATGCAGAGCACTTGCACCTGTGTCGCCTCCCCACCCCTGTGCGTGAACTGTGAGCGGTCTGACCTCTCAGCATGTGGTGTGCCTGCGAGGGCTCTCTGCTCACCGCTGGTACTGTGGGCGACTGGGCCTCCGACACACATATGTTTATGTAGTCTGTAAATTAGTCCGTGTTTGTGACAGCTGCAGCTGACACGTGACAGCTCAGTTTGTGTGGCTCACGCGATAATTTCGACAAGCTCACGACTTAGGTAGCTCACTACCAACGGGCTAAGAGCGCGCGGGGACCGGGGTCCGGGCACCGCCAGCGCCACACACGCGCCGGGGTGCGGCTGCGGGGAGGGGAGCGCGCGCGGGGTCGGGGGGGGGGGGGGGGGGGCCCGGGGGGTTTCCCCCCACCGGGCACCGGGACCCCGCAAGGGGACCCTCCCGGGGGGGGACCGCGGGCGCGGCGCGCGGGGTCTCAAACAAAAGAACTGAAAAGTGAAAAGAACTGGGGGTACGTATTACAGCGGTCCAGTACGCCAGGGTCCCCCCGCTGACAGTAGACAGACAAGTGACAACGGCCCGAACGCAACGATCGTCCACAAAACTCTCGTCCAAATGACCTCTCAGACCTGCCAAGAGCAAGGAACATCGGGCTCCACGCGAGAAGGCATGAGGTGCTGCACCCCCGCTCAAGCGAAGCCACCCACGCCTCCTCCAGGGTCAGCCCGCTCACTTGCGCCGCGAGAGGGAGAGCTTGCTGCCAGACTTGCGCGCGGAAGACGTCGATGTTGACGTCGGCGCGGCGCTGCCCGCTGAGCTCCCCGAGGACGCCTGCGGGTTTGGGGAGAGTCGCAAGCTGTCGGGAGTGGCCGTGGGCTGGGTGGGCGTTCGCAGCTTGAAATCTCACGCCTGTGGCGGCGGCGGCGGCGGCGGCGGCGGCGGCGGCGGAGGAGGAGGAGGAGCTGGCTGTGGTTGAGCCGAGGTCGCACCGGCGGAGGCTGGCTCAGCTGCTGGCTCCGCTCCGCTCGAGGTCTCCTCCGCCTCTACCTCCGCCTCCGAAGCCATGTCCACGTCCGCCTCCTCGTCCTCACTCTCGGCCTCCTCCTCGCTCTCCTCGCTCTCCTCCTCCTCGCTCTCCTCCTCCTCGCTCTCCTCCTCCTCGCTCTCCTCGTCCGAGTCCACCGCACGCCGCCTCTGCTTCGCCTGACGCGCGATCGATCCGCGTGTGAGCGCCGCCGCGCACGGCGTCGCTCTCTCGCGCGGAGGGGGGCCGGGGGCGGGGAGGAGGGTTGGGTCTGTCGGGTCATCTAGGCGCAACCTTGGCCTTTGACGGAGGGGCCCGTTGCTTGGCTGCCCCGGGGCCAGCCTTGGGAGCGGGCAACGCCGGGCCGCGACGGCCGAGCGCGTGGAGGGGCCGCTTGCCAAACGCGAGCTTGCTGCCACCGAGAGTCACCGGCTGCGAGTTCTCCTTGCCGCCTGCTAGTCGCGACGCGCCTCGGTGAGGGCTGCAAACCGACGGGGCCTGGCGACAGCCGCCGCCCACGCCGAGTGCGGTGGCGGGCGGGGGCAGCGGCGGCAGCGATGACGACGAGGAGGGCGTCGCCGACGACTGGAGGCGGCGTGCCTCCTTCTCCTTGGCCGCGAGCTCGGCATCCTCCACCGCCTGCCGCCTCCGCTCCTCCTCCTCCTCGGCGCGCGCCTTCTTGAGGTCCTTGCCCTTGACATGCAGCGAAAAGACAAACGAGACGCCGCCACTCTCCTTGGACGAGTGCCGCGTCGCACGCCGGAGCGCCTACACACGCCCCCGGGCGGTGAGACAGACGCACCTCGCGCCGACACAGCCGCGGGGGATCCGCCTCGTCGTCCACCGACGACGCGGTGGAGTGGTGCGCCCACAGGTGCATATCGCCAGTCTCCTTTGGCCAGCCTACCGAGAGCAACCTCTGCGCTCAGCCGCGCCTCACCCCGCCCAGCGGTCGCCTCGGCCGCGAACCGTTCTGCTGGCGCAGCGGCGCCTCCTGCGACGGCGACGGCTCGTCGAGAGAGTTGGCGGGCCCGTCGGGCGCGCGTTCCGCCGCGTCGGCGTCGTCCTTGATCTTGTCGTACAGGTGCGAGGGGACGCCCTCGTGGTACGAGAAGAGGTCGCGTAGCTGGGAGGAGGAGAAGGTGGACACCTGCTCGCGCCGAGAGGGGGTGAGGCGCTCGGGTCTCCGGGGAGGGCCGCGATGCGGCGGGTTGGCGACGGGCGCGGGCGCCTCGACATCCTCGTTGGTGGCGATGCCCGAGAGGCCCTCCTTGGAGAGCTGCCGCTCGAAGATCTTCTCCTGTTCACAGCTGCAGGTGTGAAGAGAGAGCCTTGGAGAGCTGCCGCTCGAAGATCTTCTCCTGTTCACAGCTGCAGGTGTGAAGAGAGAGCCTTGGAGAGCTGCCGCTCGAAGATCTTCTCCTCGATGCACGACGCCGCGATCATCCGGTAGATGAAGACGCGCTTCTTCTGGCCGTCGCGCCACACCCGCGCAGCCGCCTGCTTGTCGTTTGCTTAATTAATAATTGATTAGTTAATTACTAGGCCACACCCGCGCGGCCGCCTGCTTGTCGTTTGCCGGGTTCCAGTCCGGGTCGAACATGACGAGCCGGTTGCCGCCGATGAGGTTGAGGCCGCAGCCGCCCGCCTTGGACGAGAGGAGGAAGCAGAAGAGGCCGCCACGCGGGTCGTTGAACTCCTGCGGGACACGCGTGCCGCGGATACGGTCGGCGTGTCACGCGAGGGGCGGGTGTTGGCAGGGGAGGGGCTGGGCGGGGGAGGGGCTGGCGGGGGGGGGGGAGGGGGAGGGGGGGGGGGTCGGCTCGCTGCACGCCTCGACCATCTGCGTGCGCTTCTTGATGGAGCAGCTGCCGTCGAGGCGGCAGGACTTCCACCCCTCCTGCATGCACATGCGCTCCATCAGCTCGAGCGTCGACGTGAAGTTGGAGACGAGGACGAAGCGGTCGGACGAGGTCGCCTTGACGTAGCGCAGCAGCTGGTGCAGCACGCTGAACTTGCCACCGAGCGACGGGTCGAAGACAGGCCGCGAGCCGGAGCGGCGGTCCGAGATGGTCTCGTCGGGGAGCAGGTGGATCGCGTCCTCGAACCCCTTGGACGCCTTTCCCTTCTCCGAGACGAGGAGGGGGTGGTTGATGAGCTTGCGCAGCGAGTTGATCGACTCGAGCACCATCGACTGCTTGCCGCCGTTGACGAGCAGCCGCGTCGCCTTGGAGTCGAGGAACTGGCGGTACATCTGCGTCTGGAGCTGCGACATGGAGCAGCAGACGACGCAGACGAGCTTGGGCGGCAGGTGCTTCGAGAGGAGCGTGTTGGTGCGGCGCAGGATGAACTGGTTGACGATCTTGCCGAGCTCGCTCGACTTTGTCTCGCCGCGCTCGCGCTCCTTGTCCGTCGCGTCCGGCTCGCGGCCCCGCAGGATCGGCCGCTGGTACTGGCGGCAAAAGTCCTTTTCCGAGCCGAGCAGGTCCGGGTTGGCGAAGTGCACCATCGAGTAGAACTCGTCGAGGGCGTTCTGGATGGGCGTGCCGGAGAGGAGGATGCGCTTGCGAGTCGGCAGCGAGGCGAGCGCCTGCGCCGTCTTGGTGTCCTTGTTCTTGAGGCGGTGCGCCTCGTCGCAGATGAGGAGGCCGCACTGCTGCCCCTTCTTGAAGAGCTTCTGGTGGATGCGGAAGGTCTCGTACGAGATGATCAGCACCTGCACGCGGGCGGCGTGGTGGCGGGGCGGCGTGGTGGCGGGGCGGCGTGGTGGCGGGGCGGCGGCGGGGGGGCGCGCGGCGGCAGGGCGGCGCGCGGGCGAGCCGCACCGCCGACGGGCTCGTGGTGAACCGGCGCACCATCTTGAGCACGTCCTCCTTCTTGGCCTCCGCGACGGCGATCACCTGGATCCCCTTCGCGCGCAGGCGCGCCTCCTTGATCCACTTCGTGTTGAGCTCCTGCAGCGGGCCGGGGGGGGGGAGGGGGGGAGGGAGGGGAGGGGAGGTCGGCGGCCATCCGGGGCGCCCCGGCACGAGCGCAAGTGAGAGCCTCTCTCGCCGCAGGCTCGCGGGCGGCCGAGGCGGGGGGCGGGGGCGGCCGAGGCGGGGGGCGGGGGCGAGCCGAGAGGCGGAGCACGCGCCGACTCCCAGTTGGTGACGAGCGAGACGGGGCAGGCGACGATCGTGTGGGTCACCGCCGGCCGGCCGTCCATGCCTTGCGTCATCAGAGTCCACAGGATGGCGATCGACTGCAGCGTCTTGCCAAGGCCCATGTCGTCGGCGAGGATGCAGCCCATGCCGTCAAAGTCGCGCAGGCCCATGCAGCAGTCGAAGAGGAACTGCACGCCCTCGCGCTGGTGCTCGCGCAGCCAGCGGCAGAGGAAGCCGTCGACACTGACGGCTGTCGCGGGCGTCTCGGGCGCGGCGGGCGCGGCGGGTGCGTCGGGCGCGGGCACGGCGGCGTCGGAACCCTCTGCGCCGTCGGCAGGCGCGGGCGGTGATGCAGCGGCGGCGGCGGCGGACTCGCCAGTCTCCGGCTCAGGCGGCCTCCAGAGCACGAGCTCTTCGAAGGTGTACTCCTCCTCTGCCGGCATCGCCGGACCGACCAGCGGCAGTGCCATCGGAGCGGTGAATGCGCCCGGCGTCCACGAACTGGGCCGCTTGGCCACGCCAAGGGACTTGCGCCGCAGGTCTGGGTTCCAGCTCTGAATCTTGGCCGGATCCTGCGACGGCAGCTTGAAGGCCTGCTTCAGCTTCCCCTTCATCGAATCGGTCAGCTCGTCCTTGTCGTACGCCAGCTCGCACATGGACTCACGGACGACGACGGCGGTCGAGCTGGCGACGGAGGAGCGGCTCGGCGGCGGCGGCGGCTTGCCGCCGTTGGCACGCACCACCGACGGGCAGGAGGAGCGGCGCATCGGTTCAGCGGGATAGCAGCGATCGGTGCGAGGGCGGCGGCGTGCTCCAGTGTTGGCCGGGCTGTCTACCGGCAGAGTTCTGCTGGCGGGCGGCTCTGGCGACGAGAATTTGAGCACGCCCCAGGCTCCCGCGCACAACACTGGGCACGGGACTGGCGCGCACTGGCACTAACACAGGTACACCACTGGAGCCGAAACTGGACCACGCCAGTACCGCCACCGTACCCTCCCCCCCCTCCGCCGCCGCCGCCGGCGTGGCCGTCACCACTCCGACCCGCGCGGAACCTGGGGGACCCGGAACCACCCCGTCGGAGGCTGGAGTACCCGGGGGAGGGGACCGAGGGGGGGGAGGTGCCGTGGGAAGACAGCGGGTCAGCCGGCGAACCGGAAGGCCAAGACCGGAGGGCCCCGAGTGAGGCCTGGAGTCAACTGTCGGGGGAGGTGAGAGTCGAGCTCGCCCCATTCCCAGCCTGTGGCGAGTTGGAACACAAAACCTGCCTGGGAGTTGTTGAAGTTTCAGGAGGTTTCCATTAGTAAACGCAAACCACTGGAAGCTCACGAGAGGGCAGGTGAGAGGAGAGGCGCCTCAATTGCTGGGGATGCCAGCGGCGCCTGCCAGGCGCCTGCTGGGCCGCGTGGGCGAGAACGCGGTGTCGCGTCGTAACAACGGGCAGGCCCTTCGGTACGGCGCGGACCGCTATTACGAGGTCGCGTTCAGTATGCCCAATGGCGACGGTACGCGCGCGCTATTGCCTCCCGGCGCGCGCGCAGTTAGTGTGGAGCTGCACACACCCTCGCTGCGCAGCGTGTGCGGCGAGGCGCTGCGTATGGCGCCCTCCCAGCTCTGAGTCGCCCCGCTCGCCCCCTCGCAGCTGGCATCCGCCCTGCAGTTCTCTTCCGGTGCTTCATTGAGAGCGGGTCGACCAATGACCCCGAGACGGCCCAGACAGCCGAGCTCTTGTGGTGCTACAACGGGGAGGACCTCGCTGCCTACAAGGACGAAGCTCCAGCGCCGCCACCACTAGAGGCGACCTCGGACGACGACGCGCTGGCCGAGGGCGCCGCCTTTGCCCTTGGCGACCGCGTCGATGCCCGATATCAAAAAAAGGCGCGCTGGTTCCCAGGCTACGTGACGAAGGTCGTGCAGACGAAGAGGGGAACGACCGGCTTCCGTGTCCACTTTGACGACGGCGACACCGACGTGCTGCCGGCCGGCTTCATCCGCCAGCGGGTCGACATCGTCTCTCTGCTTGGGACGGAGCTCGCGGCGCGCATGCAGCAGGATCCAAAGGTGGTGGTGCTCACAAACTGCGCAGAGGCGCACGACGCGGAGGCGGTCATGGGGATCGCGGCGGTCGGGCTGGGATGCGAGTGGGAGGTCGCGGGCACGCTCATCTTCGAGTTCCACGACAAGGTGCCGCCTCGCAGCCGCCCCGCGCCCCCTGACCGCCTTCTGCGCGCACCAGAGCGACGCCTCTCCCCTCAACATAGGCGCCGCCGCAGGCGGTCAGGCCGCTCTCGTTCACGCCTTGGGGGGAGGATGCGTCGCTTGCTTCGATCATGCCCGAGTCGCTGAACGACATGCCCACCACCGAGTTGCTCCCGCCGTCGCTCTTCCCGCGGCCAGCCTCGAGCCACCGGCGCTGCCCGCCCGCCTTGCCCGTTGTCCCCCTCACCGCCGGGCCGGTCTTGCGCGGCGCGGCGCTCATGTTCCAGGCCGACGATGCGCTGGTTCGGTTCCTCTCGTACATGGACGGCGACGGCAGCATCAAGTACATGTTCGGCAAGGACTTCTCGGGCGACGAGATCCACGGCTTCCGCGTGCTCGAGCAGGGTTCCGACGAGCTCAGGCTCTGCACCACCGACCCCGAGAGCAAGGACCTGCTGCAGCGACCTCTCAACCAGCGCCCGTTTCTCAACTTGACGGGCGCACTCGTGCCGACCGACATCGGCGTCAAGATCAACACGGCGACCGTCACCCACGAGGGCGTGATCTCGTGCGCCTCGTGCGCGTTCATGATTATGTGCGCCGTCGGCACCGCTCGCGTCCGCTTTTTCGACTGCTGCTTGCTGCAGGGTCACATAGTCGCCACTCGCGACCTGTCGATCAAGGAGTCGCGCAAGGTCGAGATCGACTTCGTGATTCCCGAGCTGCACCGCCTCGCCGTCCTGCAAAGGGCGCATCAAGATATGCTGGTGTGTGCGCGCGCGCTCTCTTCGCCCCCTCGCCTCGCCCGCGTCGCAACTCCTCTCTCCACACACACACACACCTGCCCCCCCCTTACCCCCCGCGTCCCTCACTAATTGATCTGCCCCTCTCCCCTCCCAGGCAGCCTTCATCGACCGCGTCGACAAGGTCTCGGCGCTCGACCCAATGGTGCTGCACTTGAAGAACTGGCCGCCCGAGAATGTGATGGCGTTGCCATGCTGGCCCGACATGTACCAGCGCTCGGGGAAGGGGGCGGGCATGTCGGACACGGACCGCATCATCTACCGTGCCTCGATCAAGAGCTCCGAGGACGCGCAGAGCTTCCTTGGTTTCCTCGCCGTGGAGCTGCCGTCGACAGCCAAGGTCACGCATCGCTTTGCCCTGGTCTCCCCCACCCCTCTCTCAGCCGCAGACGAGAGCCAGCTGCGCGCAAAGGACGAGCTGGGTGCCACAGGAGGGTGCGGCAGCCGCTCGGCGCACTGCATCGACTACGAGCCAGCGGCGCGCTTGCTGACGGTGCGTGTCGGCGTCGCCACGTTCAACGGCTCGATGCCGGTGGACGGCGCCTCGGTGGGTGCTCCGCCTCCCTCCATCCCCGACCCCAAATACGTCCTCGGCCTGGGCTGGGTGGCGAGCTCAACTCCCGTGCCCTCGCCAGCTGAGCTCCACGGTCAGTCGGCCACACTCGAGGAGTATCCCCTTTGAGCGTCCGAGTGTCCTTGTGTACGTATTTCGGTCTGGGACGCAGTGTGGAGCGGGTGTGCAGCACACTTAGTCCTTGCGCGCCCGCCTTCGCGTCTGCGCTCGCGAGTCTCGCATGCCGGGATGCACACCCATTGTATTGGTGGAGTCGGTACTTTCTTTTGAACACATGCATCCAGTTTGATGCGAGACTCAAAACCTTCGCCCCCTCTGAGTCCTCCCTCTGCTGTCTCGCCGACGTCGCGCGGCCCCTGCCCCTCTACCGCCCATCTCGCTACGCCCTGCCGCCGCGGGGCAGCCCGTCCAGCGAGGACCCACGTCGCGCGCCCCGGCGGCGGGGGCGCGGCCGCACCCACGAGCACGCCGGCGCCGTCGCGCTGGGTGGCTGATGCTGCTGTTGCTGCTGCTGCTGCCGCTGGCCGTGCAGCGCTCTTGACATCACCCTTGCGCACGTCCAACCGTTGCGTAAGCCGTCCTATGATTGCGGATGGCTACGGGCGGTAACGTGTGGTTCCCGGCGACTTTCGGCGATTACTACCACGATGACCAGCCAAGCTCGGAGGCGCCGGGCGGGTAGCGGCAGGTAGAGGGCAGGTAGCATGGAGAGGCCTTGGGCCATGCAACCACCTATACAGCATCTCCACACGCCAGTGCTTGTGCGCGCGGTGGAGTCCCCGCGGCTGGGCAACGCGGACGCACCGCTCCCGCCGACTCAGCCCCCGACGCCTATCGCCTTCGCGACGCCCATTGGGGGCGACCCTTCTCTGCCGCTCGCCGCCACTGCGTGCGACGCTCGCGCACGCGCGCCTGTGCATGCGGTTCCGCGGGTCGAGCCTCCGCCCAAGCGTGGACCAGCTGCCGCGGCACGCTCGGCGCCGAGCGGCGGCCAGCCTCGGCCGCAGCCTCAGGCGGCCAGAGCACCGGCCGCCCGCTTGCCGCTGGCGCCGATCGGCTCGCCGCCGCCTACGGGCCAGCCGCCTGCCGGAGCTCCGCAACATGGGAGCCCGCCGCCGGACGCGGCCGATGCGGGAGGGCCTTCGGCTGGAGAGCGTTCGGGCCGACCGGCAGGGGCCGGGGCCCGGCAGCAGCAGCAGCAGGCACAACGTCGTCCGCCGCGGCCCGCTGCTGTGAACAGAGGCGCTGCGCGCAGCCGCGCCCCAGCGGCCCCGGGCAAGTTCAACTTCTACTCTCCGGGGAAGAAGGCGCGGTACTCGAGTAAATTGCAGACACTTCCCGCCGTCCGGCTTGCATTGGCCTAAGCACAATATTCTCGAATATCTCCGAGAATATAGATGGTCCCGCGCACTTTCGTATTCGAGAATATTCTCGAGAATATAGATGCCCCGGCGCGGCTTTTTCTCAAGAATCTATGAGTTTTCTTCAGCCCTTGACCTTGGTTGACCTCGAGTCTCAAGATATTCTTGAATATTCTCGCCGTTACATCGCGGCGTCTAGAACGGTCTTGACTAGAGCTTCTCGAAACAGCTCTTTTGCCCCCTCAAAAGTAGGTTTTGGGTCGATGCAGACGGAAATCTTTAAGTTTTGGACGTTCCTGAGCGGTTTGGGAGCACAAACCTCTACTTTAGAGCGATTTTTGGCGTCCGCTGACCTCTCGCGTGGTGAAAATATTCTCAATATTCGAGAATATTCTCGAGAATATAGATGGTCTGGCGAGAATATAAGCAAAAGAATATAGATAGTACTTGGCGAGAAAAACGTGCTTAGGCTAAGGCTTGCACCGGCCAAGTTCGACTTTGCCGCCATGCCCAAGGTGCGCCGCCCCCACCCCACTCTCAACACTTTCACACGCAAGACTGTGAATTCTCCTGCAGCGGTAGACACACCCGCCCTTACCGCCGCAGGAGAACATGCCGCTGCAGCTGCGGGCCGCCTTGGAGGCCTCCTTGCCGGGATGCTTCCGACCAGGCGGCAACTCCAAGGACAAGCCCAAAGTCCAGCTCGACCTCGGCACCCTCGAGATGTGGATCCGTGCGGCGGCCGTCGCGGTGCAGACCGAGAGCCGCGGGAACAAGCCGGCGGCGAGGAAGAAGCGTTCGGCAGCAGGCGAGCCTCGCGGCGACGGCGACGGTGACGGCGACGGCGACGGCGACGCCGCTGGTGGGGGCGGCGGCGGGGGCAGCGGCGAGTACCTGTTTGGGAGCGCGGACGACGCCGACTTTGTGGCGGCGGTGGCGGCGGAGCGTAGGCGCATCGAGGAGGAGGGGCCGTACGACCTCAACCAGATGGCCCGGTGCGGCGCGCACGGGGACAGCACACTCAACCACGTGCTGCGCGAGCCGATCGAGGAGTTGGAGCAGATGATCTCGTCGCTGCAGGTCGAGCTCGCAGCGGCGCTGGGCCAGCCGTTCTACCGCGAGGAGAAGCGGCGGTGTGAGCCCTACAGACGGCCTGATCGGCAGACCATGACGCGCGGGGAGCTGGGGTATTGGAAGCGGGTGCGAGCGAAGTGCGATGCGCACTTGCGAGCGATTGCGGAGCTTGTCAGCACTCCCGAGACGGGGCACGAGGGCATGGACACGTACCTCGCCGAAATCGTCGACGGGTCCCTCCCCGGGTCGCGTGTGCACGGCAAGCGGCGCTTCCTCTCCGGGCAGCGGTTCGTGGCGCGCCTACACGACTCGCCGACCAGGAAGAGCGGGCCCGACCTCCCGGGGGGGGGGGGGGGGGGGTGAGTACGACCCAATGCCGCCGTCCTCGGCCGGGGAGACCCCGGCCGGGCCGTCGACGCTCTCGGAGGCGGCGGTACCAGTCGAAGGTGAAGCGGAGTCGAGGCCACAGCCGAGGAAGAGACATCAGAAACGACTGCAGAGGCAGTCTCTGGTAACGCCCGGAAGGCGAGCAAGGGACCGGGACGAGCCGAGGGCTCGCCCCGACGGGCGGAGGAAGGGGCTCTGGGACCGGAGTCGGGCGGGCGCACATGAGGCATATCCGTGTGCGTGCGTGGAGTACACAGTGTTGTGTGTCCGTTAGCTCCGAGTAGAGGGGGCGTTCTCATCTGCAGTTAAGGGGGAACCCGGTACACGGAGCTAACCCTCGGAGACCCGTATTTACTTTACGGCCCTTTCCCTGCGAACGCGCACCCCCCAGGGCTAGGGCTCTCTAGCCCATAACCCGATATCGATCATCCGGCGGCCTGCTGGGTGCGCTTCTTAGCTCCCCGGCCCTGGATGTGAGGTTTGGCAACTTGCACTCCCCAAGTGCTCCAAGTGCGGTAACGCGACGGCTACCTCTGAATCACTGCGTGTTTTTGCTGTAGAGCCTCTATCTATCTATGTGTCAGTGCACGCCAGCCGCGCGCGCCGTCACGCGCCGGATGTAGAGCTCTACCGCTCTGCAGCGCTCTACTCGAGTACAGCCTGCCCTGGCAACAGCTACATCTCGCCCTCTCGCGCTTTCGCCCTCGGTCTCGATGGTGCTGTGGCTGTCGTCCACAGCCTCACTGACTCACACCTCCAGCCCCGCCGCCGACGCCTCTCGCTCCCGCCGCGCGATCGCGTGCTCCCGGCACGACGCGGCGAGCTGATCGGCCGCCTCCTCCAGCCGCCGCATGCCGGCCTTGCGCGCGGAGTCCCGACGCGCCGCCTCCTCCGCCGCGGCGGCCACACAAGCGGCGGGCAGCTCGTCCTCGCCGCGCGGCTCGAGCTGGAGCGAGCGCTCGTACTGCTCGTCCTCGTCGAGCAGGAGCTGCGGCACCGCGCACTCGAGGTAGAGCTCGAGCGGGAGGCACGGCGCGAGGTTGTACGCGCTCTGCTGGTAGAAGCGCACGTCCTCCAGCACGCGCGCGTACGCCTGGTGCTTTGACCAATTGACGAGCTGCCGGGGCGGGCCGCCGCAAGGCGCGGCCACCTCGACCGTCGCCGGGTTGCCCTGCTCGAGGAAGGTGAGGTCGGTCAGGAAGACGCCCAGGTACGGGACGCACGGCGGGGTCGCCGCCTCGAGCTCGCGGCGGTAGCGGCGTCGGTTGGCGGAGTACGAGACGAGGTCGGTCAGGTCCTCGAGCGCGGCGCGGTGCCTCGGTGCGAGCGCCCCCTTGGTCGCCTTGAGGCGGTGCACCGAGGCGAGCTCGAGCCCCGCGAGGATCGTGAAGACGCCTAATTAACATATTAATTCATTAACTACTCTGTTAATTAGAGCTCGAGCCCCGCGAGGATCGTGAAGACGCCTATGCGAAGCTCCGGGCAGACTTGATGGGCGGTCCGTACTAGCTCGAGGCTCGCGAGGGCCGTGCAGACGCCGTTGAAGTTGCGCAGCGCGAGGCACTCGGCCGCCACGTCGACGAGGTGGCCGTACGCCTCGGCGCGAGCGCAGAGCTCCGCCTCGGAGAGGACCACCTGTTCACAGCTAGAGGTGTGAAGAGATGCCGTTCACACGAGCCGAGCTAGCTCCGCCTCGGAGAGGACCACCGACGCGACCCACGCCGCGGTGGCGTTGGCGAGGCCGACGAGGGCGAGCACGTTGGGAGCGCGGGCCTTCTTCTCCGCGCCGGCCCACGCCTGGCGGAGCAGCTCGCTCGGCCCGATCCGCTCGAGCAGGTCGAACTCGCGCCTCGTCAGCTGGCGCGCCCACTCGCGCGGGTGCACGCTCGCGACGCGGTCGAGCGCGCCAAAGCCGTCCAGGTCGAACAGCGGCAGCGGCGGGTCCGAGTCGAAGGAGCGCGTCAGCGCGGGCGCCGGCGCCTGCGAGCGGCCCGCCCTCGGCCCGCTTCGCCGCCGCACCGTCCGCTTGGCCACCGCCCGCTTGAGGAGGGCGCTGAGGGCGCGCGTCTGCTCGCTCTCGGCGAGCGGGCCGTCGACAAAGCTGTGCAGCGCCTCGAGCAGCTCGGGCGTCATCTCGTCGTCGCGGAGGTAGTGCCGGACCCACTTTTGGAGGACGTTGCAGACCATCAGCCGCACAGGCTGCAGCGCCGCGCCCTCGCCGGCCCCCTCCCTGCCCTCGAGCGCCGTGGGGAGGGAGCAGCGCCCGGTGAGCTCGCGGAGCAGCTCTGCGGGCGTGAAGAAGGAGCGGTACGTCAGGAGGAGGGCCGAGCAGAAGCGGTGGTCGAAGCGAGAGGGGTGGACGAGCAGCTCGATGAGCCGCGCCGGAGAGGCCGCGCGGACGCCCCCTCCCTCGCCCAGCAGGAGGTCCAGGTCCTCCTCATGGTCCGCCTCCGCCGCAGGGGAGGCGTCGCCCCCCGCCGCCGCACCCGCGCCCTCTCCAGTCGCCTCTGTGGGAGGCCGCGCCTGCTCTGCGGGCCGCGCCGCCTCTGCGGGGAGCGCCTCCTCCCCGTCCGCCTCGGGCGGCGCCGTGGCGGGCCCGCGACCCTCCGACCCGGCCGGCTGCTCCTCTGCCGCAGTGGGCGTGGCGGCGTGGGCGGCGCGCCCCTCGACTATGGCGGCCGGGCGTGACGGCGTGGAGCCGGCGCCGATGGCGGCGGTGTCCATCCCAAAGGCGGAGAAGGAGCGGTGCAGCTCCGCGTCCAGCAGCTCGTCCGACTTTGACCGGGGCACCTGCATGCTCCTCAGCAGCGTGCGCCTAGCTGCCCGTATCGAGACGCGCAGGTGGTCGGCGTCCGCGTCGCTGAAGAACTGGAGCTCGTGGGTCGCCGGGCCGCGCGGTCCAGCAACCGCCAACCGCAGCGCGTGAGGCTCCTCGAGGTTCTCAGAGATGGTGACGATGGCCGTGAGCTGCAGCACCTGCAGTGGCATCCGGTCTCGCCGGCTCGGTTCATCGCCGGGTGCGTACAGCTCGAGGCTCGACGAATACAGCGACACAAGCACCGCCTCAGTGGGCCTCCGCGAGGCGCGCCCGACCAGTCGCCACCGAGCCTGCCTCCCGCAGAGTTCGACGCGCGGAGGCTCGTTGCGAGCGCACGGGCTCGTGTCCGGTGCCCTTGGCGAGGTGCGAGAGAAGAGGGTCTTCACGCTGGAGGAGAAGCGCTTCGGCGAGGGCGGAGCGGTCAGCAACATGCTGTAAGGTCGTGACGGATGGCCGACCGCTATTCGGCAATCCCTGAGAAGCGCGGTTTCGTTTTTTATTTCTTTCAAAACAGGAGTTTGTTTCTCTTGGCACCTTGGAGTGCTGGGGGGGGCGACAGGGGGGGCGTGGCCCTGAGTTATGTGTACGCCAACTCAGGGTGTGTGGCAGCCAGCTGGCTGTGTGTCTTGTGAGCTTGTTTGTGTCTGTGTGAGAGAGAGATTTTTAGCAATACCAAACAACTCTAACACTCACACGTAATTTGGGGCCTGGAGCCCTGTTGTTTTGTGTTTGTCTGTGTGTCGTTCGTGCGTGTCGTCATCATCTGTCCCGCGTCCACCCATACCGCGTTGGTGTCCAGTCCGAGCCTGACTGTTGTTCATACATAGGAGATCATCTGTCCCGCGTCCACCCATACCGCGTTGGTGTCCAGTCTGAGCCCGACTGTTGTTCATCTTTCTACATACATACATACAGGAGAGACAGCAACGACATTCAACACAACCCCGGACCGAGGGCACACGAGGAAGAGGGATTCAGGCAATCGCAGATAACCTCTTCACATTTTTTGCCGCAGCCGGGACCCCCGCCCGCCAACAACGTCGCGTTTTCGCAATTCTTTTTATTGAATTTTTAAGCGCGCCGTCCATGCTCTCGCCATTTGATTTCAGAAGCACTTGTCGCACTTGGAGTGCACTTGTAGCCCGTTTTTCTTATGTGAGCCTTTCGAAATCCGCTCCATGCTCAGGCGATGTTCGACCACGACTCTCCTCTCCTCTCCTCCTCCTCTCGTCTCCCGCATCTCTCCCTCGCCTCCCGCATCGCGCCTCCCTCTCCCTGCCCTCACGTGCTCGCCGCCCGACTCAGGATCCCTGACTCGCTCCTCGACATGGACCTCGAGTCAGGGGGCACACGCCGAAACCTATTCGACGAGATCTCGACCGCCTCGCCCGCCGCGGACGCCAAGGCGCGCTCCGCTCGCCCGCTCCTCGACAAGGAGAATAGGCCTCTTCCGAACGCGAGCCGGCGGCACGGAGGCTCAAAGCGCCAGCTCAAGCAACTCAAGCAGCCAGGCGAGCGAAAGCTGCCCCCGGCCGAGCGGGCGCGCCCTGAGAAGAAGGCGGCGACGCAGCCCGCGCCGTCTGCGGCGGCGCCGTCGGCCACGGCGGCGGAGCAGCCTGCCGCCGTGTCGCTCGGCGGCGTCCCGCTTGGTACAAAGGCGCTGGCGCACGAGCCCGATGCCGCGAGCCCGACGCTGCAGGAGTGCATGCGGCGCCATGACGCCTACCTTGCGCACGCGTCGGCGCGTCGCCAGCCCAGCGCGCTCAACGGAGCCAGCGCGTCTGCGCTGAGCGACCTCCTCCTCGGGCTGGACCTGAAGAGAGCATGACTGCGCGGCTGAAGAGGTCGCTCCGATTGTGCGCCCCGACCGACGGGCTTGGAGCCTGCGGTGTGGCACCGGAGAGGTGGGCCGGGCTGATCATGATGAGAGAGGAGAGAGCTCCATGTCCATGTGGTGTGGGACAAGTTGATTGGGGCATGCGTGTGGGCGGCTGAGACGTGTGTTGGGGCCGGCCTCCACCGGCAGACCGGCGCGCCGACTCCCGGCCCCGCGGAGCGTAGCTCTCTCTCGAACTCTGGGTCTCTGGTCTCCCTCCGCCGGCAATGCCGACGGAAACACGGCCGCCCGGCGTTATAGTACACACAGGCTCCGAGGTCGGAGATAGGAGACACTTTCCATTACAGATACAGCAAACACACCGGTGGCGGTGCACGTCACCTCTCGCCGTCATTCTTCGTGACAAGACATCGCACGCTGAGGCGTCCGCACTCGTCCCCGCTGCACGGCCGCCTGCCGCCCCATCCGTCGCCAGAGACGTTGCACGCCTCGACGCGCGGCGCTCCGCTGAAGTAGTCGGCCGCGCACGACGGCCCCACCGCGTCCACCGGCACGGGCAGCGTCTGTGCCGCGGGGAGGCAGCTCGAGCAGAGGGAGGGCGGCACGTGCCTCTCCGCGCCGAGCAGGGCCATCCAGATGAGCTCGAGCAGGATGGCCTTCTCCTGCGGCGCGGTGCGGGGAGAGGTGCGGGAGCGTCTCTCTCTCGGCAAGGAGGGGCGGGAGGGGAGGGGAGGGGCTTGGGCGGCGGGAGCGGGCAGGGCAGGACGTCGCCTTTGGCGTATAGGCGCGCCACACTCCGAGGAAGCCCGCGGTGTGCATGGCGTCGTGCGGCGTGACGAGCCAGCGGAGCAGCCGCGTGTAGAACGGCTTCGGCCGCCGCCGCAGCTCCTCCGCCGCCGCGGCGAACTGCGCGCCGTACGCGCGGTAGAGCTGAGGCGGCACTGGCGTCGCGCGGAGCAGCGACTTGTGCTGCGCGGCGGAGCCGTTGGCGAGGGCGGGGTCGCCCCCGAGCTGGGAGGCGAGGAAGCGGAAGAGGCTGCCCTTGAACCGCTTCGCCATCCGGCACGCGCGGTGCAGCCAGCGGTCGCCGTGCAGCATCGGCCGCATCCCGGCGGTCACCGGCTCGACGTAGACGCGGCAGCCGCCGAGGTTGGCGGCGCGGCACTGGGTAAAGAACTCCATCTTCCGCTTCGCCATCTGCACCCACGAGAGTACCTGCACCGGCGCCCACAGTCGCGTCGCGTTGAGGAGGCAGTGGACGTCGGGCGAGACTGTGAGCGGGTCGCCCTGCAGAAAGATGGTGGTGGGAGCCAGCGTCTCGTACCGGTCGATCACGTGGCGCAGGTAGCCGTGCCACTCGTAGCCGGCGTTGGGAATGCGCGAGCAACGCACGCGCCGCCGCCCGCCCGCCGAGCCGCTGCACACAGGCGGCAGCCCGCTGCCACGACGCCCGGTGAGGTAGACAAACACGCGCCAGCCGGGCCGCTGCGCGTACCGCGCGACCCAGGCGAGGTCCTCGTTGTACCGCGTCACGACGAGGTCGTGCGTGACGCGCATCCGGGGTATCTGGTGTGACGTAGGTCGGTGAAGATCAACTCGGGTCGGCAAACCACTTGCTTGAAATAACGAGCGGCCCTCAGCGGAGCTGGGAATAGGACCGCCGCAAGCGGCGTGGCGTGGAGCGGTTGAGCATCCCTCCGGGGGCCCCTCTGCGCCGGGGAGGCGTTGTTGGAGGCTAGGACGCAAGCGTCCGTCGCCCTTTTCAAACTCGGGGCCCACTCCGCTACGCTCCGACCCGAATTTGGAGGGCCTAAAAGTTTAAGGTGTTGCTGCGCAAAAGGGGTCGGACACAGGGCGCAGCTCATGCTAAGAGCTAGAAGGGGAGCTAGAGAGAACGACTACCCTGTCCCGTTTATTGCGTATACACCAACACCACAAAAGCTCTCTCTCTCCTGTCCTCACTCAGAGCACAGAGGGGGGTTCACAACTACCGAGTCTCTCGACTAGCTGCCACGTTGCCGACCGAGAGCGGATCTCCTCCTGCTCCGCAAGGAGGGTGGCCAAGGCTAAAAAAGTCTTGTCGGAGCCGCCGGGCGTGTTGACGACTTGGAGAAGGTCGCCCTTGTGCTTGTGCTTGTAGAGATGCTCGAGGGGGTGCTTTGTGGGGCGGTGCGCAGCCAGGCCAGCAGTGAGGGGAGGCGCACCCTCACTCTCCTCGGAGATCCGCTCTCGGTCGGCAACGTGGCAGCTAGTCGAGGGACTCCGGTAGTTTGAGTGACCGCCCCCCTGAGTGAGGACAGGAGAGAGAGAGCTTTTGTGGTGTTGGTGTACGCAATAACGGGACAGGGTAGTTGGTCGCTCTCTCAGCTCCCCTTCTAGCTCTTAGCACTTATAGGACTTAGCATGAGCTGCGCCCTGTGTCCGACCCCTTTTGCGCAGCAACACCTTAAACTTTTAGGCCCTCCAAATTCGGGTCGGAGCGTAGCGGAGTGGGCCCCGAGTTTGAAAAGGGCGACGGACGCTTGCGTCCTAGCCTCCAACAACGCCTCCCCGGCGCAGAGGGGCCCCCGGAGGGATGCTCAACCGCTCCACGCCACGCCGCTTGCGGCGGTCCTCTTCCCAGCTCCGCTGAGGGAGTACTTGTTGGAGCACTTGGAGTGCAGTCATTAATCGAGCATTATTTTTTTCTGCTCAGAGACAAGGCGGCGCCCTCCGTAGCGTGGGGACTGCAGCCCGGAACCGCTCGAAGAACTCCTCGATGCGCAAGGATCGCTCGAGCCGCGACGTTGAGCGCGACGTCGGCATCTTTGACTATGCGACGCCTGATGTCGCGGGCTTTGGCGGCGCCCTGAAGGTCACGCCGGCTGATTTTCAGGTCAACGAGCTGCGCGCCTCTGGAGAGGAGGTGTCGCTGGACTCGTCCCCACTGCCGGAGGACGCCGGTAGCGAGGGCAGCAACGTGCGGTTTGTGCTGCAAAAGGAGCGGCTCGACACGCTCGGCGCGCTCGCCGAGCTGGGCTCGCTCCTCGGCGTGCCCACTCGCTCCTTCTCCGTGGCTGGCCTGAAGGACTATCGCGCCGTGACGACGCAGGAGGTCGTGGCGCGAGACGTGACACCCGAGGCCGTCGCGGCGTGCGCTCCGCCTCCCTGCCTGAGGCTCGGCCGCGCCTGGCCGACCGCAACCAAGCTGCGGCTCGGTGGCTGCGGGGGCAACCGCTTCCGCATCGTCGTGCGCGGCGTGGCGGGCGGCGGGCGGCGCATCGACAAGGCGCTGCGGGCGCTGAAGCGGCGCGGCTTTATCAACTACTTTGGGCTGCAGCGCTTTGGGTCCGGGGCGAGCGTCAACCACGAGGTGCCTTGCCCTCATCCTAATCCTCACCCTCACCCCCACCCTCACCCCCACCCCCACCCCCACCCACGAGGTTGGGCTCGCGTGCCTGCTGCGGCGGTACGACGACGCGGTGTGCAAGGCCCTCTCTCCGCCGGCCGGTGGGCGGACCAGCTCGGCAGAGCTAGAGGCGCACGAGGCGTGGGCGGTCGGGTGAGGCTGCCGCGGCGGGCCTTGGCCGCTCTGCCGGGGCGGTCACACGCGCCGCGGCGTGCCCGCAGGCGCGACGCCCGCTCCGCTCTCCGGCTGATGCCTCGCAGCCGCCACCTGCAGCGCGCCCTGCTCGCACGGCTCGCCGGCGAGGCGACCGACGGCGGCGGGGCTGGCGCTGGTCGCGCGCGGCAGCCCAACGGGTGGGAAGCCGCCTCCGCGAGGCGAGGTTGCGCGGCTCTTTTCCGCGACACGTCGAGGGCCTCACCTCCGCAGGTGGAGCGACCTCACCTCGGATGCGTGCCGTGACGCGGTCCTCTCGCTGCCGCTGCCGCACCGCCGCCTGCTCGCCCACGCCTACTTCTCTCGCCTCTGGAACATCGCCGCCTCAGAGCGGCTGCGCAGGTACGGCGTCGGCCCCGCACGCGAGGGAGAGCTGGTCTGGCTGCGACCCGCCGACTTGCCGCCGGGCTGCGAGTGCGACGGCTGCGCACAGGCAGCCGCGGGAGGCGGAGGGCCACACGCCTACGAGCGGGGGAGGAGGCGGCGGCGGTCCGTCCACATCGTGAGCGCGGCAGAGGCGGCGGCGGAGGTGTTCGCCGCCAAGCAGGTGGTGCTCCCCCTCGCGGGGAGCCGCACCCTCTTCCCGCGCGACGAGGTTGGCTCGCTGCTGCGGCGCCTCCTCTGCTACGACGGAGTCGACCCGGACGGAGGCGAGCTGGAGGTCTCCTCGGACAAGGAGCAGCCGCCGCTGCCGCTGCTCGGCTCCTACCGACGGCTGCTCCTTCGCCCGCGCCGCATGAGCTGGGAGCTGCTCCAGGCGAGTTCACACGAGACGCACCGAGACTCGCGAGAGATGAGCGGCCAGCTCCCCAGCTGGCAGCTCCCAAAGGGCGCGCGGAGAGAGGCTGTGGGTGCGTCGCGCCTTGCAGCTCACGCCGAGCGCCGCCCCACCAGGCAAAAGCTGCGCCGCCGCCGCCGACTGCATGCGTGGAGGGCGGCGCTAGCTCCGAGCGGCAGCGGTGTCGCGGCCACGGGGACTGTAGCAGCCACGGGGAGACCTCGCCGAGCTCAGAGGGGCAGCGCATGGAGGCGGCCGCTACAGTGGGCATGCTCGATGCCAGCGCCGAGGGGGAGGCAACTTGCGATGTCGCGGTGCAGTTCGACTTACCGCCTGGTGCCTATGCGACTATGGCGCTTCGTGAAGTTATGAAGACGCAGCCTCCCCCGGCGCGCCTCAGGCATATTCGATTCGATCCCTAACAGCCGCCGTCCGTGGGACGGAAGTGAGAGCAGACACGCACTCTCCTCCGTCAGACCTCACTCTCCTCTCCGTCTCGTGAGGACCTGAGCGCTCAGCCTCAGGGGGGCCGAAATTCCCTTACCTTAATTTCCGTTTAAGGTACGTTAACAACTCGACGTGGTGTTAACTGACGACGTGCCGTGGACACTTGTCTCTTGAGAGCGATTTGTCAAAGACTCCTCGGGGCGTAAACCCGGGTAAATTCGGGCGTGTCTCTCTCTCTCTCGCACGTCGGCTAGTCGCCGCGGACCACAGTCCACACCCACAAAGAACCCTGCACAAAGATCGCAAGGGCGGGGACCTGTTCCTTTTTACCCATCTCACAAAATAAAATATTCTTAGCTTCAAGCCCCCCTCCGAGACTAGGGACAGTCTCACAGTCACCACCCGTACACAGGAGAGATGGGAGTGCGCCTCGCCCCCACTTGCCCTGACTGCACAGGATAGCGTGCCCCGAAAACGGCGACACATACGACATAGTGGGGGACACTGCGCAAGGAGGGGGTGCGAAAGCTCATTGGGGTGCTAGGTGGGACCATGAGGGGGGGTGGGCGGGGTCCTGTGGGGGTGAAATGTTGCGCGGCGAATTCGAACCTACCCCCTCGCCGCGCCGATCCTCACGCGGAGGGTAAAAACCCTGTGGGACTTTTTACCCATCTCACAGTAGAGAGGTGTCCGTTTTTATTTATTTATTCGCACGTCGCAGCGCGTCTCTCGGCGTATGGCTTTATTGGGTACGAGGGTACGAACTCGGTCGTATCGAACTCGGCGTGAAATAATGACTTTCGGCGACGTCCGTTCCCCTCGCCTTGGTGCTTGGACACGTCGACACATGGCACCGACGCAGCTCAGCATTGTGCTGGAGCGCCTGCTCAACGAACTCGGGGTAGCCGACCTCAGTACGTTCGAGGCTGTGCTCATGCACGATACAGGCGCGGTGCTCGACGCGATCCGAAGCACCGCTGCAGCCGCAGAGGCTGGTGCGGCGGCTTATGCCAGCTCGGCCACGAGCAATGTTGTTGTGTCCCCAGGCAGCACTGCTACCGCTGGCGTAATCTCTGTGCAGCACAAGGGAAGCTTCTCCCGCACTCTCGTCAGCACAGACTCACAAAACACGCTAATGTCTCGGACATCCATGCAGCCGCGAGTAGTGCGAGTGCTGAGATGCTGCTCCGGCAGGAGTTGGAAGAGAAGTTGCGGTCACAGACCAAGGAGCTCGCTTCTGAGCAGCGCTCTGCGAGCGCTGTGAAGAGGGCACTCGCGTCGGCGCGGGATGAGCATGCTGCGGCACAAGAGCTGAGGCGCTCCCACTGCGACAACCTGAGGAGAGCGCAGCAGGCTGCTAAACGCGACATCAAAGCGGCCGAGCGGATGGCCGACGAGGCAAAACACGCAGCTCGAGCTGAGTGTGAGTGGCGTATCGGCGAGATGCGGGCCAAGATGCAGGAGCAGCTCGTCGCGCGGCAGATTTCGATGGAGGCAGAGGCGAGGCGCGCTGATGTGCCGCAGAGGCGGAGAGGTCAAGGCTGTATACGACAAGATGGAGGGGATTATGCACACGCGTGAGGGGTTGATAATCGCACTCGCAGAGGCGCAGCGCAAACGCGAACATAGTGATTGTTAAGAGATATACGTAGCGTTACAGTCGTACGGTCGTCGACCCTCCCACCGTGTGGGCCGCCCGGACCCCGGAGAGCTGCACGAGCGCGTGCAGACAGCGTTGCGCGAGCATTGGAGAGGCCAGCCTCCGGCTTCTCAGCGTGTCGCGAGTGCTGGATCTCTGTCTGCCTGGTAGCTGGGTGTGATGGGGGGCGCTCTGGTGGCTTTGCTTACAAATTTAGGATTTACGGATTTACGGATCCACCCCCCTCCCTCCCCGTCCCGTGACCCGGCCATGAGACGCGCATCCGGGAATCAAGTTGGTGCCGGCAACCGTAAATAAATACCGCGGCTATACAAACACGGCTTAAATAAATAAATAAAAACAGACACCTCTCTACTGTGAGGTGGGTAAAAAGGAACAGGTCCCCGCCCTTGCGATCTCTTTGTGCAGGGTTGGTTCGTGTCTGGAGGCACCATCGTCACGCGGCGGTCGGGTGGCGGCTACACAGCCCGGCAGCGTGTCAATCACATCGGAAGCTCGCGGCACCGCATAGCGGACGCGCGAGGTACCGTAGTTGCTGGTGTCGGACGCTCGCGGCACCGCACAGCGGACGCGCGAGGCACCGCCCAGCAACAGGCGACGGAAGGAGGCTCACGGCACCGCGCAGCGGACGCGTGAGGTACCATCCTCGCTGGAGACAGACGGACGCTCGCGGCACCGCATAGCGGACGCGCGAGGCACCATCGGTTTCCATACACAAGCGGAAGCTCGCGGCACCGCATAGCGGACGCGCGAGGTACCGTCATCAACAGCGGCGCGGCGAGGCAACTCGGCGCGTCTCTCAAGGGTGGGAACCTCTTATCACCATCGGCATCTGTTCGTCCTCATCTGCGTTTGCATCACGGCTGTATTGGCGATCGTCAACGCCATGACATAATCGCCATCATCCTCATGCCCAGCTTGCGCGTAGGGAGGAGGAGGCTGCGCTGCGCAAGCACGGGCGGGAGGGGTTTCTCCTGCGGAGTCGTGCGTGCGCAGGGCTCCTCTTTGCTTTCTTCTACTCCCTACTATCATCTCGTTCCCGTCCTACCAGAGAAGGTTACTTCCCCCAGGATTGGTCTTCTCTGCCTGCGGGAACACCCTCGGGCGGCCGGGTGGGGCTGCGGCTGGAGCTAGCATGGCTCGATAGAGCCGAGACCCCGTGTTGAGGCGGCGCTCCTGTGGGCGGCTGTGGAATCGGCAGATTCGACCTCAGATCTCCAGTATTCTCATCCCAGTGGATGGACGTCCGGACGTCCCTTTGTGTTCCTCTCCCCGTCCGCCAGCGAGACGCTCAGTCGCTGGCGGCCGCAGTTTTCTGTGACCCACCCTCCTCTCCCTTGTGTTTTGTCTGGGGAGGGGTTTCTCCTGCGGAGTCGTGCGTGCGCAGGGCTCCTCTTTGCTTTCTTCTACTCCCTACTATCATCTCGTTCCCGTCCTACCAGAGAACCCCGTTTGTGGGTGGTGTGGTCGGCGACTAGCCGGGGTCGTCCTCCCGATGGGGGACTAGCAAACACGGCTAGGCTTTTACTAAATTTCAGGACTCGGGTGACCGGACCCAGCCGTGTGTGTGAAGGCAGCTCCCGCGGCCGCGCCGGGGCGCAGAGGCCAGAGCCTCTCGCCCAGAGGCAGAGCAGACGAGCGCGAGAGCGCGGTGTGGAAGTTTGAGAGGACGAGAGTGTAGGGTGACCGCAGACCGGCTCTTCGCAACGCACTTCAAATGGAAGGGGTGTTCCTACTTGGAATCGTCATCGCTATCGTTGGCGTGCTTGCCGTCCTTGTCCGCGTCGTCGTCGTGCTTGCTGTCGGTGTCATCGTCGGCGTCGCTCGAGCCGTAGTCGTTGTGGTGCTGCGGCGAGGGCAGAGGCAGAGTCAGGGGCGGAGTGGGGTCCTGGGCGGGCATCGATGGCCAGCCGGCACCTTACTGTCGGCGTGCTTGTCATCGTCACGCGTCTCGTCCTGTATGCACGGCACAAGGCAGAGCGCCAGTGAGTGGCTGGTCACTGAGGGAGGTGCGCTGGACGACTCACCGGGTCGTGCTTGTCATCGTCGTCCTTGCTGTCGACGTCGTCGTCGTCCGAGGGCTGCGTCAGGGGCGGCAGAGGCGATCGCGGCGCATCTCGGTTCATCTCGGTTCATCTCACGCCGCTGGCGGCGACATCGCCTCCACCACCGCCCATACCAGCTAGATTGCGGCTGAGGGAACGGAGGGCCGGGGTCGCACCTTCTCCGGATCGTGCTTATCGTCCTTGTCCGGGCGGTCGGCGTCGTCGTCGTCCGAGCCGTGGCGGTGCTGTGGCGAGGCCAAGGCAGAGTCAGAGGCGGCACAGACGCAAGCGGGGAAGGGCTGGCGCCGGCGGCAGGCAAGCGCCTTGTCCGCGTCGTCATGACTGTGGGCCGAGTCCTTCTCGCCATCTTCGTCGGCGTGCTTGTCATCGTCACGCGTCTCGTCCTGTATGCACGGCACAAGGCAGAGCGCCAGTGAGTGGCTGGCCACTGAGGGAGGTGCGCTGGACGACTCACCGGGTCGTGCTTGTCATCGTCGTCCTTGCTGTCGACGTCGTCGTCGTCCGAGGGCTGCGTCAGGCGCGGCAGAGGCGATCGCGGCGCATCTCGGTTCATCTCGGTTCATCTCACGCCGCTGGCGGCGACAACGCCTCCACCACCGCCCATACCAGCTAGATTGCGGCTGAGGGAACGGAGGGCCGGGGTCGCACCTTCTCCGGATCGTGCTTATCGTCCGTGTCCGGGCGGTCGGCGTCGTCGTCGTCCGAGCTGGCGTCGTCGGAGCCGAGGCGGTGCTGGAAGCGAGGGCCGAGGCAGGTTCAGGGTGGGTGAGTGGGTGAGACGAGTGGTAGGGCGCCCACCTTTTGATCGGCGTCGTCGTTGTCGTGCGCCGGGTGGGACGGGATCCATTTTGCGATGAACTGGGGGATGCACTGGCTGAATGTCTCGCGGCGGTACTGACAGGTGTACTCGCGGGGGCATGCCGTCGGCCCCTCGTAGGACTTGCCGCCGCATTGCTCCCATGGTCCAGGGTTTCGAGGGGGAGACTTGCTGTCGTGCATAGGCTTGGCAAGATGTGCCACGATATCGTCTGCTGGCCCATCGTCGTAGATGGCTCCGTCGCCGGTGCGCCATCCGAGCCAATCGTCGAGCCAGACGGGCACACATTGCGAAAACTTCTCCCGGCGGACCAGGCAAGTGTGGTCCATGGGGCACTGCTTTGGTCCCGTCCAATCAGAGCCGCCGCACTGCTCCCACGCCTGAGGATAGCGCGGCCCATCATCGCGCGTGAGGAGCGAAGATGGGAACCCGCCGGTCGTCAAACCCACAAGCACAAGTGCTGAGGCCAGGCCCAGTCCGGTGCCAACCGCCAGGCGGAGCGCTCTCGAAGCGCGGCGCTGCTTGGCGGCGCTCCCGAGGAGTCCGTACGACGCGCAGGTACTCGTCTCGAGCTCACTATACCCGAGCATCGTGCGCGCGGCTGAGGGTCACGGCAACCGGGCGCTCCGGTCACGGCCCCCCGACCGTTACCCGAAACCCCACCGAAGGCGCGAAGGGCCCGGGCGCGACGTCCGGAGATAGGAGCCTGGTGTGATCGATCCAGTCCCTCCACTACGTTCTCTCCCCGGCCTGTCTCTTTCAGTGCTCGTGCACGATGCTCGTGTACGTACGTACTTTTAGCTTACTGGGTATACTCGTGCATTCCTTTTCCCTTGGTAATTCTCCACAGCGCTCTTTGATAAAACAAATTTAACGGGGTTGCATTGGCCGCAGGCAGGCAAGTTGCAGAAAGAGATATGAACTCTGAACTTGGCCGCTGGAAAGGTCCGTCGTTTGCAACAAGTTGCCCCTTGCACGGCCCTGTCGAGCTTACAACCGACCTCCCTCCGGTATGGTCGACGCGCCGAGGGCCTTGATATTCACCGTGGCACTAAATGTTCCTTTGTCGGCAGCCGTGCTGTCTCTGTCCGCGCGCCTCTTGTCTTGCATAACGACCAGTCACCCGTTTGACGCCGGGTATGGTGGCTGTCAATCATACCTGCCGGGCACTGACAACCACCAGCATTGCAATGTAGATCGGGACTTAGTCAATGACACCCTGACAGCTAGCCTCGTCTGCGTTGAGTGTGGTCACTGCAGCTCCACCTTGCCGCCGCCACCATCATTGTCGCCGAAACGGCTCCCGATTCCGGTGCCGATCCCGCCGTCAAGCCTCGCTCCCAATCCATCACCATTACCGTTATCTGGCATCTCAAAGGCAGAGCAGCCTCAACCGCCCTCTGAAGAGCCAGTCCCTTTGGATGCTCCTACGGTGGTATGCATCGAAGACCGAGCGAGATTTCACACAGTTTACGGCGGCTGCAAGACATACAAACCGCCAAACATAAACCGCCTCCACTGCAATGACGACCGGGATGTTTACAGCGCATTACTAGCCAGTTTAGTGTGCAGTGAGTGTGGCCAATGCCGCGACCCGCAGCCGCCGCCTCCGTTTCCACCTCCGCCTCCGCCACCGCCACCGCCACCGCCGCCACCGCCCTTGCCACCGCCAGTGACTTCACCGCCACCACCTCCACCACCTCCACCACCTCCACCTCCACCTCCTCCATCACCTCCACCACCGCTGCCCCTACCGCCACCTCCACCGCCACCACCATCGCCACCGCCGCCGCCAACGCCAACGCCATTTCCGGCACCGCCAGACCACCCGCCGCCGCCGCCACCGCCGCCGCCGCCGCCGCCGCCGCTGCCCCTACTGCCACCACCATCGCCACCGCCGCCACCGCCATCTCCAGCACCGCCAGGCCACCCGCCGTCGCCGTCGCCGCCGCCGCCGCTGCCCCTACTGCCACCACCATCGCCACCGCCGCCACCGCCATCTCCAGCACCGCCAGGCCACCCGCCGTCGCCGTCGCCGCCGCCGCCGCTGCCCCTACTGCCACCACCATCGCCACCGCCGCCACCGCCATCTCCAGCACCGCCAGGCCACCCGCCGTCGCCGTCGCCGCCGCCGCCGCTGCCCCTACTGCCACCACCATCGCCACCGCCGCCACCGCCATCTCCGGCACCGCCAGACCACCCGCCGCCGCCGCCGCCGCTGCCCCTACTGCCACCACCATCGCCACCGCCGCCACCGCCATCTCCGGCACCGCCAGGCCACCCGCCGCCGCCGCCGCCGCCGCCGCCGCCGCTGCTCCTACCGCCACCGCCACCGCCACCGCCACCGCCGCCAACGCCGCCAACGCCATCGCCGCCACCCATCCTTGCTTCTCCGCCCCCCTCACTGCCGCCCTCTCTGCCGAGGCTCCCTATCATGCGCCCCGCGTGCAGCGCTGAGCCTATGGAACTGATCAAACCGGCGAGGGCAGGCGAGCGCACCCTGTGGGCCAGCCATTGCCAATGTGCTCTCGGATCAGGTGTTCGGATTAGGCTCGGAACTGTAGAAGCCACAGTCAAGGGATGCTCGAACGAATTGTGGTGGTGGCGAGGTCAGTTTCGAAATGTCGCAATTGTCGCTCTGGCAAGGCCACTTGCGCGTGGCCAAGCGCAAAAAGAGGTTGCCAGCTTGTACGATGACCCGCCTCCAACCCTGCCATTACCACCATCGCCTCCGTCTCCGCTGCCATCAGGGCAGCAGTCACGTATGCTGCCATCAGTTGCTGCCACTCGAGGTAAGGCCTGCCGCTGCACCTCTGCGGACGAGCCTCAGAGTGGAGGAACACAGGTATTGTACATCGGCTGTGCCGATCATTTTGGCAGCACTGAGTTCTGGTGCTACGTCGTAGCTCCCGCACTATGTTCAGCAGCCCATGCGTCCCCGGTATACCGCGCAGCCAAGTGGCGACTGTGCGTGATTTGACACGTACGGTCTGCCAGGGAGTCGCAGTCGGAGAGACCGTTCCTGCCTGAGTCCCCCCCAAAGCCCAATCCCCTGTGGTACGCGCGCGCTCTTCGTCTACTGGTCACTGAACATGTCACTCTCGGACACGTGTGTGCTCTCTCTGTGTGGGCCACCCCGTGGCTCGCGTACTGAAACGTGTTTTGCTGCCCACGACGCCACCCTTCACGCGGCGTCCGGCCGTCCGCCGCGGGGTGGGCACCCTCCATGTGAATCGCCAGTCCTCAATCCCCTTGCTTGCCCCCGCGTACGTCCCGTGACATTTGGCCCATATATGTGTGACATTTTGCAACTGGTACTGTGACATTTCAATCGCAAATGGGACCCGAATGGGACCGGAACGAATATTGGGACCCGGGTCCCACTGGGACCCAGGCGCTCTCCTGCCGCTGGCGTGCACCGCCGACCCCGACCGTCGGCGCTGCACGTGAGGCATAGCTACCCCAACGCCCTGCGAGCTTCCCCGCGCGCCCTGGGCGCCTTCGGCGACCCCCCTCGCGAACGCTGTATTGTTACTTTTTTTTAACAGTAAAAAGAAACACATAGAGTGGGAATACATGGGGCCGGCAGGGTATGGGGGTTCGGGCGGATTCGGTCAGTTCTTTCATTTCTCAAACGGACAACCTTGCTGCCTCTATGGGCGCACGCGTTGACTCGGGGACTGTACACACCACCATGTCGCTGACGTGCGAGCTTGGCGATCGCTCCGTAGACCGTACCAGTACTTGATATAGGAAAGGAAAGGAAGCGAGGGCGGCTCATTCGGCCGTGTTGAGTTCAAGAGTCAGCTCAATGTGCAACGCAGCAGGCCCGAGCGCAGCGTCGCGGTCGAACACCACGGCGACGTTCTTGGCCACTCCGAACTCGAGGTCTGCAAAACTGACGGAGTTCCGCCAAACGCGCTCTTGCTCGAGCGGCTCGCGGAGGCGGAGACTACAGCCAAATAAAAGGGGGTGTGAGGTCAGAACGTCGTCCCTGCCGCAGAGACGGGGCCCTGAGCGATCCGCCTCAGCCACAGCCTCTGCGTCGACGCGTCGTGCACCGGCAGCCAATAGTCCTGCCCGAGAGGCACGTGCACACAACTGCCGGCCAGCTTTGGCACGCCGAGCGCCGCTGCCTCGCTCCACTCGCACATGCGCGCTCCCGCCGAACACGACATGGGCGCGCCTACTCTCATTCCCCCGCGTGAACCCCCGGGAGAAAGCGAGGCGCGGTCACGGACAGGGCGATCCGCCTCTCTGCTCGCTGCCGCTTCCGGCGCGCGCGGAGACGGACGCCTCGACAACGAACTGCGGCGCGATGGCCGGCGACATCAGGGCCTCGCGCTCGGTGACAGCGCCAACGGCGGACACGACTCTCAACTGCAGTACCGCGATGCCGGCGCCCAGCGTCGCCTCGGCTGAGCGCCTCTCGGCGGCGGAGCTGCCCAAGAGGCGCTGCAGCAAACCGACCGGCGTCGGCGTCGGCGGCTCGGCGCGCCCGCGCGGCAAGCGGGTGCCCGAGAGGTGTGAGCCCGCGCGGAGGTCCGTGGGCGGCCCCGCATCTGCGCCGCCGCCGCCGAGAGAGTGGTTCGGCGACGACATCGCGCGGAAGCTCGTGGCCGGAGGCGGCAGCGGGGTGAGGCGGCCTGCGCCTCTGCGGCTCGCGGCTGCGGCGCCGAGAGCGGCGAGCGAGTGCGGCGCCGAGGTGACCTGGACAGGGGCGTGTGTGGCGGCGCCTCTGAGCGAGCGGGTGTAGAGGAGGGGGGTAGGGGGAGGGGGGGGGAGGGGGAGAGGGAGGGGGGGGGGGTGTTCTGTCCCAGCAGCGGAGGCGAGCCGCACCGGTCGAATGACGTCTCTCCCCTCGTCGAAGAGAGCCTCCGCCGCGCTGTCGGCCCCTCCCTCCGCGTCGTCTCCGAAGAACTCGGTCGCATCCATCATCAGCGGCGCGGCGGCGGGCGGCACCTTGCTCGCAGGCGCGCCGCCATTCGCCGCTCGCGCAACCCCGTTGAGACGCGGCGCTGCCCGCGGCGACGGCGGTTGAGGCTCGCTAGACAAGCCCTGGCCCAAACGGCGGCGGCGCCGAGCCGCTTCAGAGCGCTGGGCGGCTTGCTTGCCTGCGGCGGCACCGCTGGCGCCGCCATCGCCGCCGCGAGCCGCCCTCACAGGCCGGAAGAGGTCGCGATCCGAGAAGAGGTCGGCTGACCCGCCGGCACACACGGCTCTGCTCCCTCCCTTTGCGCGGCTGTCGACCGAGAAGAACTCGTCCTCCCCCATCACGCGCTGCGGCGCCGCGCCACCCGCCGCCGAAGCCGCCGCACCCAGAGCTAGCCTCGCTTCGGCGCGCACAGGAGGGCTGGCTGCCCCGGGCCGCCCCGCCCTGCCGCTGCCGCCGCCGTCGCTGCCTCCGCTCAAGCGGCCGCGCGAGCGGCGCTGCAGCTTGACGGCTGCTGCCTCGCGCTGCTTGCGAGCCAGCGGGGGAGGCGGCTGCCCCGATGCCGTCGGAGAGGTGCGTCGGAGCGCGGGGCCGGCCGAGGGCGAGGGGGCGAGGATTGCTTCGAGCTCTCGCACCGCGCGCGTCCACACCTACGGGTGCGCCTCCCGTGAAGCCGCTCTCTCTCTCTTCCTCTCTTCTCTGCGCTCTCTCTCTCCGCACGGCTCCACCTTGTCGGCGCTCTCCTTCGACGCCTTCTCCGCGGCGGCGGCGCTGCGCTGGAGCTGCCCGCTGAGATGCGCGGGCTCGGCGGCGAAGTGCTCGGCCTTGGCGTAGGCCGCGTCGAGCGCCTCGTCCTCGGAAGCGTGGCGGGCGATTGCGGCGGCGAAGGCGGCGGCGAAGGCGGCGGCGGGCCGCTCGCCGTACCTTGCGTCGCGCGCCGCGGGGGTGGGGAAGGGGCGAGGGGAGGGAGGAGGGAGGAGGGAGGAGGGAGGAGGGAGGAGGGAGGAGGGAGGAGGGAGGAGGGAGGAGGGAGGAGGGAGGAGGGAGGAGGGAGGAGGGAGGAGGGAGGAGGGAGGCCGGGGGAGGGGAGGGAGGGGAGCGGGGAGTGCGTGCGTGCGTGCGGAGGGTGCAACGAGAGGGGGCGGGGCGCACCACGCGTAGAGCGGTATGGAGAACTTGTTTGGCACGACGAGCGACTCTCGCACGGCCTCCTTGAACTTGTCCGTCAGCCAGAGCTTGAGCTGCGAGGAGAGGTCGGTCAGGTTGGCGCGCCTAGAGACGGAGAGCTGTGACTCACAAGGACAGACTGGTGGGAAGAGGGCATCCGGTCCGGCGTGCGCGCTCGAGGTAGACATCGAACTGTAGCGACGGCTCGGCGGCAAACGAGACCGAGAGCGTGCCCAGCCACGGGTACGGGCGCACCCACGCCAGCTCGAGGCGCAGCGTGCCCTCGAGCGTGATGTTGCGGATCCCGACCTCGAGTCCGATGCCGGGAATCGGCCCGCTCATCTCCATGCTCAGCGCAGCCGCGTGGGCCGGGTGCGTCGACGCGTGCGCCGTCGAGAAGCGCACGTCGACCTGCATCACGAGCCGCACTCCCGCCGGCTTGCCGTCGGCAGCGCGCTCCTCGGTCCTCTCGACGGTGTGCATCTTCTGCAGCTCCAGCGGCGCGAGCGTGTCGTGCTCAAACGGCAGGCCGAGCCGCAGATCCTTGAGCTTCACCTCGCCCAGCGAGAGGCCGCCCACGCCCGTCACCTTCCCAGAGTCGCCCAGGTTCTTCACCAGCTTGGAGAGCACCCACCCGGCCAGGCCCCGCTCGTACACCGGCCAGATGGCCCGCAGGAGGTGGTTCAGCCATTCCACCGACTCGGTGCCACTCCCGATGGGGGCGGCCGCCTGGTCGGTGGCGACGCGGCGCAGCCGCTCCCACGTGCGCGCCAGGCGCAGGCGCTCGGCGTGCGCCAACGCCCAGAACAGCAGGAGCAAATACGACCAGTGCCACCCGCCAGCGCCAAGTGCATAGGCAAGTGCGAGCACGAGGACGGGTACGATCGGGAAGCCAGGCTCGGGAGGCACGCGGAGAGTGTTGTAGCTTACGTCTCCGCGCGGAGGCGCTTGTAGGCTCTCGGAGGTTGTCAGAATGGATGTCTTGGTCGTCCTCGCCGCGACGGCCCTGCCCATAGACAAACCTCTCGCCCGCCCCACGGGACAAAAGAACTTTACGAGGTCGGCTGGCACGCACTTTTCTTTCTTTCTTTCTTTGGCACTAACACAGGTACACCAAAGAGGGACAAAAGAACAGGAATACGCGGCGTACTCGAGGTGTGAGGTGGCATAGGTTGCAGCGTCGGCGGGACTGCGAAGAGAGATAGGAAGGGGCAGACGCCCAAGGGTGGGCGACGGCTAGCACCACACTCCTCTCCTTGAAATCCCTCCCTCCCTGTGTGCATAGCGGGTCAGCAAGCCCTAAAACGGCGGGAGGGGTAGGGCTATATCGGAAGAGCTAGAGGGCTCAGCCACCCCCTCCACCCCTCCACCCTGCACCCCTCCAGCTCCACCCTCACGGAGCGAGAGAGGTCCGTCTTCGAGCCCTCCCACTTCCACCCTCCGACCGGAGGGCTCGCCAGCCCACAGCGCACAGGGCTGGAGGGGTCCCCGTCGGATCGGCGTCGGGAGGGCTCCACAGGGCGAACCCCCTCCCCGGACGCCGGGTGGGCTCGGAGGGACGGTCGGACAAGGGAGGATCTTCGTGGCGGGAGGGCTCGAGAGGGGTCGCGGTCGGCCCTCCGGGAGGGGGTCGCAAAAAGATAAAAAAACGAAGTCGCGGCTTATGTGACTGCCCCCCAAGAGGGCTCGGAGGGCTCGGAGGGCTGGAGGGCTG